CCTTGGAAACGTGTCTGTCTCTCATTTATCCGCTGTCTTTGGTCTTCCCGAGGTTGTTTCCGAGGCTATCGCATATTTTGCCGATGATATACCAGAAGGGTTCCATGAAGCCTGGTTAGATTACTGCTACTACTATCATGCCTCAGCGGCGGAGCAAAAGGCCCGTTACGGGGTGAGCTTCGGCAGCCAAAGCTTATACCAAGCGCACACTCGACTGGCAGCATATGCGGCGCACGAGATGCAGAATAGTACTCTTGCACTTCGAGCTTGGAAGGACTTCTATGACAGCGATGGACTTGCACCGGACGCTGCATGGAACACTACGCATGTGAATGGGAGTGCTGTTTTGATGTCCGTCGATGAGGCCGCATGGCTCGCAACTAACGATATCGCGCAGTATGGTTTGGCTGTTATTGAAAATCTGGCATATGCTTCGAATTCGCTTGATGACTATCAATCATAAGATCTGTCAGTGTATATGCAAGAGCAATAAGACTTCAATATCACCTCAATATCAATCAATCAATCGATCGATCAATAGTCATGGCTTCAATATGAATAGCCTCAATCAAGAGGAAAAGAAGAAAAAAGAGAGGAACGAGGTGGAGAAGAAAGATAGGATTGAGGCCGTGGATGAGAAGAGTATAGAAAGAGAGCCGTACTGACTGAGACCCAAGGAAAGCTGGTCAATAAGAAGGAATGAAAGCACTTAGGGGAAGTGCATAAGATAGGAGCTACGGTTTGACAGGGAATGAATCTTTAACTATTAGGAAAGAAGGCTTGAGGTGGCTCGGTACCTAGCAAAAAAGGCCTTTTTGACTTTCTAATGAGTGGTTACACCCGGATGTCATAGAGGACAGACAATGACGGCATGCCTGTGTCTGTCCTGAGCACCCTGAGTGAAGGGTGAGCTGATCCCTGAGCACTCAGTGAGCACTCGTGAGCACACTGGAAAAGTGGGCCGATGCAAATCACGTGATGCTACAATGACTAATATTTTGGTAAATAGGACGCTTAAAACGGCGTCAAATGTAGCCTTTTTCAGCGCCCAGTTTACCGTCACTTAGCGTTGGGGTTGTAATATCATAGATACCAGAATGGACAAATCTGATTTCTTTGTCGGCCTCCTTCACACCGGTGATCGGGCCAGATGCATTCTTGAGGCAAATCTCCCCGCAGATGGCTATGTATGTGCTCCTTCTGAGTGTGCTATTGCTCCTCATTTTGATCTACAACGACTCTATTCAGGGTGGCCCGCAGTACATCCAGCCGGGACGATCATAACCTCGCCCCACGGGAGTTTGGTCTGAATTACAGCATCTTCCAGTACACCGAAACTTACACGATTGCTAGCCGCAGGAGAAGCACGTTCGCTGCCACAGTACCGTAGAGTCAGTCCAAGTATCTAAAGAGAGTTGTCAAGCTCCGACCGTCCCATTAAGCATTTAGGCAATGTAGCGTTGCTGATTGACTGGTCCCAAGCGTCCAGCACTGTAGCGTAAAGATGGCGCAATCCGGTTATTCCCCGTTTGGCCTGTTGTTCAGCAGTCATCCCAGTCGCCAAAAAAAGACGAGGGCAGTCGATTTCAACTCTTCCAACCCCGCAGAACCAAAAACCACCGACAATCCTTCATGTCATCGACTTCTTTTCATCATCATGCAAATCAATCCAGCGCCGAGAAAGCATCACCCACCTGGTGGCGGGATGTTTTACTCGATCAAAATCCAACCCTCTCCCCTCATCTATCGGAGGCCGCCGACCGCAGCAGAGACTCTAGCGAAAGTCAACACGACCGCAGAGAGGGGCCGAGCGAGTCCACATGCCAATGAGTGATGATCCAAAGACGAGCCCGAATCCACCGTTTTCCAGCAGTCTTAATGCCAGCGCGGTCGGAGACCAGGCGCATTGCGATTCGCTCGAGGGTTTTCATCGAGTAAGGGAAACGGCCTCGGAAGGGGGGGTCGGGCAGTTTTGATCGAGTAACGGGTTGCTGATAAAACGGAGTCGCGTCTCGTCGGATCGGACGGCCCAGTGATAAGCCTCCTCTGCAGTTTTCAAGCCCATCGGAGGTTCCCGATATCTCTTTCAGCGAGGCCTGGATCTCGTTGGATCTTTCGACGTTCCATTGGCCAACCATCGGCCGCTCGTGGATTTCGCCTCCCTGAGAATTCCCAATTGGTGAATCCGAACCGTGGATTGAAGCCGCGATCCAGTGCTTTGTATGGATGAGACTCTTGTGCCTTGTGGTTATTGAACCAGTGGTCAATAGGGTCAGTTTTATTCCATCGACAAGCTCCACCCCCAGAACGATGTTGTGCGGTGCGGATCCATCATCCTACGCCCGTAGGAGCCCGCCGCAGAGAGCACAAGTCACTTCGGGAGGTCGCGCTCAGACATCATTGCCCCCCGATACGGCAGAGATGAGGGTATTCGGTGTGATCATGAGGTCTACATCTGCACTCGCACCCGAGTCCGTGCTGACTGGCTCCTTTTCGTTCCGCGTACTCCATACCCGCCATGCAGTCCACCGCAGTTGAGCCACCCAGTTGCAAATTATCGAGTAATCGCAACGACATCGGTGGTCGTGGGAGTGTCCCGCAAAGATTCCTCGGCACTCGACCGGGTGGGACTTCCCCCAGTGGGTATCTCGATGCCTTTTTTTCTTTCCCGTTGCTTGTGGGCCGCAATCGCCCGTGGCCCTGAGGAACGGAGTCAACGGAGTTCCACTGGTAAAGAAAAACTTTTTTATTTCCTCTTCAGGGCCGAGCTTTGTTATTTATATCCCCTCCCCCAGACTTCCTTATCTCTCTGGGCCCCTCTTCATCCTTCACTCTTTTCCCCTGCAGATAACTTGAGATAAGCCCCCCGACTCGCTTTATACTTTGCGACTGACCCCCTCCGTCTTATCTTCACCCAATCCCATCTCGACTTTCAGCTATCTATACGACCGGACGACCCCTCGTGCAGCCCTACGCTCTTATCAGTCCACCGTCACCTGGACTTTTGCTTCTTTCTATATAACCCTATCTGCAATCGGTGGGCCCACTAGCTCACGACTCTAATCCCATACTTATCCTGATCCTTCTTGCCGCCACTACCGACCAACTCGTCGACCCTCCTTGGGGTATTCTGACTAGGCGTGCAAGCAGAGCAAGCCCCCACATCGAACTAGCGACCATGGCCACAGCTCAGATCCCCTCGATTGCCGTGGTGGCTTCCTCCCGCGCGGTTATCTCCGGCCGTTTGACCTCTGCTACGGTGGTTATCTCCCGTACGACTGGCAAGATTACCGCTGTCTTTGACTCTATTATTCCCGCTTCGGAATTCCCCGAAGGTACCCCATATACCGATTACTCGCCCTATGTGCTCTTGCCTGGTCTGGTCGATGCTCACGTTCACCTGAATGAGCCTGGCCGTACCGAGTGGGAGGGCTTCTACACTGGCACCCAGGCCGCGGCCTTTGGCGGTGTGACCACCGTGATTGATATGCCTCTGAATGCGATCCCCCCGACTACCACCGTGGCCAACTTCAAGGAGAAGCTCGCCGCTGCTCAAGGCAAGTGCTGGGTCGATGTTGGCTTCTACGGTGGCATCATCCCCGGCAATGCGGGTGATCTCAAGGGTCTGGTCCAGGAAGGTGTGCGCGGATTCAAGGGTTTCTTGATTGACAGTGGTGTAAGTAATCGCGGCCTTCGGTGTTCGAGACTTTCAATACTAATGAGCACCCCACAGGTTGATGAGTTCCCCGCCGTGGGCCAAGAGGATATTCAAAAGGCCATGGCTGCACTGGCAGATGAGCCCACCACCCTCATGTTCCACGCCGAGATGGTTCCCCCAATCACTGCCTCGGTGGGTGATGATGTCCAGGCTTCCGAGCCCCCCGCGGCCCCGGCTGGTCCTCTCGAGGCCTACTCGACTTTCCTGGCTTCCCGCCCCTCGGCCTTTGAGACTTGCGCCATCGAGCGTATTCTGTCCATGGCCCACCTTGCTCCTAACCTTCAACTGCACATCGTCCACCTGTCTGCCATGGAAGGCATCCCACTCTTGCGGGAAGCCCGCGCCAAGGGCATCAAGATCACTGCCGAGACGTGCTTCCACTACCTCTCTCTGGCCTCCGAGGAGATCCGTGACGGCGATACCCGTCACAAGTGCTGCCCGCCCATCCGCTCCAAGCTGAACCAGGACGGTCTCTGGCAGGAATTGGAGAAACACAGCACTGATGGTGTCATTCAGACCGTCGTCTCGGACCACTCTCCCTGCACCCCCAACTTGAAGCTGCTGCCGGCCAATGTCCCCGGATCCTGCTCCACCAACGGCGCCGTCGTCGAAGACACCGGCAACTTCTTCTCTGCCTGGGGCGGTATCTCCTCCGTTGGAATGGGTCTGCCCATCCTCTGGACCGAGCTCAGCCGTCGCAAGGGCCTGACCCCGTCCCCCGGTGACGAGAACACCAAGAACGCCCTGCAAGATATCGTCCGTCTCTGCTGCGCCAACACTGCTGCCCAGGTTGGTCTGCAGACTCGCAAGGGTGATCTGCGCGTGGGCTTCGACGCTGATATCTGTGTCTTCGATGACTCTGCTGAGTGGGTCGTCGAGCCTAGCACCATGCTCTTCCGCAACAAGTGCTCCCCTTACCAGGGTCGTACCCTGCGCGGTATGGTCCGCGAGACCTGGCTGCGTGGTGAGCGCGTTTTCAGCCGTGACGCGGGCTTTGACAGCAAGCTCCCTACTGGCAAGCTGCTCCTCGAGAAGCGGGTTTAAACGATCCTGTTCCTGGTTTCCATTGCCCCTTCTTTTCATCTCGTTTCCGTTCTCTTCGCATCCCCTTTGTCACCGACGTGCGGGACAAGTTGACCTTACTGGCAGCGCGCCATATGACCTTTTTTTCCACCTCTTTTCCTGCATCTCGTTTCTTGACGAGCAACTAATGACTGAACAGCATTCATACCCGTTAGAGTAATGACAGCGCGTTTGTAGCTTAGGTATAGAATACAAAAAGTTGATATGTTAAACAGTGCTTCGGTATGATAGACTATCTTCTATTTAGTATACAAGTCCTCGAAAAAAGTAGAAAAGGATCAATCATCCTTTATTCTCTTTCGCGCTCTCTTTCTCCCACTTCTCTCGTACTCTTCTCCTCACTCCCCCATTAACTCCCTTCCCCCAAATCTCCTCCTTCTCATCCACATTCAAACTCACATGGACATCCACATCCTCCCCTCCCTTCTTAGTCTCGCTTTCACCCTCAACCTCTCCAACGAAAACCTTCCTCTCCTTGATCCTCCCCTCCCTCGCCCTCGCCCTAGAGACCTTCTCCAGATAAGCCCCGTACAAAAACGCCTCCGCAACAGCCACAGACAAGGCCGCAAAGAAAGATATCAGCACGCGCACCGCATCCGACGCTCCCCCGGTCCCTTCGTCATTATCTTGTATCGCCGGCCCCGTCCACGAAGAGAATGTTCGTGCCAGGATAGCAGGCATCGTGAATTTCGTGAGTGCCCAGTATACGCTGAACCCGGTTATGACCACGGAGAGGAAGATGTTGAAGACTAGGCTAGGCGTCAGGGTGTCTTCTTCGGCTACGGACGAGGAGGCGTGGGGGTCGGCGTAGTCTAGATTTGGTGTGTAGTTTGGATTGAGGAGGCGCTGATAGGCTGCTTTTTCGGCTTCGGCGAGGAGGTGTGCCTTTGAGGCGAGGTATTCGGGGCTCTGCGTCTTGTTAGTTTGGGGATGAGGGTGGGTTGTGGGCGGTAGTACGTACGGGTTCGGGTTTCTTTGGGGGTGGGGGGACGTAGACTTTCGTCCCTTGCAGTAATGTGTTGAGTACTGTCGAGGGATTGTCGGTGGTGGTGCAAGTGGCTTGATATGCGGCGTCATTCTGGAGATACTTTGCAAGACGGAGGAGCTGCTCGTGTGTAATCGGCTCGTGCGGTTGTAGTGTCGAGGGGAGGCCGAGCTCTGATCGCTGTGAATCAGGTACAGCTTCGAGGGCCGCAGCTATGCGCGCCGTCGCAGTGAGTCGGACCATCGTCGCTGGTGATTAAGTGTTGCGCCGGTGGTCGTGGAGGAGGAGAGTCCGAACAAGCTCCCAAAGCTCCGGCGGAGAGACACCGGCCGCCCAGAAACTCCGTCCGGACAAGCTCTCTCTCCCCACTTTTGCTTCTTCACCACAGCGCCCAGCCATGGCGACCTCCAAATCCAAGGCGTGAGTACTCAATTCGACACTAAAACTATCCATGACAATATCAGGCCTTTTCTACCACCCAAACTCCCCCTCCGTCCCGACCGCAATCCACCCGCGATATGCCTGCCCGATCCAAACTAACCCCTCCATCATGTCCAGCCCGGTAACAACAGAAACCAACCCACGCGGAATTCCCGTGGCACCCTTCATCGACAATGTGAGCGACTATGTCTCCTCGCGCGATGAGGTCGAGCCCACCCTCCGCTCCTTCCAGGAGATGATTTCCAAGTACCAGTTCATGGAGGTCAACACCCAGCGGCGCGGGCAGGGACTGCGCGAGAAGATCCCCGATATCAAGAAGACATTGGAGATGGTGCGGTTTTTGAAGTTGCGCAAGGAGGTACGTCGCCATATACGTGAAGGAGACAGACCCGAGTATTCTCATGGATCAACTAAATTGTGTTTTTTTTTTTTTTTACTTTTGTTACAGGCCAACCCAGATACCGACCTCGAGACCAACTTCGAACTCAACGATACCCTCTACGCTCGTGCTTCAGTCTCCCCCGCCGAAATGGAGGAGGTATACCTCTGGCTCGGCGCGAATGTCATGCTCGCCTACCCGCTGAATGAGGCGGAGAAGATGCTGTCGGAGAAATTGACGGCGGCGGAGTCTAGTCTGGCCCACTGCGAGGAGGACCTGGAGTTCTTACGTGAGCAGATTACGGTACGTACTGGATGTCCCTGTTTGGAAACAGCATTATTGTGGGTTTCGGGAGCTAACATCCTGTTAGACTTTGGAGGTTGCGACGGCGCGGGTGTATAACTGGGATGTGGTGCAACGGCGCAAAGAGAAGGCTGACGGGAAGGGAGATGACACGAAATAGAGAATTGGAGTACTGGGTTGACGGGATGAAGTGTTGATTTACTGGATACCTAAAATGATACGACTTTTGATATAGTAATTTAGTACCAGAAGTGTTAGATCAAATGGACTTGAATGATGTCAAGACTCTCCCAATGAAAGCAAAGATGCCTCCTCTCAGTCAATAAAGGATAGTGCTATGATATACATCATGCTTTACAGAAGCCTCTTTTACAGGCAGGCAGGTACGCGTACTGATGTCTTGAATTTTACCTTATGCGACAGCCAACATATCCGACAGCCGGACCGGGGAATAAGCAAAGAGATTTTCAAAGTGATCCAAAAGCATTTGATCACCTGTCAATCAGCAGTCTGACCTCAGTCAACGCGCGAGAGCCGCGGGGAGATGGACTAACTTCTTTGGTGCAGAGACGGGTTGTCAACAATAAGCCCCCATCGCGGGGCTCGTCGAACCTTGTTTGTCTTCCATTGACAACTATATCACCAGCATGTCCTTCAAAGTGAAAGATGTATCTGTCGTAGAGCTTCCTGATATGGTAGCCGCAGAGAGATATGCCTTTGAAACTCCGCTCCAACCCATCTTCCGATTATACTGCCCAATCATCGACAACGATCGTCCAAAGGCCATTGCTGACACCGCAGCCAAAGAACAAGAACGAGCGAGGAATCCGGATGTCAACGAGGAAGACAGATGGATCAAAGCCGTTAGAGCTCAAGACTCCAAAACCGATGAGACCCTAGTCGGCGGCGCGCAGTGGCTCTTTATCTCGAAAGGAACAAGCGATCTCGAAGGCCATATCGAGTCGCTAGCCAAGCGTCATCCAGAGGGAGGAGCCAGACTCTTCGCGGCGCAGTGCTTCCGAATTCTTTGCGAATGCGAAGCACGAAATCGACTAGCAATAACTGGAAGCGGTCCGTATGCTACACTTGGCAGCTTTTTCACACTGCCAGAGTATCGCAAGCTGGGCATAGGTCATCTGCTTATGCAGTGGGGACTGGATATCGCCGATGAAAGAGGCTTGGATGTATGGATTGAAGCTGCCCCGCCGGCAGTTCCGTTTTATGAGCGCCACGGCTTTGTACAAAAGGAGGTCACTCATTTACAGCCGCAACGGCCGGATGGTCTCTCGGAAAGGGTTGCTGCGGAATGGGATGCCACGGCCAGGTCGCTTTTACCTATAACTGCCGTCAGCATGTGCCGGCTTGCAGGGAGTCATTGAATGGGCCTGATTCAGTATATGAGAAGATTGCTTAGTTATAGTCTCTATCTGACTTGTAACATAGGTTGGCTTCGGCTCTGCCTCTGATCAGATAACCCTACTGTGGTCTCTATCTATTATCAGTATTTTTGAGCTATTGGCAATCTATACCATTTATACTACCAACTATATAGTTTTCACTCAAAGATAATGGGCTCTTTGACACTCTTTTCATCCCGGGAGGCTTGAGCATGATGCACCTTCTATCTCATCTGATGCTTCTCAACAGGATTTATCAGCTGGTCGGCCGTGCCCAAATTGTCTTTACCGACGGGGTCATCGATCCTTGCTGCGACGGGACGGTTGAACGGACGAGAGGCAACATGTAACAATCAGATCTTTGATGAAACAACTAACGATAAAGCAGGAAAGAAATTTCCGTTTGAATAGGCATAGTAAATTGCCAAATGATTGAGCTGAAAACAGTCTAGCTGATTGTAGAGAACAAAACTTGAAAATAGGAAAACATGGTGTATTCAATCATAACCAACCCAGATTAAGCAAAAAAAAAAAAAAAAAAAACAAATCTTCGTGATATCAGACTCGCAAACACCAGATAATTTGGATCGCATGCATTCGTAAACCATGACGGCTCGCGTGCTTGAGATCCTTAGACAATCAAAGTCAATCAAACCAAATGATAGAAAGAAAGTCATAGAAAAAAAGAGAAAGGTAAGAAAGATTAAACCAGTTGGCAGTAAAAGGTCATTAAAACACAGCCGAGGCCACTTTCTCTCGGTCTGATGCGGAGAGGTCCCGCATTCGCTTCGTAAGATCCATTTCGTTCTCGTCGCCGACAAACGTCCATTCTTCAATATCGTCAACATCGTCGTCGTCGTGATCTGGCGAGGCCTGAGCGGAAGGAGTGGGCGAAAAGGGCGTAGAAGAAGCAATTGAACGCTGACGTGCGAGGGTCTTAGCGTACTCCATATCTCTGTAGAGAGATTGAATGGCCGTAGCAACTCCGTCCTCCTATATTTCACGGGTTAGAGGCCATCTATATAGTAATCTCAATGTGAAAACTCACATTACGGATCTGGGTGCCCAGATTTCGAGCCTTGACAATCATTCGCTCACTGTGTGTAGTCTCCCAAAGTGCCCGCGAGAAGACGCTGACATTTAGTTTCTTCATGCAGATTCCCACACCTAAATCTTCAACACGAGACCCGAAGAAAAACTGATCCCCGAAGAATGGCTTGATAATTGTGGGAACACCAGCTCGCAAACTCGCTCCCGTGGTACCTGCTCCTCCATGATGAGCGGCAGCGTCAATCTGGGAGAATAGCCAGTCATGGGGCGCCGATTGAATTTGGTGTATTTCGGGTGGGAGAGGAATTTCAAGCTTCTGACTAGAAGGATCACCCAGTCGATCCGACCATCCTTTGGAGAGAATACATCGAACATCCGCTTTTCGAACTGACTCAATAACCGTCCGTGTCAAGGCAGCGGGATCCGAGACAACAATCGATCCAAATCCAATATAGACAAGCTTTTTGCCATCAGCGCGAGCTCTCTCGATAAAGGCAGAGAGCTCAGCGGGCGGAGTCCAGTCGGAGCCCTCGTTCAAGAACCAGTAGCCCGTGATACGAATCCAATCTGGATAATCGAGGGGCGGTGGTACCACGGAAGGCGAGTAATTGTACAAAAATGGAACTTTGTTCTGTTGCATCCTGTCCAAAGTAGTGGCTTTGAGACCCAACTCGTTAGCACGCCAACGGTTCACCTGCCCCGCGATAGCTTTCCAAAAGATGTTGTCAAACATCACATATGTGATGTAATTGTAGGCTCCCCCCATACGGGTTTCCGGTACTGCAAAGGCATGTGGGTAAGCGCGAGTCCTCGACCACGGCATGGTGAAGCCACGGAAATAGGGAATCCGAAGAGCCTCAGCGATGTGAATGCCTGCCATTGCACTTGGCGATTCGATGAGAACATCACTCCCCTGACAACTGGTCCACGATGAGGAAAGCAAGTCATCAATCCATCCCCTAAACTTCGATGTAGCTTCACGAAGGAAAGAGTATGTGAACATCCCATTCTCCACACAGATCCGCATCAGCTCGGCAGGGTCTCCGTCTACGAGAGCAAAGTCAATACCATGACTGCGAATCCACGGTTCAAATTCAGCGTGGGTTGCAATCTTTGGCTTGTGGCCTTCGGCGAGAAGTCCCTTGCACAGGGCAATGTAGGGCTGCACATCACCCCGAGAGCCGATGGTTAGACACGTGATCTTCAGGGATTCGGTTGGCTTGAAGTTAATGATCGAGGCACGGGGGTCGTCAAAGAAGGGAGAAATCTCCGACGAGCTTTCATTGAGCGTCGGGTGGGTGTCATGCTCCACTGGACTATCAAGTCTAGCTTCTTCAAGCATACGATGCTCCGCTTTGGCAGCTTCGACTCGATCGCGCTCTTCCTCTGCAAGCATGCCCGACTCCACCAGATACTTGACGGACTCGAGGTTTTGATGCAGTGTAACAGCGCAGTCATCTCGTGCATCTGCGGTATTAAACTCGAAGAAAAGCTCCTCATGACCGCGAACTATGACAACAAGCCCGTGATAGCCGAAGCGGAAGCCTTTCTCCTTCTCCACGTTCTCGACATCTTTGAGCGGTAAAATCATCTTTGTGCGAGTACCGGGAAGCAGACTGCGGAAACAAATCTTCCTCTCGCTGAGATATATTTTTCCATAAAGAGGGAGAACGCGGGTCAAGTATGCATAGTATGTTGCTTGGAGATGTTCAGTCGGAGGTAGACCGAAATGCGCTCGGAACCGGTCGCCATGCTTGAGCCCGCCTTGCTTATCCTCTGGATCAACTGTCGGGTCATCATGAATCACTTCTTCTGTTTCACCATAATGTTTTTGACCCCCTGCCCACATGCCAGAAACCTTCTCGATATAGCCCATTGATTCCGTTGCTAGTAAGCTGCTCATTTGTTTTGATCTGCTTTTGAGGTATTCAGCGAACCCAGCCGCACGCTGGAGCGGGTATACGCCAGCTTTCACGAGATCATTCAAAGGTGCGCCGGGGGGATACCGGGAAGGGTTTGAAATCCTCTGGTCTGCAGGCCCGCGAGCAACACGACTGTCTTCTGCATTTCTGCTAGGGCTCGATAGTCCCGAGCTGTCTCTGCGCACTATACCGCCCAGTCGTGCGGATGCGGATCGAGCAGTATCATCCGATCGTCGCCGACCAGTAGCACCCACGTCAGAAGGACGCCTCGGTAGTGATCGCATGGTAGGTGACTGGAAGACATCACTTCGATTGAGTATTTGACTCGCAGATTCATTGGTCTCGGTGAGTGACTGGACGATACGCGATGATTCCGTGCCTCGATCTATTGACGGAGCAAACGAATCTGCGGAATCCTGAGGGTCGTTCTCAATGCTCGTGCTTCGGCCATGTGGGGACTGATCATCTGTCGGAAGAGACAAACGTCGGCTGTTGGCGGCCATTATATTCGAATCTCTGCTGCAAATTTCATATTGAACTTTGTCGTCGCTCTTGTGGGGGGAATCATCCGATAAATTCTTCGCGGGGGAAGAATGGACTAAGCTCTTCAAATAATTGAAGGCATCCTGACCAGAGTTGAAGAAAGTGAAGAAATACTAAAAAAAGTTAGAGCTGCATGGGTAGAGGTGAAGGGACAATAATCACCTCGTCGATGGCATAGGTCTCGTTGTTATCGAGGACACGAATTTTGAAGGTCTCGGCAAACTCGGCCATGGGACTCTCCTCCAAATCAATCACACTTTCAACGGGAAACGCGATCTTGACACTGTCGCCTTCATTGTGGGACCGGAATATGATCTGCTGGAGAGATTTCACCCACTCCTTGGCACTGGCTGCACTATCGGCCCGGAAATGATAAGTTCTCTGATCGGTGGTGACTTGAAAATCCTTTGCATCAGACCCTTGGGCCTTGGTCTCCGCGAGCGACGCGGAGATGCCGTACCGAAGATCTACATGACCACTGGGAAAGTATAGGTTCGAAGGATCGGCGTAGTATGATAAAACGTCACCCTTCAACACAAACCAATAGCGGTTGTATTTGGGATTCTTCCGACCACGCTTCGCGAGAAATCCAGATTTGATGGCTGTGGTCGACTTCTTCGGGAGGTAGGCATAGAAGCAGATATGTCCTTCCGTGACATACATATATCCTTGGAGGAGCATGCTCCGCAGCAGAGCGCAAGCATATTCCACCAAAACCTTCTCAGGCCTTTCGAAACCAAACATTTCCATTAGCCTCGTTGACAAGGCCGAAGATTCAGATGGTTCTAAGGGGTCATGACTCGGAGACTCTGGCCTGGATGGCGGGTTTTCGGGCTCCGTGGCGCCATCGAAGCGGTTCTGAGCTTGTATCATGCGAGTGAGGATGGGAGCTGCCCGAGGTGTGGCACTACGTGTTCGCCTCGTCGGTACTTTAAGAGTCGCTCCACTAGCCGCCAGCGGCTCGTCTGGTTTGTCCTGAGATCCAACGCCAGGTATACTCCGCAGTATTTTGTTCTCTGATTTCGTCCTTTGATGGCGGCGTCCTCGTTCCTCGGCTTCGTCTCGTGAATTTGTGGTCGTCTTCTTGCTGGTACGACGTCGGTCCGATGAACCTTCCCGACTAGATCCCGATTGTAGGCCGGTCTTTGTATGTGATTCTCCGGCTTCTCCATCGCTATCGCTCGAGTCGTCGAAGCGACCGCGGAAATCGGATCTCGAGCCAACGGCAGCTAGAACAGAGAACAGAGACTGTTGCATATAGTGCATATGGCCATCTCTAGAACGCATGTTCTGTGGTGGAGCTGTGTAGTCAACCTGGGCATCATCGCCATCTCTAAATCGCTCCGGCATTCGATCGGAAAGCAAGCGCTGGCCAGATGACGGCCTCATGCTTGCACTCAGCCTTTGATCCGCCCGTTCTGGCTGCCGTTTGGCATCATCTAAGAAAGGCCGCATCACAACTCGTTATTTCTGAAGAAAGTCGAGGGCTCAGGTTGAGCAAGCCCAAAGCCGGTGTGGAGAATGAGTGGTAGTGATCGGGGGGGTCAGGCCGTGGTGTGGATGGCCGGGGCCGATAGGATGGCGATCAGGGATGGTTATTGGCCTCGGGGAGCCCGCGTCAGGCGGGCTTCTATCACGGCAAGCCAAGCAGCAGATATGCAACTGACAAGGTCATATCATATGAAGTGTGTATAGTCAGACGCTGGCAAGTGAATCAACCAGCGAGCGGGTCAGGCAGCTCAGACAGCTCCAACCAGGCGATAAGGAACATTCGCGGGATCGATAAGCAAATCAAACGCCCCCGCACGCAACCACTCAAAGATGGGAGGCTGACAGGTGAGTGATGGTCAGTACCATGTAATGAGTCAGTCGATTGGAAAGAGCGCAAAAGAGCAAAGTGATCCTCTAGCTAGCCCAGTGAGGCGCATCAGCTGCCTCGCAAGGTTCGGGTGATTGCGATGGTTGGTTGTGCTGGTGAGTCGCATGTGATGGCGGCATCACTGGCTGTCAGGTGACTTGTGCTTATATAATCTATGATGGAGTTGAGGTTCTTGAGTGATTATTAGATTTTGAATCTTTTGGAAATATATTCTAACTATGGACATGGATGATGACTATTCACTGAGGCTCAAACGTTGCCCGGATACCCTGTTTTCAGGAGAGTATGATATAGAGCCAGTCATGGTGGATGTGGACCCCATTGCCAAGAGGAACGGTTCCAACTGAGCGGTGTGGACGATGAACACAACAGACATCCACCGAAACGGTGAGAGAGTAAAGCTAAACGATGTGTATACCCATCTCTTCTAGACTGGGATCCGAGATTCCATTCCGAGGAGACAACGTACAGTAGGGTGCCGTCCTACCTACGGCGGACCATCGGACCGTAAGCGCCAATGTCCTCAAAGACCATTTACCGCTTTACCCTAATTAGCCCAAGTACAATTTCATGGTTACTACTTAGATCAGATGACTGCACCTTTAAAGTAGTGAATGGGTGAAAAGAATATCTATCTAGACGTTACCCAGCTCTAAATAATCAAGGTTTTACTCTGGATCTTTCCCTGGCGCTTATAGTAAAAGGAGATCAGCTAGGAGGTGAACAGGGAAACCGTCTAGGAACCCGTCTGGGATACTATCTAGGGAACTATCGCAGAAACTACCTTGGAAACTATTCAAACTAACCAGGTAACTATCTAGGAGGTTATACATTGCCGTCGTTAGTAGACAGATCTAAGCACTAATTGAATGGTATTACGCCAAGGGCTTAATTACGATATTAATTAAATTTATAGGATGATGATCGTACGTAGGCCTCGGGGTCTAACGCTCCGTCCTGGTATCGATCGTTGGATGAGTGGGATTAGGTGACTTGGTTAGGCCGTGAGAGGATTCCTCAAGTCGGAGAGGGATTAGACAGGATTTAACATCAGATTGTCGATTACATCTAAATTTCGGCTCCAGTAATCTCTTTAGTCAGTTAATTTAAACCAATTTCAATCTTTTCCGTGCGGTAAATTGCACTTAACAAAGGGTATACAGGATATGCGTAGATTGTATGGGAGAAAGCATGCCTGAAATCGAGATTCCGCCGGTTCTATCATTGCTGACAAAGGGTTATGGCCTTCTCCCCCATAGTCCGCCGTACCTATCCCGTCGTATTCTCTTCGTAGTGCCGGTTTTGGAATGGGCTTCCCGCTGTGCCTGGGGCGGGGAGGTAAACTATGCATTGGCCCCTTGCTTTGACCAATCTACAAAGCAAAGAAGCCAGAGCTACATGGTACACCGGGTCCTCTTCCAAGGCTGATCCAAGGACGCGCGTTCGAAGCCTGGGAACAACATTACCAAGGCTGCAACACCATGTCCAAGAGAGGTGTACACAAGATCTATGGACTAGAGTACCGGTCCATTCAGCCAGCTTCAACTTCCTATCTTCTGAAAAAAAATTCTGACGGTACTTGGATCATCCTTGAATTACTCAGACCTGACACACCAGTTCATCGTAAAACCTGTCACTAATAGAATGATTTTGAAGGATTGTCGGGGTTCCACCTCACACACATCCATGATGCATAACACCATGGAACCATGTGAAGGCGTGCTTACCTCCTCCAACGAGGCAGAAAATGGGCCGCCTGAACCACCACGAATCTCTACTAACACACTCCAGATCAACATTCAAGTAACGCTAGACTAGACCAAAGTCGCACTGGCTGGCGTCAGATGGAAAAGCACGCAAAAGTATCCCTGTGTCTGCTCACCATCCCTTTTTTTAGGCTGTGCCATGACGCTGCAAAAGAAAAGCTTTAAAGTTCAGGTCTTGGCCTCGTCTTGGCTCTTATAGATCGTATCTTCGTATTCATCTCCGGGACTCGAATCACTATGGGGCTCTTCAGTGTTCCCGAACTCAATACCCGCCTGGGCACTTGGCGGGCCTATCATCTGGCTGCAATCGTCTTGTAAATTGTGCAGCTGATTACACTATGTGCGAGCTACGTCTCAGACTAACATACTCTTCACAGCATATCTTCCTTCCTCTCCGCTTATGACTCGGGAGTTGCTGGTGGAATCCTAAGCTTCAAGTCCTTTCAGAATGACTTTGGCTACACCAGCAAGCACCAGTCCAAGGTCTCATCACTTACGGTGGGCTTGGAACAACTGGGATCTTTCATTGCAGCTCTCTTCGTCTATCCGTTGACCAACAAATATGGGCGCAAGATCACCATTATCGGCTCGACTGCCCTCTTCGTCGTCGGCGTGATTATTCAGGTTATCAACACCCACTCTCTGGCCGCTTGGTATGTTGGTCGCGTGGTGGCTGGTCTGGGTATGGGTGGCCAGAGCGTAGTTATTCCTATGTACTCGGCAGAGATGACGCCCAAGGAGATTCGCGGCCGCTGTGGTTCATTCTACCAGTGGCTCTATACATGGGGAGTTTTTACCGCCTACTGGGTTGACTATGTGAGATCCATGGCCCTCAAGGACAATTTCCTCCACCAAGATCACAGAGACTAATGATCGCGCAGGGTGTCGCCAAGAGCACAACAATTTCAGGGACATCGCGTGAATGGCAGATTCCCGTCGGTCTTCAGCTGATCTCCGGAGGTATTCTCTTCATTGGCACTTTCACCCTCCCAGAGTCTATCCGCTGGCTCTTGTCGCAAAATCGCACAGATGACGCCTGGAGGTCTATCGTTTGGATCCGTGGTGGTGATACACCGAAGACCCGTGACGAGTTTGCAGAGACCCAGTTGGGACTGCAAGCTGAGCGTGCTGAGCGCGAGGGTTTCTCTCTTCGTGAGCTGCTTGAACCGGCGAATCGTCTCCGTTTCCTTGTTGGCCCTCTACTCTTCATATTCCAGAATGCGACTGGTAGCAGTGCCTTGGCGGTATTTGCGCCACAGTACTTCAAGTTAATTGCTGGCAGCGGGACTGATCGTAACATGCTCCTGACCGGTCTCTTCGGTGCTGTCAAGGTCATCTCATGCACGTTCTTCATCGTTTTCCTAGCAGAGCGACTAAGCCGTCGTTTGACGTTGGTTAGTGGTTCGGCTTTGATGTCTGTTTGTATGTTGATTACTGCCCTGATCGTCGATTATATCCCGACCCAGTCCGCAACAAGTGTTACCGCAGCTGGAAGGGCGACCGTCGCAATGATTTACCTCGACATCATGGTAAGGATTCCCATTATCTTTCTATCCGATGACTTCTTGCTAAAACTGCAATTGTTCAGATTTACAACTGCTCATGGGGCCCTCTGCCCTGGGCTTACGTCCCCGAAATTTTCCCTACGCGCATTCGTGCCCTTGGTCTGGCAGTCAGCATGTTGGCTCACTGGGCATCGTCATTCTGCTTCTCCTTCGCAAGCCCCTACATGATTGCAAACGTCGGCGCCAATACCTTCTTGATATTTATGGGCTTTGATGCCGTGGCTGCTGTTTTCTGCTGGTTCTTTGTCAAGGAGACTCGTGGAAAGAACCTCGAGGTTGCTGCTGGCACAGAATGGGAGGCTGCCGAGCGTAGCTCCTCTGACGATGGCGAGAAAGGCGGCGTGCTTAATGCGGAGGGGAAGAGGGTTCAGCTCGTCAGTGTGCACGAGAATTTCCACGCTAACCTCAAACACCGGTCTTCGTGAGGGAAGAGGCTTGTTACGTTGGATAGCTTACGTAGTTGCTGCGGACTGTTACTTGCCAGATGGATCACAGCGAGTTTGGGACGGAAAGACTCTAATGAAAAAGGCCACAAATGCTAAATGTTCCAATCGATGTTGTCCTTTGAGTAGATGGAAAGGTATTCCAATTTGGAACAATGTAAGTCGGTCCTCAACATGGTAAAATTGTACATCGAAATTGTCCTGTAGATCATAGAACGAAGATATCTTTTTGCTAAACAAACCCATAACGCCAACTTATGCCTTTTCGGACTTTTTCCGCTTCTTCTCCTCGCGGTCCTTGTGAGACTTCTTCGACTTCTTTTGACTCCGCTCCTCATCATCGGCGTTCTCTTGTGTGTGTTTCTTGGACTTCTTCCGGGGCTCAGCACTCGCCTGAGTAGCATCTCCTTCGGTGTGAGGGTGCTTCCGCTTGCTACGCGCGGGGGCCTTGATCTGAGGCTCCTCAGACTCCGACTCCGAGCTCACTCCAAGAGTTTCTGGCTCGCTGGGCAAGCTGCCGACGGGACGGAAGCGCATCTTCATACCCTTTGGTTGAGGGCGGGGCGGCTTGACGAAATCCCGCAATTTCTCGATCGTTGCAGCAGTGGACTTAGCAGCCTTCTCCGGCAGACCGATCAGTTCCTGTACGTGGAAGCTTTGAATGTGGTCGGACTTGTTGCAATACGTTTCAGTGCTCTCATCGTACACAAGCAAAGTCTTGCCCTCCGGGTCGTTATCGTTGATGGAATCGGCGGGAATTCCGTAGTTTTTGCCGTCGTATGCCAGGATCGGCTCGCCCTTCAGAACCTTGGACATGGTAATCTCCTTGACCTTGGACAACGGGAGGAACGACGGAGCGGTGATATGGAAAACCTGTTTGCCGCGGAGATTGGAAAGAACGGAGGATGTGCTCGAGGATGGCGGATTTTGCTTCTTTGCGGACTTGAACCCGAAGGGTGGCTTGTATGGCTGGTTTGGACCAGGAATGTGAACCCTATGGTTTTGGTTAATTCAACTGCGCTCAAGATGCCACTTCGATGGAGCGAAATTGAAGCTACTCACTTCTTTGCTGCAGACCGTGCCTCTGTAGCGTCTTCGCTTGTGTCCATCTCACTTGAGCTTCCAGACTCGCTCTCAGACTCTGACCCAGAATCAGAGCTAGAGTCCGAGTCGGACGAATCTGAAGAATCCGTGGACTCTGACGACTCATCCTCAACTTCGTCTTTTGTTTTCGTCGCCGCCTTGACGGCCTTCTTTTGCGTGTTTTCGGGCTCGGGAGAGGTTGATCTGCTCGAACTGCTGTCGCTCGAGGAGGAAGAAGCGGCAGCCATGTGGCTTGGATTGGCGCTCTGCGCTACACACGGATGGATGAGAGGGTGGTTCTGAGGTCGAAATGGCGCTCAAGGACGGAGAGAGCGATTTGAAAAGAGGCGTAATGCGCAACAGGTAGCCAGTCGCTAGTCAATTATTCTTGTAGCTATGCAAACAGTCGATTTCCTGCGATGCTGGAAGGAATGTTGGAGATTCCGGCCGATCTTTTTTTTCTGCTCCGCAGGAGCACGGACCACCCTCCAACTTTTTTTGCTTATCGGCTTCATCGCCGCATTATCGACCCTCCGCTGTAAAACCCGTGCCTTAGGACTGATTTCACGGCATAGAACGATGAAACGAAAGGCCGAGAAGCAACAATCCACCGGTAACTAACCAGAATAAGCTTACACGATATTGGTACCTCGTTAATGCCTTCGCCAGCTCCAGTCAGCGCTATGAGCGCTGTCGCGGCGCGCAAAGCTCGACAGCAACAAGCGCAAGCTGCAAAGACCGAAGTCTTCGTCGAGATCACGAACGAGCCCCCTACAAAACGACCCAGAAGGTCTCTCGAGGGGCCACCGGTCACCCCTAATGGCGAGGAGTCTAAAGGTCCCCGCACGAGGTCGTCGACGAAGCAAGATGCATCCTCGCCTGCAGTGACAAGAGCTGGGCGGCAAAAGAAATCTTCGGAGTCTGAGCAACTGGAACCCCAGTCCAATGGGGTTGCTGAAGAGAATGTGGATTCAGATCAGGAAGAAATTGAGCAGGATAAAACCGAAGTTGAGGAGGAAATAGCAGAAGACGAGGTCGCGTCTGTCATTGGAGACGCTGATGGATATGAGTCGCCTGCGGACACTCCAGCAGAGCTCCAAAACTTTCCTCTATCCAAGGCACGGCTGAACAAGAGCAATATCCTGTATGCGGACGACAATACTATGTGTATCCGCATCAAAGAGAAGACGGTATGGCAAACACCCTCCGCCGGCACCTTCAATGGCGCTAACTTTGCGTTAGAACTTGGCGTTGTTGGGACAGTATGATCTTTGGGTTAAACGAGGAGTTGTGAGCCTCATGGGTGCTAAATTGCATCCATCTGCCCGAGTCTACAGGGTTTATGCTCCTTCTACTCATTCCTTGCCGGTCATCAAATGTGTTTCCGGTGTCGAGGGCGAGGCAGAGGTCGAGATCAAGTCTTGCAAAAGTGGCCTTACTCGGCTACGAGATATCTCACCCCTCTATCAGAAAATTTGGAATGGGGAAAATACCGCTGCAGATAAACTCACTTTGAAAGGTGCTCGCAAAGATTCACGGCGAACGTTCTCTGTGGTACGTGTACTTCGAATTTGCTATTCGAATCTCTCTATCATGAAACTAACTTGTCGATAGCTATATACCTCTGCAGACGATTCTCTAAAAAGACATCTGCGACCCCTCCATCTCGACAAAAAGTGGAGCGCATCGATGAAGGCGCTCTCCCAAAGACATGGTCAACTGCGAGTTCTGGTCTGCGGTCCAAAAGCTTCGGGGAAATCAACCTTCAGTCGCTACCTACTGAACCACGTCCTCAGTCCAGCCCCGGAAACCGAAAACGGATACATTAATACCGACGGCTGTGCGTTCCTTGACTTGGACCCCGGCCAGCCAGAGTTCGCACCCATGGGTCAAGTCTACCTTGCACATTTACGCGCCCCTTTCTTTGGACCTCCATTTACCCATCCTTCCCTCGATGCCTCTCGTGACGGCCAGATTTTGCGAGCTCACCACATTGGGGCAACGTCACCCAAGGAAGACCCCGACCACTATGCTCTAGCTACCATGGACCTGATGGAGCAATATCGGTCCCTGCTGACAAGGTACCCCCAATGCCCATTAATCGTCAACTATCCCGGCTGGATCTTTGGGCAGGGACTTGAAGTGGCCACTTGGCTGATCAAGTCTCTCGGTCTGTCCGACGTTGTATATATGAGTGAGAAGGGTCCTACAGAAGTCGTCGAACCTCTGTCCATGGCTGCCAACGGGGCTCGGGTCCAGATGACCATTCTGCCATCTCAGCCTACGGACTTTGTGAGCCGATCGAGCGCTCAATTGCGCTCGATGCAGATCCAGTCTTACTTCCACATGTTGCACCCGAGTGGCCTTAACAATCCACTTTGGTCGGATGCACCTCTCTCCCGAACGAGGCCTATTACTGTGGACTACGCGGGTGATAAACAGGGCATCCTGGGCATAATGGTCTTGAGATCTCACATCAATCCTGCAATGCTTCGCGAGGTCCTCGAAGGAGCGATTGTCGGAGTCGTTGCAATTGAATCTTCGAATGCCATCAACGGCGCAGCTACTGATACATCAACAAGCAAGTCGGCCAATAACGACAACGACAACGAGGACGATGTTGATGCAGATGAAGACGTTGAGATGAACTCAGGCGAACAGCATGCCGAGAGTGCCGTTTCTGGGCCCATAGCCAACAGCGTCCTCCGAACTCCCGCGGAAGACCTCCCCTACCTTTACGTTGGTGCTGGCACATCCGTCCCTTTGAACCCAAGTGCCTCAAACTGCCTTGGCTTGGCTTTGATTCGATCCGTCGATGTCGCGTCGCGTAAACTGGAACTCTCTACGCCTATTCCTTCGTCGCGCCTGTCTGACGCTATTGAGCAAGGGCATGAGCTTGTCCTGGTCCGTGGCCAGGTGGATAACCCTAACTGGGCTGTTAGCGAGGAATATTACGCAGCACGAGCTGCCGAGAGGCGCTATCAGAAGTCGATCGCCCGGAGGAAGAAGGCCAACGATCCTGCGGTCGATAAGGAAGCTGAGAGCAAGACGCTTGCAGTTCTGCGCGAGCGAATCCGCCGTGCAAGCAATGTGCCGTGGATGACGGTGGTAGAGGATAACAGCCGCCGCCATCGTGAGGCCGCAGCGCAGCGCGAAAAATCCCTGTGGAAATTGAGGAAGAAGGCGTATCCAGGCAGTGAGAGCGAGACTGACTGGTAATATGATGTAATTTCCTTTGTAACTCTTTTCCAAACAATACTTGAATCATCAAATCATCTCATCAGCATCCAAGCAAATGCTAAAAAAAAAAAAAGAGACGGTTCCTGGATAACAAAAAGACGATCTAAAACAGTAACCGAGAGACGTCCCGAAAGAAGTAGAGTTTAAGCATGGTTGGTTCGACACTATAAGTTTAGCTCATTAAAACTTACAGACCCTAATAAATTTGAAGCTATTAAGATCGGTCTTGTTGGACTACTACTGTACAGTCTCTGCCGATGGTAAGACTCCAATCACTCAGGCCACCAAGGCACCAACGGTACGTTCAATTCGGGTTTTGGTTAAACCCGCGGTGAACGCCTCGGGACTTACTAATGCCCGAGACGACATCCCTGTCATTACTGAATCGTCTGACTTCGGTTGGAAAAATCATTTTCTCGTTCGTGAACAACCTCTTGCCCAGGTTAGAGAGATTGATCGTTTCCCCTGAATACATGCTACAAAAGCCATGTCGATGCAAGGTCCCAGCAATCCAGTTCCTTACCGGGCTCACTCTTCAACCAAGTCACAACGAGTCCTCGCCTGCATCCTCTGTCAACAGCGCAAGGTCAAATGTGACCGTAAATTCCCTTGCTCTAATTGCGTTAAGCATCAAACGCAATGCGTGCCTTCTTCGCAGACGCGTCCACGAAGACGTCGATTTCCCGAGCGCCAGCTACTGGAGCGTCTCCGAAGCTATGAGGAGTTGCTCCGTCAGAACAAGATTAAGTTCGAGCCACTTCACAAAGAGTCTAGTCCTGCTGCGAGGAGTGATGACTTGCGAGAGGAAAGCGAAGATTCCGGTGCTGAACAGCCGGACTCCGGAGGGTCTGAGGGGCCATCTCCGACCCATCCTTCGAAACCAAAAAGCGCGTATGATGTTAAGTACGACGATCTCTAGTTTTCCTGAATCTATAATGTTATCACTCTGTTCAAATCATTTTGAGACTAAATCTCATTTGCAGGAACATATGGCATGCTCTGAGTCAAGGCGTGCGTGGTCCCCCGCTTTCAGAAGCTTGCTCACTAACCCTGTGGAACGTAGTTCCGAGGAGTAAATAACGACGGCGATTTGAACGATGGTGTCCGAGAGGTCATGGTCGGGAAGACTTGGGATCATCTCTTTGATAACGATGATCACCTTCTTTTTGGCTCACGACAGGCTGCTTTTGAACTTTCGACGCTCCATCCGGAGCCGGTACATATCTTCCGTCTCTGGCAAGTATACATCGAGAATGTCAACCCGCTGCTCAGGGTCACGCATACACCAACACTACAGGGTCGTATCATTGAAGCTGCGAGTAATCTGACCAATGTGACTCCCGCTCTGGAAGCCCTGATGTTTAGCATTTACAGCATGGCTGTATTAAGCCTTGGCGAGGACTGCCAGACCCTGTTTGGGATACCAAAGGATGAGCTTCTGAGGAAGTTTCAGTTTGGCTGTCAGCAAGCTCTGCTAAAATGTGGCTTCTTACGATCTGCCGATCGCGACTGTTTAACGGCATTATACCTGTATCTTGTGAGTTTGGCTTGGTAATACGGAGTATTCCCACTTGCCACTAATAGTGCTCAGGTTTCGGTCCATCCTAACACAGATCCTCGCTCTCTATCTTCTATGCTCGGAATTGCGAGTCGTATTGCCCAGCGGATGGGTATTCAATTTGAGTCCAATAATTCAAAATACCCGGTCTTTGAAGCTGAAATGCGCCGAAGATTGTGGTGGTCATTTGTGCTGTTCGACGCGCGAGTCAGCGAGTTGTCTGATTATAGAACCACTTTACTTGCCCCAACTTGGGACTGCAAGATCCCCCTTAACGTGAATGACTCTGATATTCGCCCCGAGATGAAGGAGCCACCGGCAGAGCAGGGTAAAATCACAGAGGGACTGTTCGCCCTTCTGCGCTACGAAATCGGAGAGTTCATTCGCCACAGCTCCTTTCATCTAGAATTTACCAATCCATCTCTGAAGCATGTGGCAAAGGATCTCCCTGGAGATGGGAACCTCGATACTCTGGAGAAGATCATTGAAGAGGGGTATCTTGATCATTGCGATTCGCAGAATCCCCTTCATTACATGACAATCTGGATGATGAGATCTACCGTCTCGAAGCAGCGACTGCTAGAATACTATTCACGGTCTTGTTATGGGTCTCAGAAGGCGAGGGAAAGTGATTTCCCGATGTTATATGCATTCAAAATACTTGAGAGTGATACGAAAATCATGAGTTCGCCCTTGACTAAAGGTTTTACATGGTTCCTCCATTCCCACTTTCCTCTTCCGGCCTATATCCACGTCGTCCAAGAGTTGATCAAACAGCCCACTCGTCCCGAGGCGCAACAAGCCTGGGAAGTCATGAGCGACAATTATGAGGCCCGATTCAATGCTTCAAGTTTAGTCGGCAGTTCCGATTTTGTTGGCAATTCCGTTTTAAAAACCTTCACCAAAATTCTCCTCCAGGCCTGGGATGCCCTCGAAAACGCTTCCAAAAATCTCGGAACATCCGGTCGAGATCCGTTAGTTCCGCCGAGAATCGTGTCGAATCTCAAAATGAGAATGGCCGAGAGAGCACAGAACGAACAACACAGCAACATGGAGCAGCAGCTCGGCGATCTCACCAACGCAGATATCAACGACTTACTCAGGTCAATGCCGATGGGATTTGGCAACCCAAATTCGGGTTATGGCATGACCGGGGCCTATAGCTTTTCAGGAATTGATCCGGTGCCAGTACCCGATCCCAACATTCCAGATCAATCTCCGGCTCTATCGGTTGCTCAGATGCATCAGATAGGTTGGGCATCGAGGGCATGGGCCTTCCGTGAGCGGCGTCGCGGATGGTGATATATGAGCCAACACTGTGATCGTGCTGTTTTTCCCACAGTATATGAGAAATCAAAAGACTGAGCGATGAGTCATGCGGGTATTCTTGGCTATTCGTCCATAGGGCGAGACAGAGAAGAAGAATGAAAAGAGTTGCATAGTAGATCCTATCGCTCGTACCGGATCGTACGATCAAGCTCCCCTCTACGCTGTCGTTTTGGAGTACCATTAGCTAGAAAATGAGTTGCTGGTGGTTATTTACGGTAGTTATTGACTCGGCCTTGATGCATCGAGGCTGTGGAACTGGCGGGGAGGAGCGATGGTTGCAGAAGTGGACCCTCACGAGTGTGTACATAAGTAACTACATGCTGTTTGTACGAGACAAAGATTAGCTATGTAAGATCGGTTTCTCGATATGCCCTACATACGACGGAGTATATATCCACGGAGTACTGTACATCCGTAATACAAAGTATTGTAGAGTTGAAGCAGTTCAAAATCCAACGAGAACCGTGGGCCAGGGAATTAATCGGCCCGCACTTGACCAATTACTCAATTACCTCGAGCTCTCTGATTGGCGATGCGATCCAGGAACAAACCGCATAATTAAATCGGGCCCCACAATGGCGACTTTATAGGTTGACAGGCATCTGTACATGAAAATTTTCATATGCAGGCCACTGCATATTGGGTATTTCCAGCTTTAAATCCCAAGAGGCTTCACGGAGGGGGAAATTTAGGTACAGTACATACTCTGGCTAAAGGCAAGCCACCAATGGGGTCCCCGACGGAGAAAAGGAATGAGTCGAAAGGGGTTCTTTAGGGCATCTTTACTCTTGTACCTGCGTTGGCGCCCACAGACTTTAGCCTTCGTTCAAGGTCGCCAAACATGGCCTAGTCTTGTTAGCCGGGCTGGTCAGTCTAGTCAACTCGGGATACGCGCCCGAGCGGGCCCACGCCATTGTATCGGATTTGCCGGGCTAAAGCGCCTCAAACACTGGGGGAATCGGGGTTCAGGGGAGGCTATACGGAGTACATAAAGCCATACGAGATATTAGGGGGACTATTTCAGTGCATAAAGAGCTATGCTTAGCAAGATGGAAACGGATAGGCAATCACAATATGGGTAGTTGCGTCTTGCCCGGACGATCTCACGTTGACCACGTACGTTCTAGGCTGATGTGGAAAGCCCGCAAGATTAGGTCGACAAACGAGTGGGTCTCATTCAGGCTTGGATGGCGAATTCACCAATTGCAACTCCCATTATATACCAAGCCAGCTCCACTCCAGTCCACTAGACGGCCGCTATGCTCCGCCGGCGGCCGAGTATACGTCAACTCCCGGAACGACTAAGAATCTCGTGAGAATTATGTTTGTCGAAAACCCCATCTTAGGGCTGGCCATGCGTCTTCCAAGCCCATCGTTAGCGCCTGGCGTACGTATAGCCCCCGCCTCGCTATCCCAGCGCCGTCGAGGGGGGCCACACCCAAATTAAAACTGAGGTCTGGCCCCCTCCCCCTAACCCTCTTGCCCTCTTGCTCTCTTGCTCTCTCTCTTCAGCACGCTCGTTCAATTCTTTCTCCAGCGAAGTCGCTGTGCCGCTCTTTAATACAGTCACTCTTTTGAAACACATATTTGACCTGCAGCGTCTCCGTCGCTCAAGAGGACTCTTTGCGAAATTCGAGACTTGTGGTGCCTTTTTGGTCTTGAAACAACTCCATCTCTTCTAGTGAAATCATGCACTTCTCCAAGTCTTTCACGCTGCTGGCAGCCCTGACCAGCAGTGCTGTGGCTCGCCATGGTCACAACGCCCTTCATGAAGACCATCTTCGTCGTCAGGATACCGGCAGCACTATCACTCTGACTACGACCAACACCGTCTATGTCTGCCCGTGTGATTCGTCGACTTCGACTAGTCTGGCGTCCATCTCGACGTCCATTCCCTCGTCTACTTCGACCTCGACTGTGATCTCGACTACCTCTACTTCGACCTCAACTTCCACTTCCATCTCGACTTCGACTTCCACTTCGATTTCCACTTCGATTTCAACTTCCACTTCCATCTCGACCGAGGTCTCTACCTCTACTAGCGCCTCGTCCACCTCCACCACTGCTGCCTCGACGACTTCGTCTGGCGCCAGTGCCGACTGGACATCCGTCCCCTCCAGCGGCGAGTACAGTACCACCGGCTTCGGTACTGCTACTGAATCCTCCGGCTCGGGCGATACTTACGTCGGCAACGTCGGCAGCCCCTACGGTAGCAACATCCTGGAAGTTTCCAGCTCCGAAGCCAGCAGCTACAAGTACGTCGTTCAATTCACGGGTTCCGAGACTGAGGCATGGAAGGTCGTGATCTGGAACAAGATCGGCTCCGATGGCAAGATGGACGGCTGGTACGGCAATGCCTGCCACAGCTTCACCCTCGCTGCCGGTGCTACCAAGTACTACGCCTTCGACACCGACTCCCAGGGTGGCTGGGCTGCCGCCAAGGGCTCCATCCCCCTCAATTCCTACGGTAGCTACGCTTCCACCTGGGGTGAATTCGACTTCGGCTCTACCGCCAACGATGGCTGGTCCGGTTTCGATGTTTCCGCTATCCAGGCCCAGAACGCCGATCTCACCGTCCAGGGTATGAAGATTTGCAGTGCTCTCTCCGACGGCACTTGCTCCTCCATTACCACTGGTGCCGGTACCGTCGACAATGCCTACACCGCTGATCTCGCCGACGAGGGTGGTATCGGTGGTAACCTGGTTGCCGGTGCAGTCCGTCTGGCCGTCACCCTGGATTACAGCGGATAAGTTCCCCCATCTTTTGACTGAACGATCAATTCTGTATTATCTTTCTCCTATATCTTTTCTGATGTACCGACACTCACGAGTGTAGGTGTTATGTGGGGGGACGAGCTTGGTGTATCAACCAGTGGTGTAATAATTTTTTTTTTCCATCATGTCCTTTGCCATGGTCCCTTTCAACATATTATTTTACCTAATATACCATCCTGGCTGCAAAAGTGTTGAGTAATTAGCATCACTCTGTCTCTTGATATCTGCACTGCCGCGAGTGGAGTTACGCGTCACTAGCGGGTTTGGGCGTTCTTGGCCTTTTGGGAGGACTTCGGGCTCAAGGCTCGACTCCTATTTTTTGTGTTTGGAGCTTGAAGTGAGAGTATGGCTCTTCGTCCGGTTAATTTCGAATATACTCTCTGCATATGCTAGAATATAACTTTCTAGCATATTTGGTCTTTTTAGTATGTTTGACTAGTAGGTCGGGGCATATGTCGTATTATAACAGTCTACATGAAAACATCTTCCGTTGACTGCATGTCTTTTGTGGTATCTGAAGATTTGAGAGATTTTAGGCATAAAAGAAAAGACTGTGTTTATACAGAGAGTCAAATAATCGAATGCTGTTTATGATTCAGGTGCGTAGACAAAGTCCAATTTCAACTTCATTTACATTTCGAACGAAAGGCGTAGACGGAACCTGTACACTTTGGCTGGAAACACTATGCAGAACGATGATTCGGGTCCTGTTTCAGAGCTCCGTCTTCAGGCTCGATGATGCGCCACTTTTGTTCTCCTCTTGCTTCTTCCACGACTGTACCATGAGCGCGGCAACATTCCGGCCCATCAGGGCGCTAGTCTCCATCGTCGAGATAAAGCTCTCGATTCCACTGGTGTACCAGACACCGGGGGCTAGGAGAGTCTCCTCAAATGTCACTCTCGGGTACAATAGCGGATAGGGATGCCAGAACTTCTCATGGAACCAGCTAATCTCCGTCCTGGGCAGATCGCCAATGGTGGTGTTGGCTTGCGGAGTAATTACCGAGCCGCTGTCATGTTGATAGTCAATGTCAAATATTTGCGCGATGAATTCGGCCGTAGGTCGTTCGGGTGAGAATATCTTGTACACGTAGTGCACCTCTTGCTGCACCACTCCATCTTTGACGGTTGAATAATCCACTGTTTGCAGTGTACTGATGCTCCAGAATTCAGCGGGTCCGGCGCCGTGCGGGTTCTGTCCTAGATCCAGGCCCTCGGGAAGTGTTGTGAGAATAGTTTCTGGAACTTCATCCTTCTTCCCGTCAAGTCCAAAATACTTTGGGGAGATTCGATGAGGTGAAGCAAGAAGAGTGACATGCAACTTCACATATGGAATCTCGTCTGGGATGTGCTCCAGTGGCGGGGATATGGAAATGCCAGAATACTGCAGGGGCCCAGCAATGATGACTTCATCGAACTTTGTCTCATCAATCTGCTGCGCAGAGTCACTCTTAGCACTGGGGTGCGATGTGATCTGGATAGTCCGGTCATCATTGCGGACGATTCCAGTGACGGTAGTATCCAATCTGATATCGGCCTTTGCAGCTTTGACAGCGCCGTCAAAGATTCGCCAATTTCCACCATCGATGGATACAGCCCCATCCGTAGCCATGCAGACCATTGACTCTAAGCCGTGAATCAAGCCTAAATTCTGGCCATAATTGACGCGAGTACTTGCTTGAATGATCTCCCGAGAGAATAACGAGGGGATCGAATTCATTGCAAGAAACTCATCACCCGTCGACGCAGTAGCGTTAAGCAAGCCCACCGCAGCGGCAGCCTCCGACAGCGACTGGAACGGAAAGAGGGGCTCCTCGTATAGACGCAGGAACTTGCCCACGATGTCCTTCATCAGGTTCTGCGTGCGTAGCGGAGCCATTCCATATCGCCAGAAAAGTCGAGCAAGATTCCACCAGCTATAGGAGTTCTTCATATTAAACACAAACTGCTTGCCGTCCCAAATACCGATCGATTCATCGGATTCCCGGGGCCGCGCATGGTCGGCAGCACTGACAATAAGACCCAGGTCACGCGAGGCATTGACCAGGTTTTCATTGACCTTGACGAAGATTGAGGCCCCCAATTCGATTGGGTATGCCGGATGATCAAATACGTTCACTGTTGTCGAGCGTCCTCCGATGTATGAGGCACGCTCGTAGACCGTAACGTCGAGTGGGATCCCAAACTCATCCGCAAGTTTGCGGAGCTCGTATGCAGCAAAAGAGCCCCCAGCACCGGCTCCTACAAGCTATATTAGTATCTGTGGCCCTTTTGGATTCAATCTACCGAATAAGAGTTCTTTAAGGAAACTCTTGGGACGCCTACCGATGACAGCCACCCGCTTGGGCACATCTATAGCAGCTCGTAGCGGTTCCTGTGGCTGGACCGCATTGCTGGGCGGTAAAAGAATCATCAAAACAGTAAATACTAGCAACAGACCACGCAAGGACCGTGGAATAATTGCCATCTTTGCAGAACCTATGTTCACATTCAGGAGATAGATGAGAGAAGAAAACGAGGTGAGCTGACCATGTCGATGTTGCAAGGGAGGCATGACGCGGGTAATACTGCGGCGGTGTGGGGCCGCCGTATCGCTTATCGCAACATTTTTTAGTGAGGGGGAACTTTTTCTTCTTCTCTGCGTTGCCTCGCTAGCATCAGATACCCTGTCCATTGAAACACCATGGATCCCTACGACAGTGACTCAAGTGTGGATGAAGATTTCACAGAGACCAGTGTGCTTCTCGGATACGCTGATGAGGAGGTCATAGAAGACACCATCAGCCATCTTGGTGGTTGGCCGGTATGTACCCAACACCGGGCAAGAATCTCAGCGCGGACTTTTATACTGACGATTCCTCTTGGTGTTCCCCTAGTCATGGATCGATGAGAATACACCTCCACCGGGCGACTACGCCAACTGCAAAGTCTGCAACGGCCCGATGCTACTTCTTCTCGAACTGCACGGCGATCTGCCCGACCATTTCCCCAATAACGAACGCCGCCTGTACATATTTGGATGTCCCAGGAAACCATGCAATCGCAAGCCAGGCAGTATCCGGGCATACCGCGCAACCCGCAAGGTCAGTCTTCCCGGCCTACCACTGCCACAGCCGCAGAAGGTGGAAAAGAAGAAGCCCGAACCCAAGCCCGAGCCCGAGCCCGTCGCACCCTCCAAGCCCAAGCTGGACCTGGGAGCAAGTTTGTTCAGTGCGACCGCGTTGACTAGCAGCGTGTCGGCAAACTCCAATCCCTTCTCGCTCACACCTGGCTCCGGTGCGGCGGCCGCGGGGGCCAATCCATTTGCGATGCCCAAGCTTGCGACGCCCGCGGGTCCGGCTTCTACCCCGGCTGCCAAATCTTCCACCGCGACCTCTACAAGTGCGCTTGCTGAATCATTCGCCGATAAGGTCCGGATTTCCTCTCCCGCCCCGGCCAGCGCCTCGGGCACGGCGACGAAGCAAACGCCCGAATCGATGGGCGTGCAGGCACCATGGCCCGCGCAGTCTGCCTTCCCGGCTCCCTATAAGAAGTACTACCTCGACGCTGAATATGAGACCATGTCGCGACCTTCTACACCTACGATCCCTGAAAACGTCACCGTGGAGCCTATGGAAGAGGATAGCGCCGGTGGTGAGGGTAATGTCGAGCTCAAGGATACGTTCGAGTCGGAGATGGATAAGGCCTTTATGAAGTTCTCTATGCGTCTTGCGCATAACCCCGAGCAAGTGCTGCGATATGAGTACCGTGGTACCCCGCTTCTTTCTTCTTACACCGATCAGGTCGGTAAGCGTCTGCATCCTGAGCACAGTGCTGGTCGGGTGACGACGACCGGTGGTGGAAGTATGCCGCCGTGCGAGTACTGTGGTGCTCCGCGTGTGTTTGAGATGCAACTGGTGCCTCATACTATCAGCATGCTTGAGGATGGCCGCGAGGGTGTCGGCCTGGGTGAGGGTGATGCTGGTATGGAGTGGGGGACTATCATCGTCGGTGTTTGTGGGCAGGATTGTGCACCGGAGAAGATTGGGCAGCTTGGTTGGCGCGAGGAGTGGGCCGGTGTGCAGTGGGAGGAGATGAAATAGACCGAAGTCATTACGGCCACAAAAGTTGATATACCCATGCTGTGGTTAGAGTGGGTGGGATTTTACATTACCGCCCCTTCTGGATGCAGAAAAACATAGATCGCATTGGGTTTACATAGATCCCGCCTCCATGTCTAATGACACATACTTTGATGCGCAACGATACTCGATTGTTCTTGAGAATACTGTCTGTTTCACGGTTCCTATGGGTATCATCTACCTACACATGATTTATCAAGCTAGCCGATTAGACCCACGCGTGCAGCTACACTCTTCTCCCTAATCACCCAAATCTCCTCTCATTGGTAGATATCGGGGGCAAATAGTTCTTTCTAGAGGGAAGTTCACTCGCGATTGCTCAAGAGTCGGATCAAATGTGGTGACCAGTCCAGCCAACACTGATATTGCTCTCATGCACTTGAAGCCACCCTTTACGGCACGTTCTGGTGCTATTGAATCCATATTTCACACCGGCTCTTTCGAATACAACGAAGAAGTGAACGATCACCAAGCCGAGATCTATGAGACCGTTCATATTGTGATCGTGAATACGTACGTTGATCGGCGTGCGTTCGTTCGAGAGGTTATGCAAAGAGCACCCGCTCTCTTTTAAGCTACGGCAGTACTACGGATACCTTTCAAGACGTAATATTTGTTATCTATCGACACTCTGCCATTTAATTGACTCGCTTTGACAATAGCGCTATGGCAGTCTAAATCGGACATCCCATATGACCAACTAGAGCCGAAGAGGGAAACTATATGAGAGATGAACCACAGAGATATTTCTCTTCAGTCTGTATGCAAATCGCTGATTCACCAGGGACCTAGCTTAGAACTTCTGACGTACCTTATTTATCCATTCCAATGCTATTAGATTGTGAATTGACGGGGTCATAGGAAACGCAAAGACCATTCGTTTTGAGTCAAGATAGTGAAACTCGCTTTTTTAACGAAGAAGGCGTTCAAGCAGAGGAGTAAAGTAGCTCACGCACGTAATTGGTCTGCTGTGTAGTGCGCCCGAGGATCGAGTCATGATAGCGCAGACTCAGTGAGCAGAAGCATAGCGGATAGAAGGTTCAGTGACACGATCACTACGCCTGAGGACCTGCTCAGATCTACTTACTCGACGAGCAAACGCGGCGAGAGGGGTGAGTACTCATACGGAAAAGGGAAGCCAAAAATCGTCAGGAGAAATCCATTACGTAGGTATGAACATGGGATCTCTCTCGCAACCCTCATCAACCGCTCATCATTTCAGAAGAGTCACAAAATATAGGGGTTCCGATACAAAAAAAAAACATCATTGGAGGGCAATCAATCGAGAAAATAAACGCCGGATTGCGCCAGATCCCGACTCTTCTCCGCGGGGTCTCCTCCATGCGAAAAAAATCTATCACCGTCGTCACGGATCGGGGATTCATGAACTCATGTCTCTTTTTTTGAAGAAAAGAAAAAAAGCACTTACTTCCCTCCCACATGGAGAGAAACGAGACGGAGAATGAAGAAGTTTGGGGTGGGTGAGGAAATCGGAGAATGAAAAGGAGGAATATTTAGGGCACGACTGTGATCGTTGTGATCGTTCATGCGGGCTGCTCGAAGCCACGGCGGATAACGCGGCCGAACATGTCGACACCGACACGCTCGCTCTTCACCTCGCTGCGGGCCTCGTTCTCCTTGTTGGTGGGCACGCGAACGACATCGCCCTCGACCTTCCAGCTGCAGACGTCGGCAACGAACTTAGCCAGGGCATCGCGGCTGCGCAGGTCAAGCCACTGCTCGAGGGAGTCGGCAGTGATGGAGCGGAAAGCCTTGCCAACCTCAACGGCGATGCGAATGCGGATGAGCTCCTCGAAGCCGGCGATATCGGCGGTCAGATCAGCGTAAAGGTCATCCGAGTTGAGGGTGGCCCAGAACTGGGTGTACTGAGCGGACTCGAGGAGGGTAGCAAGGCGGGCGAGCTTCTGAACGGACTCGACAAAGTCGGAGGTCTGGGAGGCAGCCTGGGCCTCGGAGGTGGTAGCGAAGGGCTGAGTGTGGGCGGGGAGCAGAGCGAGGCAGAGCGAGAAGGCGGGGGAAGGGAACACGGTCAGGGCCTTGACCAGGACGTTGGTGACTGTGTCGGCTTGCAGGAGGTGGGGGTTGAACTGGTAACTGTTTTTGAAGAGTGCGGGGATTAGTACAAAGCTCATAATTCATGTGTCGTATGCCCAAGTAATTAAGCGCAAGAGTACTGATCGGTATAATTTGAAATACCGTCCACGCATTGCTGGCTTTTTCAGAAAGATTGAAATTCTCAACAGCCCCATACGCGACGGGTTGTCAGGTAATAGGAAACGTGTATGAAGATTCAATTCATTCATCACAGAAAACAAGCCAATATTTTTCGCATAGAAATACCGCCACTCTGAAAGCAACTGGATGAAGGTCCAACTCACAGCTTCAGCAGAGCCAGGTTGGCATAGAGATCGAATGACCGGTCCTCGCACTGCTGGGCGATGTAGTCCTGGAAGACGGTGGTGGTCTCGGGGTTGTACCGATCGAGGCCATTGAGAATGGCATCGATATGAGCCGGCCGGGTTTCACACTTGTCGAAGGCGACCATCTTGGCGGGAGGTATGTGAGGGTTGGTGATGTGCGGGTCTGGCTTTGTTCCTGGAGGTGGTGCTTTTTGGTGGGATTTTTGATTGTGGCCCGGATGTGCTCGGAAGAACCTAATCGGGGCAGTTTATCCGACTCCCCCCATGGGTCCCGAAGTATATCTCGCGGCTGAACTAGTTCGACAATTGATATGAGGCTTTGCTTTGCTTCTTTTGGGGTTTGACAGGTTTGATCAGTCCAGCTTATCCAGAGCCAGGAATAGTGCCGTGGGTCCCATGGCATTGGATTCTCAGGTATGTAACTACGTGAAGATGTAACTGTATCCTGAAGGTTGCCGTTTTCATCACAAGCCGATCCTCCCTGCTCAATCGAGATGGAGAATTGGCTGGCTGTTTGTAGGTAGTATCTTTTCAGGTCTAGAAATATTTAGAATCGCACCACTGTGCTATACAATTACAGCTGTCAAAGACACGCTTTCATCATAATCCCGAGCCCGTTTGACATTCATACCCGAAGTGTACATCGTTGCACCATAAGAGGCAGGCGTAAAACGCTTCCACAGCAGGACCGACCGGCTCTTAATAGTATGAAAATCATCAAATAGAATCCCGGGAGGGCCAAGTTCAATCAAGAATCCACGCCTGTTTAGGCTATCATCGTTCGTGTTTATCCAAAAATACATAGTTATGGTACATGTCCTCCGAGAACCCTCATCGCGATCATTGTCATCAAAAATCCCCGATCATGAATCCGAGTGGGCAAAAGGCCTGCCGGAATGGTAGAATCGAAATAAAAGTTATCGCCGATGGGAAGAAAACGACGGGCCTTGATGAGAAGATGAGGCCGTCCAAGAGAAGATTGAGGGGGAAAAAAAGACAAATCGCAATGCGGTGAAAACAAAAGTGTCCCATGAAATTGAAAACTCCAATCCGTGTCTGTGAGAAGCCATAGTCTATGCCCAGTATCCCATCTTGCGCAACAAACATCATGAGAAAAACAGGAAACCTAGGAAAAACATGCCCGGAGGCGATATGCAAAACGATGACAAAAAAAAAAAAAAAAAAACAGATGATCCACGATAGTGGTGCTATGGCTCAAAAAGCAAACGGCTTGAAATGAATATGGAAACAAAAACGACGTGGTTGCGCGAAAAGATCAAGGTCAAGCGTATCCGGCTGGGGAAAGAAAAACAGTGCTGGTGGGTATCTCAAACGGATGTATGGATGTAACAGGTGGGAAGAGCGCAGTTAGGCCACGACGGACCGGCGGGTAGTGGTAATGGGGATAGGCTGGGGCCCGGAGGCAATTTCGAGTTTGGACATGTCAAGATCATTCCCGTCGTATTTGGAGACTGACTGGCGTTTCTTGGAACGCTCACTGCCATGGGAGACGAGAACGGGTTGGGTCGTCGTGGCACCCTCCTCGTCGCCGACGGTACTGCAGACGAATCGGTCTTCGGAGATCGGGACACCACCGAACATGGTCCCCAGTTGCTGGAGCAACGCGACAAAGTGCGCATGGAGCTCGGTAAAAATGTATTCGTTGCCCACGATATCTGCCAAGTTGCGCGCCCGGATTTGGCTCAGGCGAATCGGCTGGCCGGCCGGGTCCCTAGCCCGGCCGGTCAAGAACGAGGAGACGGGTGTGTACTGACGATCACCGGGTTGCGCGGAAGCACTATTTCGTTCATCGCGCTTCTTTTCTTCTTCCTGGAATCGCTCCGCCGCACTCACAATTCCAGAGGCAATGCGCCCGAATGCGCGCCAAATGACGGGGCAGGCTCGGAACGCTCTTCCGGCATCCTTTCCGGCGAGCGCCACTAAAGCGTAACTGCGTCGCTTGCCGCGTGCCATGGGGTCGGGGAGGCGGAAAATGTAGGCGATCGTGTAGCCGGCCACCGAGTCGCCGAAGCAAATAGGGCCGGAGGACAGGCCGCGGGGCAGCAGCTCACAGCTCAGAGTGCGGATGGAAGAGCGGCGGAGAAGGGCGTAGTCGGCCGGGTTGGGGGGGCCGCGGAGGGAGAGATAGGTCAAGATATGGGTGTGACATGATGATGATGAGTCGGATGCGACGGAGGCGGAACGTAGAGATTCGGGAGGAGAGGCGTGGGCGTGAGAGTCTGGAGAATCATCGTCCACGTCGGAGTGGCTGTTGCCGCAGGAGTAGACGACTTCGCGCGACCGCAGGACCGGGCTGCCGTTACTGCTGCCATTGGCGTCACGACTACCGGGGGCGCCCGAAGGTAGTTGCTTGCTGACGCCTTCGGGGAGAGACAAGCTACAGCTGGCGCATGTGTCACCGTCCGTGGCGCTGAGCCGGTGCGTTCGGTCTTCGGGAGATGCGGACTGTTGGGAGCGTAGAAAGTACGGGTGATCTTCGATCTTCGGTGATCGCGACGCCACGGGTTCAAAGGTAGTGCCCGATGATTTGGGTGACCTGGGCTCTCGCGGAGAATGGGAGGTAGTATCGGGCGAGGCCTCGGTATCGGGGTGACATTGTGTGCAGGCGAAAGGAAGAACCTGCGAGCAGATAATGGAGGTAGGCCCATGCACTTCGCAGAAGTGCGTGAGAGAGAGCTGGATCGAGATCTTTCGTTAGAGGCAATTCGGAGCATTCTCGTTGGACCGAGCAAGCGCAACTCACGATAAAATCCATGGTCTGGGCCTGATCACGCGGAATCCGACAGGTACTTTAGGCCATTGCGGCGAAGCATAGCGGGAGTGGCAGTGACGAGTGGGAATGATATGAACCGGTATGCGCCGGATCCACAGACCAGGTTCCCGGGGAGGAAGAGAAGAGGTGGTGGGGGGGGGGGGGAGAGGGGAAGGGGATAACAAGGGAGGAAGAGGGAATAAGTAGTTGAGAGGATCGGAGAGTCGCAAGGAGGGGAGTTGCATATAAAGAAAGTTGCGCCAGCGAGAGCCGGGGGAAGTTGAGAGCGCGACTAGGACCAGGACTCCCAACTGCAGGGCCGTAGGGATAGAATGGGAAGGGGGGCGCTTCTGTTGCCACGACCCTAAGTTACATTACCTTTTTTGGCTATAATTTCTGATTTTCAACGGAGTATTACTATTCTGATTTATTCTAACTAATTATTATTATAATAATTATTAACCGCCTCATGGCTAAACGGTGGCTCGGTCGAAGCCCGAGTGGATCGGGGTTCCAGTTCGCGCTTCCTTCAGGACAAGTCGAATCCTGATTATTCCCGGTCGATGATTTCCTCGCCCTCGCGCGACAGCCTCCCCTTCTCAGATGGAACGAATGGAAGCCTGATGGAACACTCCATGCTCCACTTGCCCACCGAAGCTTTTCCGATTACGTTCTCGTCCCCAACTCCAGCGTGTACATCTTTACTTTGTACGGAGGTGTCTGTGAACGAAATCCGACAGTATCATGGTCGTCCCTCGAAATTGCAGTAGTCGTCTTCCCGTATCATTCGTTCCTTACCGGACCAGCCACTGGACGGATGCAGGGCGATCTCGCAGGGGGGGGGAAGGAAAGGGATCTTCTGAACATGCTTCTCATCGCCGAACGAGTAGTCCGGGACTATGGTACTTTCGTCTCGTCCATCAGTCAAATCACCATGAAGAGAAATAGCCGCTCTGTCATACTTCGGATCGAGTCCTTCTCTCTAGGTCCAATCCCAAGAACCGGGGATGGGGCGGCGACTCACATTCCTGGGACGAATGGGCGCTCTCCCCTTACAGTCGACTCCCTTTCCTCCTTTTTTCTTACTACGCTGCAAGTCCGGATGTATGCAACTACTCATAGTAATCGTCCAGCCTCAAACCACCTGACCATTCCTGTTTCGTTTTCCCCTTTCTTTTCTTTTGACGGGCACCACTTGGGCATGTGAATCACGTCCTAGTTTCATCGGCCCTGATGAATTGCTTGGTGGCCCGACGAATGTCTGTTCCGCACGTCCACTAGTCCGTTCTAAGCCGAGGGACCGCTCTCGTCCTGCCGGTGGGGACTGCAAACAGGGGGGGATACGCTGCTGTCCTACGCCGTCACTGCGAGAATGCCGGCTAAGCTCCCGGGACGCTGTCATCTTCCGATGCCCGAGGATAGTTACTGGCTATTTAGGAGATGTTGATTACTAGGGGGATGGTCATTTCGGGGATAGGGAATAGCCTAAAACTACGCATTTGAGAGACGCAAGCAGAGGTCGCTGATGGTTCCTCATGAGATGATGATTCAACTATCGCAACGCTCTCATGTTCCAGACCGAACCCACAAGGAGGTGGATGCAAGTCAATCCGACCCTCTCGCGGGGGCTGTCGACTCCGTCCGTACCGTACACTGTATACGGCTCAGATGTTGCTGTATAGAGTGTCCAACAACAAAGTAAAGAGATAGCCCATTTTCTACTGGTACTACTCAAGTTGCGCTTGATGTCGCGACTGGGACATGATCTATCAGCTGGACCTATCGACCAGGAGGGGGATGATCCCGAGTTCTTTGTGCTGGGTAAAGTAGACTAGATTTGCTTTTTTCTGTGCCTTTCCCAGCCCGAATACTTCATTTTGATGATTTTATGATAACTCCTTAATATCTTTTTTCCCATCTTTCCTTTTTTTGGCCCCCTTCTGGATTCCTTTTCAAAGGTCCCCCGCCTCAGACAACATCACACCGCAAGGATGATGTTGAAACGTTTCAACCGGTGTCGGGCGGATTTGGTAAAATTCTTCTTAGGCAGCGCTCGCCTGGAAAGCCACAACAACCCAAAAGGATCAGGATAGGACATAGTTAGTAAGACATTAATATAGATGATAGTAATAATCCGCCTCACTCCATAACTAACTCAACCCTCAATTTAATTCTGGAAGGCGGGTCCCACACTCCGAGTGGGCGAAGAACAAGGCTGATTCCTGCGCCTCCGATTTGTTGCACACGCCCGGTTGTCTTCTACGGGTGCAAATGAAGAAAGGTAAAGGAATGCTTTCTAAGTTCTCATAGATCGAGAGCCTTTTAAGTTGGAGAGACTGCACACTGCGTATCATAGATGCACTCTGCATGAAATCTAGACAATGAGCTAGGTTGCATCGTTCTTCAGATCTTGATCATAACTTTATGCTGAGCGGTTCGCAACGAATGACCATACTGTATTCAGTATTACGTTCTGGATGGAGTCGACAATTGTCCACTTCTACGGAGTAGCTAGCCGCTCTTCGTGTCACGGACGATCGGAGGGGACGATCTCTCGTTGGGAAGGCCCCATTTGCTTCTGGAAGCAAATCATTCGCGGCCTAATTTCTCGAGGGCCTCCGTTTCCTCCGTCTCCTCCGTCTCCTCAAAAACTCCGTCGACCATATTATTTGTACTATTGAGGGCTCGTTTTCAATGTGGTCGTTATAATAATCATTCTCCAGATTACCCCGAATCCTGCAGGGATCTTCGGAGCTTCCCTCATTACGGAGAAGTTAGCTACAAGAAGTTAGATGGGTAGATGGCAATCGCGGAGTGCAGGAGCATACCTGCCGATTTTGGTCTACGCCTTGGTAAGCGGCACGGCTGGTTAAGTGCTAACTACTCCGTGCAGTAAAATCGAAAGGGCATCGTTTCCATGTTCGGGTAGTTGCGTGGCTGTCTGTGCTTTCCGATATTTGGGACCACGCTTGCAGGGATGGTTACTGGCACAAACCTAGACTTGCTCGTGTCTCGGAGTGCTCCTCGTATGGTGTGTGGTCTTTTGTTGATTTTATACATCCGCCCTGCCGCCGGCAGAAGGGAATTCAATCGCCGTTGAGCCATGCGGTCGGATCTTTCTCAGCGTCATCACTTTTTTTGTGCGCGGACTTACTCCTCCCTCTCTGGCGGATCGAATTTATTGGTTGAGGGTGAACCAATGTGCAGTCGTTTGGGCCCGGAAATAACAGCCACTAAATCGTGATGTCCGGTCGGGTACTTTCTGAATTCGTCTTCCGCTCTCCCACTTACATGTGGTTCCTGGTCTTACGGGGTGGACGATGGAGGTAAGAAGATCTATTGGCGACTAATTATGGGAGAGAAGTTTAAAAAAGGCAGTCATAACGTACGTACCATGAATCATAATGCGGTTCCATCTCATCATGATGAGATGGGATAATTTGCCATCCAGATCATCTCCAAGATAGGTATGAAGTTAATGGCACGGCCATGTGGTTTCTTATTTCCACCGACCTATCGTATATACCGAGCCTCAGAACAATGGGGCTAACTAAACCCGATCCCTGTCATCTTCCCCTCCTTCGCATAATTGTGGAATTAAGTCTACACTAGACGGAGTGACCCCTCCGGAGTGACTACTGAGTGTTGTCATCATCGATAAATCATAGTTACTCCGTAGTGAATACATTTCAAGTATTCCCCCTCTTATTGACCAGTATTGTCTTGTGTTGATCCGTTCCCCTTTGAAACCACGAAACCCCGTCTCGAGATCGAGGACAGGGAACAACGCTCTGCCGGAGGGTCCATCCGTAATTTTCGCGGTCCGATTGGTCGTGGTGCTTAACAACTTTCCCCCGAAGTCGCTCTCATGCCCACGAAGAAAAAGGACAATTGCCAATACTGACGAAACAGTAACAATCCCACCAGCCACCTGTCCTCCTGCCTCCTCCTTCCAACTCCATCCTTTTGTCCCAATACAATACCACTCTCGTCGCTATGTTGCCGAAGCGCACTAAAATGAGGGATTTACACGCCCAAAACGAATCAGCGTCCAGCTCGAGGAAGAATGGAATTGCTGACCAAACGGTCGCTAGAGGTAAAAAAGTGGTCTTGGTAACGCCACATCCTTTGGACCCAGCCATCGTGCAGAAGAAGCGCGGGTCGGGAACGCCCTGGGCTCGGCGGGGTGGATCTCGTTGGTTCGTCGGTTGGACGGGCTGGGCTCTCTGGTGCGAGTCTCACTGGAGCAAATTCCACTCTCGATGGGGAACCTCCATCCTTCGACAGGACTGGAGTCTTCCGTCTCGACCACTTTAGTGCACTTTGTAGTGGGGTCGCTGAAGAAAGCATTGGCACACGACAGCTTAACGGTTCGAAGGGGTTTCACGATGGGGGTCATGATGGGCCGGGCGTGCCGACATTATTAATCCGATGTTCTCTGCGGGCGCAATGCACGTTCAAAGACTACTACTAACTATTACTACTACACTAATATGTCTAGATTGCGTTCAAATAGGAAGGTCGATACAGGCTCGCTCCGTGCTAGACTGAAGGAGCCGCAGGTGCTCTATTGACCTGCATACAACCACCGAGTCTACGTAGAAATCATGCTGCCTAGGGAAGTTCGAGGAAACCGTTCGTTAATACCTCAGGGTGCGCGGAAATAAATACCTCGGCTGGGGCTCGGCAACTTACGCAAGTACAACAAGAGAGTAACTAACTAATTTAGAGAGGCTTGTATAACACGGTCTCGTGACTTGATCCCTGCTACTCCATATAGGCTACCGGGCAGTGACCCCGAAGAGAGACGACCTCGACCCTAGACCTGTCCATGATCGCCAAGCGGCGATTTTCCACGTGGAATCTTTGTCACTGTCTCACAGCCCCGATCCACTAAACCCAGAAACGGAGCGATGCCATTGGCGATCAAAAAAACCACATTGCAGCGCGTAAGCGCGTACAGGACGGAGTACAGCACACTGACACCGACACCGACACCTTCTCACAAGATAGACAGATCGGTACAAAATTAACCCTGTTGCATGCAGCACTCGTTCGATTGGTCAGACTAAAAAAATCTAATATTGGCTGCGCTCGCACCTGCTGATCATTTTGCGGATCACGGCCAGTCCCAGATAAAATTTTCGCGTGGAGCCCTACGAACTGCGCGTCTGCGCGATTATCGGGGATGCCGGTGGAGCCCGGAGAAACTCTATGAGGCAAGTCTTCGACTGACTTGCTCTTTTGTGGCACACCGAGTGGAGGTGGGTTATTGCTCGTGGATCCTGGGTTCACTTTCTAAGTGAGAGGATTAAGATGGGAATGTTTACAGGGCGATCACTATTTACTACAATAGTGGGCCCAACATGAATATGTACAGTTTGTACGCTATACATTCTATTGTGTATATAATGAGTTCGCTGCTAGGGTATACCATTCTGTCGCTGTCATCATGCCATGTAGAAGGTCAGAACACACAATTCAACAGCGACGAATTCCGGAACGTATCCTCAACGCGGACTCATAATTTCCATATCGAGTACTTTGATATCCCGGCTTGACTAATCTTCATCATGTCGTACCGTCTATCTGCCCCTCACAATCAATCCCAACAAACGCCATCAAACCTGGGTAACTTCCTCCATGTTACTTCCCGTCAGGCTCGTCCAAATCAGTACCTGCAATTATAGTGAGAATACAACTACCTCTGTTGTCTGTCAGTTCCTTGTTGGATCCACCCCCAGTGGCAACTCCAGGAAAATATTCCCCAATGCATGCTCCACTGCTTCATCCTACAGATGCGCGAAATACATCAAGCAGGTCGGTTATAATCAGGGGCAACTCGTTAAGTCCACCTTCCGCGGTAAGCATGGTTTGGTGATCGATTGACTATTCGGTGGGCTGGTCAGCCCGCTCCCCACTGCCCACGGTACGGGCTCGATCCGCGGTCGAGCATATGTCGGATGAGGTCGGCAATTGCGAAGCTATTTCCGCTTCGGTGGGGAGGGCGTTTCAAATGGGCCGGCGGGAATGTCAGTTGTGTACTTTGCCTCCGAGTGTGCTATTCCTGGCAGGCGAGAATATCTACTTTGGTCGGACAGGTGTGTCTATACCTGTCTAGATTCGGGAAGGACCAGCGTGGCGAAGAAACCACCCCGATCTAGAAGACCTTAACCATACGTTTCCATAGTTTCATAAAGCCAAGAAACATTTCAAGCTCATAGTTTCATCCCTAGGATAAATGAATATCCCCGAAGCATTGCCTCGGTCCCGAAGGAAAGATAGTTCAAACCATGTTTGGAAGAGACCTTTGGAGAGCCGAAGCATATCTACCCGGATCTTCAATACAGTCTCTAGATTATTCAAAGTTTGGAGCTATATGACTGGAGTCTCTCTAGCGTCTCCCGTAGCCTGGAAAGGTGGATCTGGCTGCTAATGCCGTTCTTGTCAAAACTGTCGCTGACAGCAAATAAGATCCCTAGCAGCAGCTGAGAAGCAGTTATCAAAGTCGCAAATTCCGAACACCACAATGTAGATACAGGCCATAGTCGAGTCTAAAGCGACCTATGTACATGCTGTCGATATATGTAGTGGCATTAAAGCATTCGAAACAAAGGCTGGAAGGAATGGCTTAGCCAGACACGCTTGACCTCCACGGTTTCTAAAGATCTTTCGGTATGGCTTTTGCATTGTCTTTTGAATTGCCTTTCATATCATGACTTATAGAATGATTTTGAACTTTGCTTGGTGTTTCAAACTTTTCAAGCTCCACTGTACATTCTCCAGGCTTTACAGAACATTCGAATCCGATATCCATCAACCCAGATCCCCATCCGGTCCACATTCAATCTTCACCCATTCTAATGAAGACCAACCAGTCGTGTTGGTTCTTTTCAGAGAGAATTCCAATGACTCATCCATACTCTCCGATGCCTCATCAATTTCATCCGTATCGTTGCTCGCGTTGGAATCTTTCGTGTCCGAGCTGTCGGTGTCGTCTGTCGCAATGAAAGGCTTCGAGGGATGGTAAGGTAGGTCGAAGAGCGGAATAGCTTCGACGTTCAGCTTCAGGATAGCATCATCATCTTCTTCTTCTTCTTCTTCGTCTTCCTCATCCTCCTCTTCTGTCTCTTCTTCATCTTCATCATCATCATCACTAGCTTCTTCATCTGACCACTCATCCTCTGAATCGTCTGGCCACCCGCGATTTTCTCGCCTTCGACATTCCCGAAGAACTTCAGTCGCATTTTCAATCTCCCACGAAGCGAGATGGTTGAACTTGGAATCAGGCAAGCTCCACTGCGCTCCATTCTTCATGAGAAGCTCGCAGATATCGTTTGAGCCCGCCAATGCAGCTGCATGAAGAGCAGAATAGCAATGACCACCAAATTCATTCACCTCGGCGCCTCGGTCAAGAAGAAGTTGAACCAGGTCATAATTATCACTCCCAGCAGCTGCCTGCAAAGGCGTAAAAAATTTCCCGCCGGTCTTGTTGACGTCGGCACCATATCGGAGCAAGAGGAGAGTGCCGAGGATAGATCCTGTGGCAGCTGCAGCTTGTAATGCACCGGAATAAATGCCGCCCGGGGCGTTTGGGTTGATACCTTTCTTCAAGAGATATTCCGCAAGGTCGAGATTGTCACGTAACACAGCTGCTGTCAATGCCGTGCCGAATTTGCCCCCAATTATGTTAATGTCGATGCCATGCCGCAGCAAAGCCTTGACAATGGCTTTATTACCACTCACACTAGCAGCCTGTAGAGCGTTGTGGTATCTTCCTTTCCCGGTAGGTTTGATATCGGCGCCTTGTTTGAGTAAATACCGCAGAATCGAGAAATTGCCCTGCCTCGAAGCATATTCCACAGGAGAGCCGTGTACGCCATTGGAGACACCGAGATCAGCACCCTTTTCGACCAGGAGTCGAAGAATCGAAAGATCTCCGGCTTTTATCGCCCCGTGAACGGGAGTCGGATAGTCCTGGTTCCCTTCGATGTTGACATTGGCACCAGCTTCCAATAACGCTATGACTCGTTCTTCCTCTCCATGGACTGCTGCACAGATAAGAGGGGCCCCATACACGCCCCCTCGGGCATCGACATCTGCTCCCACATCAAGCAAGATGTCGTATACATCATCTCCGCGCCAATCTGAGCAAGCCTGGGTGAGGGGAGTCCCCCACTTCCGGATTGGAGTATTTGGATCGGCATGGTGATGTCGGAGGAGAGCAGAAACCAACGTTTGACAGGAGCCCGCTAGGGCCGCACCCAAAGCTGTCCCGTATTGCCCACCCTGCAGACTGGTTGATGCGCCGTGGCGGAAGAGATCTCGGATAATATTATAATATCCATGTGAATACGCTGCCTGCAGGGCCGTCCCGTATCTGCCGCCCACAATGTTGGGATCTGCCCCATGCTCGAGCAGTAGAACGCACGCTTCTTCATAGCCCTCAGCAGCAGCGGCTTGGAGGGCAGTGGCCCAGCTGCCTCCTCGGTTGTTTACATCGGCTCCTGCTTCAAGTAAGACTTGAATGATTGATTCGTCTCCATTCCAAGCAGCTACGGTGAGCGGATAAGCATATGCATGTTTATCCCCCACAGAGAGGTTGACATCTGCTCCCCGTTCCAATAGTAGCTGCACGACATCCTGCCTGCTCTGCTCAGTCGCATCCATTAGGGCAGTGCTATCGCCGCCACCACATGCATTAATATCAGCACCGGCGTCGATCATCGCTCGCGCTGCTTCAAGGTGCCCCATATATGCAGCAGTTTGGAGGGCCGTGCCGTAAACACCACCGACTTGATCAACATCGCTCCCTGAATCAATCAACAAGTGAACCTTTTCCACATCACCTCGATGGCAGGCCACTTGTAGCGCCGTGGAGAACCGTACATCTTCCAGGTCCACAGAAAGTTGAGCTCCATTCTCGATCAACTTTCGAACTGTCCCATCGGATCCGAAGTATACCGCTGCTTGAAGCGGCGTCACACATCCGTCTTCGTTGCAAGTAGCATCGGCGTCGGGGGGCTCGATTACAAGGTTGACATCCGCGCCATGATCAATCAGCAGGTTCAGGAACTTTTCATCCGCAGATTTCACAGCCATCATCAGTGGCGTGTAGTAGCACGTATATGCCAAATTCACGTCAGCACCACGGTCCAGGAGAGTGACGCAAAGTTCATAGTTCTCACGAGACAAGGCACCAACAAGCGCACAGCATATTAAATCCGTATCTGCAGTGGCATTGACGTCGGCTCCGGCGTCGAGCAGTCGCACCGCCACGGCAATGTCAGATTCTTCTCCAAGACAGGCGGCGATAAGGGCAGTCCCATACTTTTCCTCGTTTACGGAATTCACATCCGCGCCTAGATCAAGCAAGAGGTCTACTGTCTCCATATCCCCCTTCACGGCGGCCGCTTCAAGAGGAGTGCAACAAGGATATGTAGAAAGTGTGCTGAAGTCGTCCAACGCCGCCCCCATTCTTACTAAGACTTTGATGGCATCCACGCGTCCCCTGTTCGCAGCCACCATAATGGCATTGCTCATCTCATCGGTATCTCCAGAAGAAACCCCCAATTCGAAGAGAAGCTCAAGCGTTTCGGTATTGCCACTTTGTGCAGCTACAATGAGTGCCGTCCCCCGATCGCTGCTAGGGGCGTTGACATCCACTCCTGCCTCTGCCAGAACGCGGATCACGTCGTTATGTCCTGCAGAAGCAGCAGTCTGAACACTGTTTCCATAGTGCTCGTCAAAAAAGTCCACGTCTGCTCCAGCATCCAAAAGGTACTGCACGATATCGATATGATTTCCTGCACTCGCTGCATTGAGTGCGTTTCGATGTTTTCCTCCTCGTGCATTGACATCAGCACCCAGATCCAACAGAAGCTTGACCGAATCCAGCTTTCCCGCCATGCATGCCGCATACAAACTGTCAGTGCCTTTATCATTTTCGTCGTTGACCCGTGCTCCATGAGAGACCAGCGAGCGAATCAGGTCTAGCATCCCCATTGATGATGCGGTCATCAAGGCGCTTCCATGCCGGCCACCCAAAGCGTTGACATTGGCACCACGCTGAATAAGAGTGTCAACCATCTGCATGTTCTGACCAACGATCGCAGACACCAGAGGATAGGCGTACCAGCCACCACGACTGTTCACATCGGCACCATGGTCAAGGAGAATTTGGAACGTTTGCAAATGTCCTTTCTCGGCGGCAGCGGCGAGAGGCACGCCATACCTCTGGCATTTTACGCTGATTTTGGCACCGTGGGCAAGCAGAGTCGAGACCGCTTGATGCCGGCCATCGAGACAAGCGACCTGAAGTGGCGTCCCATGCCTCCCTGCGCGAGCATTCACATCCGTCCCATGTGCAAGCAGCAGCTGCACCACACGATCGTGCCCCTGACTGGCTGCGAGATAAAGACATTGCTCCAGCACATTTGTACTGACAGATTTAGATTGACGGAGAAAAACTTCAAGCACTGCATCGTGTCCAGCACTCGCGCTCGCCTTCATCGGCTCTTCAATGTAAGTGTCCGGGCTTTGGTCCAATAACTCTGAGACTGCTCGAGACAAGCCAAACAGTGACGCAAAATAAACAGGGTCTTTGTTGGAAGCCTTAAGTCGCTGCCCCGTCACTTTCTGTTGATGGAAATATATTCTGTACCATGTGTCGTAATTACCACCGGCTTCGATGCCGGACTCAAATAACCTCATGGTCAGGTCGAAGACGGCATCGTGAGTTTCATTGATGTCGCCCAGGTGCGCATGAGAGCCCCATGCTTGTGCAGCGTATGAGAGAAACTTGAACTCCTGGAAATTTTCCAATAAAGCTTCACCGGACGTCTCGTCGCATCCAGAAAAGTCATCATAGGTCAGATAGGTGAGACAGATGCTGGCTAGCTCTGCATGAACATCATCACAGCCAATCCAGAATTGGGGCATAGCATTCTTGATGTAATCTGACACCAGAAACTCTTTGACCGTGTAGTGGGCCAAGGCAACATGGCCATCAGATGAGAGAGTGATCAGACTTCCACAAAGCTCGACAACATCTTCTGCGTCTGTGAAAACTGCATCTAAGTCAAACGATTCATCCGAATTGCTGAGATCGATACTCACACACTCTGCCAGCTCGCCCAGTGTGAGATTTCGCACCCCTCGGACCAACCACTTTAGAAGTCGATGCACAATCTCCACGTCGTCGGCATTTGCTGCCTCTACCTTCTGCAGAATCCGGATATAGGTATCGTGTAATGTTTTGGGGAGGTCCTTCAGAGCACTCCGCACGGCTTTGTCGTTACGAAGCTTACACAGCTGGTCAAGCTGGCACTTCACCCATTGAAACATGCCATGCGCCCCATCAATCAGAGTGTCGCAGATGACACTCTCAAGATTCGAGTCTCTCAGCTTCAGTTTTCGTGTCTTGATCTTGATGGCCACCTCCGCTTTCACGTACAACTCAATGTCCCCCGCGACATCGGTCGCCTCAATGGTAGTACTGGGCAATTTATCAAGAGTCCGGGCGATGTCAATTTCATGACGACTAGTAACAAAGACTTTGGCGCATTTGCAGGTTTCAAATATCCTTTTCAGGGCATACGCCACACACTCCCTGTCTTCACTCTCGTCCAAAGCATCAACAACAACGAAGATAGTCTCAAAACTGCTGGCCACGAAATGGCCAAAATTGTTCAAAAGTTCGTCAAACTCTGGAGTATAAGCCGGGTTCTCTTTGCATTGCCTTTCAAAGAAGGCCTGGATCCTACCAAAAACATCGTCGTTCTGGGATGCAAGCATCCACAATAATGTGCTGACGATCTTGACGGGGGACTGTTTTTGCTTGTCCTTATAATCACAGTAGAAGTACGCCAGTGCCACCTCGCTGCTCTTCTTGTGATTGCGTAGCCAGTCAATGACATTCGAGGCCAGTATAGTTTTACCTCCTCCGGGGATGGCGTGCAGCCACAAGAAGGAGTTTGCAGTCGAAAGCCACTCCTGAAACTCTTGTCCATCTATGAACCAATTTCCCGTTCCTTGGTAGCGCAGTTTCATAGCTGAGGTATGGTTCGAAGCGGCATTGACGGGTGATAGCCACTGATTCACGTAATCGATTCGTTGCTGATCGATGAATTCGGTGACTGTCCTTTGGTGCGACTCGAGCGCGTCCCAGCGAGATGTCTGCAGCTGGCGTTCTTGCTCTGCCTTGGTTCTCTCTTTGCTGGCCAGCTCTTTCTCCGCAATATCGACTTCGTGGTCAATCCTGGTCAAGGAGGATCTAATTTGGTCCATTATGTCACCAAACTGAAGCTTAAAGGGCTTCCAGATCAGTTTCCACGCTGCATGGAGGCCGACTGGATTCAACGCTCTGATACCGCTCTGGTGTTTTTTGCCCTGGTGGAAGACATCTCGGGCTTTGGTACAGAACTGCATGATCGATTGGAAAATCTGTACCATTGACTCGCGTAGGATTTGGTTGTCAGGGTACAGGCGCGGATATCGTCGAAGGCAGGAAAGGATGTAGCCAATCTCTTCAAACATGTCTGAGATCTTGTCGAAATACTCGCTGTAGTCACCTGCGAGCTGTAATGCAATCAGAAATTAGCTCTCCGCTTAGAACTGTTGCCACATATGTTCTGGGGGTGGGCAAAGCTAACCTTCAGAACAATGCGTACTGAAGCCCAAATGGGGCTCATTAGCGAGACGGAACCTGCGACTATATCCAAGGCCGATCCAAACTGTTCGACGCCGGCAACGAAGGTCTTCAGCTTCGGTCCAATTTTTCTTGAAATAGATGCCTTGTGTTTATTGTCGACATCTCGAAGGTCGTCTATCAGCTGCTGCGATTTTGTTGTAGCCTCGAACAAGGCACTTTCATCGGCCTCGAGATCATCGAAGAATTTGCGGATCGCATCATGGCATTCATCCTCAAGACTTGAGCTGTGATACGATCGATTGAATATTAGCTCTTCATCCCATGCAAATATCTTGATGTTGAGAAGGACTTTATGAGAGAGTGAATGTACTTTGCGGGGATATGCGGCATGATGCAGGCACCATGTGACCGTGATGGGTACCTATCGATAGACTTCGACCAGATTGTATACAGGCTTATTGGTCGCAATGCCCATCAACTTAGAAGTGTCAAGCCTTAAACCGTGGTTCGATCGTTCTGGAGGGGCATAAGCTCGTACTCAGCACGCACGGACCATGCTGACAGCCTCAACACAAGCGAAGATTCAAGGGTCCAAAGGACCCTGCCGCAATTGTTGCAGCTGTTCGTGGTCTGTGCTCAACTCTAAGTAGGTACTACGCTATCAACAGGGTTGGTGGCTGCCGAGTTTACTTATGGAATGGCTTCACACTTTCAATAGTAGAACGTGGCCACGGTCTGCGGATATGTCAACATATATATGGTGCCGTGGGGAACGGGGCCCACCAGCAGGGTCCAAGGCAAAATACAGCCAGGGTGACAACTAGGTACTTCCCAGCTGGATTACTGTCTCAAGAGGAAGTGGGCAAAGAAATCAAAATTTCTTAGTCAACGGTGGTTTCATTTTTCAGTAGGAAAAGGTATTCCAGATCCGACTAGCTACTCTATCCATCCAGGGGCTCTTACGAACGGGTACGAACGGGTGCCCCTTGCCCAGACAGTCACTGACAGTCTCAGAGACAGAGACCCGAGCCAATATCAACTGATGCGGATATAAGAGTCGGTGCCCGGTATCTTGTGAGTAGCCTGGTTTGGAAATGCTTCTCTGGCTAGCTCTAAGAACAGGACAAAGGTAACAGCTGCGGAGCAAATACGGCACTGGCAGTCGTTTCACAATACCGTTGGTACGGCATGACCTGGTAGGTCCACAAAGGATTTTGATAGCTTGCCATTCCAGTATGGCCCTATTGTTTTCATCAACGCAAAGCTTCCGCCCTGCCAGTTGTTGACTGTGTACGCGATATCGTCAATCACATTGGCTTCAGGTGCTGGACTGGAGGGCATTAGGTGAGCCCAAGTCAGAATCAACGTTGGTTGTCTTTTCTCGAGCAATGACGTGATGACTTTTAATCAAACCATTCAACGACGGTCATCTTTAGGCATACGAAGGTTCAACATGGACAACATATTCCCAGCCGGGCCAGCAGTACCGGCCTGACCTTGAAGGGCTTCGAGTAGGTTCTTGGCGAGGTTAATGTTGACATCGTCATTCTCGTCATCCACCTCAAGATCGGTATTCGATGGTACCGCAGTTTTGCCCTTGGAAGAGCTCGCTCCAGTGGCCAGTTTCTGTTGGTGTCTGTTCAAGTCAAGCACGCCTGTTCCTTTGAGTTCAGCTTCCATCTGTCGAGATAACTCTTGAATCTGTTCAGTATCGTCTTCTTCAGCGTCTTCAGCGTCGTCCAGCTCTTTGATCCGGTTGCGTAGAGGTGTAGAGATATCGGGGCCCTGGCCAGACCCGGACGGCATTCCCATCATTTCTTTCATCATTCGAGCGAACTCCTCCTCGTCAAATGAGGCATCTTTGTCTTCCCCATCGCTGCTGAGCTCATCGTCCTCATCGTCCTCATCGTCCTCGTCGACATCCGAGTCAGAATCGAAATCATCGATCAAGTCTGCACCTTCGTAGCCTGCGGAGCTGTCATTCAAGAATTCTTCGAAGCGAGCCACGATCCGCTGCAGATTCTCTTGCGCGCTTGCGTCACCGAAATCACCTCCGGTCTTCTCGCTGGATCCTCCCTTTCCTTTGAGCTCTCTGTCTAGATCCTCAAAGTTGATGTCCATCCAACCCTCATCATCTTCTCGCTTGTCCCACGTTTTTTCAATCTCCTCGTCTGTAGGAAGCAGTTCATCTCCAGTTTCAATGTCCTCAAGAAGAAGCTTCATTTCGCGGACGGAAGCTTTGTCTTGGTGGTGAGGATCGTGAAGCAGCATCTCAAAACCACATGCAAGCTTCATTCCCGCTTCAGCACGGGCGTATGCTTTTTGATCATCCATCGGAGGCAACCTCGGCGCCCAGCTACTAGGAACGGGAAATTCTTGGCTCTTCAACTGAGCATATCCAACTCGCGTGAACCTAACGCTCACGGTGACCAAGTCTTCGGGGCTGAAGGTAAGGTCAGAGGCATCCTTTGTTCGAAGCGGCCGGAGGGCGATCGGGTCTCGGATATAAAAGGCTTCCACAGCAGGGGATATGTATGCTGGCTTTTGGTGTAGGAGGAAGGCGACCTTTCGTGGGATCGTGAGGATAGCGGAGTGAAGGTTTTCGGTAATCTGCTTGGGATAATTGCGCAGCCGGTAAAATGCCTCCTCTTGAATTATTGTAGATTTAATGAAGCGATCCGGTTCATTTTGAATAATCCTCTGTGCGTCGGCGAGGGTAAGTTTTTCGGTGATTTTTCGACCCTTGTCTTGCTTTGGTTTGATGATGCGGAGCTGTCCTTGATGAATCCAGACCTTATAAACGCCGTGTTAGTTGACACTATCTCTGAAAGCTTGACAAGAATGCGCAGTAAGTTACTAACTCACCCTATTGTCTGCAACTTCGGGCTCCAGCCACGCGGGAAGCGTGCCAGCAGCTTCGACAAGCAAAAACTCGCCATCACTATCCACAATCCTGACCCAGATGTCTTTATGCCTATTTGTCAACTCACGAAGAAGATAAACGATTACCCATTCATCCTCAATAGAGTCGCCGAAATTTGTACGTCCGTGGAGCGAGGAAATGTCTAATCTTGCCATCAGCCATTGTGGGTAATGGCAAAGCAAAAAGCTGGCGCTTGACGTACCATTTTCTTTGTTGATCTCCAAGCGAAAACTTTCGCGCTGCCAGATGTAATCTTTCAGAAGCTCCTTCGTCAATTCAGCAGCGGTGCGCTGTACTTCGAGCAATCGGGCTCGAGCCTCCGCGGCTTTGTCGATAACGGCGGGGGCGGGGGAGGGTAGGTGATAAATGAAATATTCAACTGAATCATCCGGAAGCTCGGGCTTTGGAATCGGACGAAAGGTTGACTTGAACCACGCGATATCTTCCTCGGTCGCCATGATTCTTTGCGATATGGTGCTTTAATTGCACGCCAGTGGCCATGACCTCATGGCATTCCGCAGAAAAGGAAAAAAAGCGGCGAGAGTCGCGACCCACTCGTGATTCGTGCACTAGTCCTAATCGGGTTAGACATCAACACTCTCCGAGTCTTTGCTGGTTGGGTCTCGACACAACACGTTCGGTTTGGGCACTTCCCATCGATTTCTCTTACTGTTACGGTGATGGTCGCGTCTTGAATGATTTTGGATATCCGCCACACGGTTTTGGTACAATGGCGTTCCCATATATTGACACGCCGCGCACCGAAGTCGACGGAAACGCGACTTACCTCACCAACGGCTTCCGCAGCGCGGGGCGAACACACCTCTCAGCGCTCGATTCAGTTGAAAATTCGTTTGCTACGCCATCAAAGGATAATGATGTGATCAAAGGGTTTGGAGACGGACGAAAACGCGTTTCGGGAGCCTCCAACATGGGCACACCTCGCGCTAGTGCCACGACAAGGTCGACGAGGAGCGCGTTGAGACAACTCCCTTCAGCTGGACCTGCTAGAGGCGAATTCACGCCGCTTATGCGAAGCGCTACGAAAAACAATTTCTTGAGAAACGCGTCTATGAACCGAGGAGCCGACGACCCGAAGACCCCAGCGTACCCGCGCGAAGGCAGCCGAGGTGCTGCTTATACCCCCGGTCTACCTGCCATCGACATGTCTGATATTTACGAAGAAGACGCGACTGCTGACGACCCTACACCCCTTCCGCACGCTGCTAGCAGCAGTGCTCAAAGTACACCAATCCCGTCTCTGTTGGGGCGCGACGGGAGGGGCGTTTTGGGCGATGGGCAGCACATGACCTTGAAGGAGCAGGAGCGTGTAAGTTCTTTTGAGAAATTTGGGACAACTGATAGACGTGCGCTAACTTCTACAGATCATTGACCGACTCGACAAAGATAATTGGAACCTCAAACTCAAGATCCACTACCTTGAGGAACAACTCGAGAAAGCAGGCCCCGAATACAACAGTGCGGCCCTCAAAGAGAATACCGAGCTCAAAGTCTTGAGACTAACAATGCAACGCGACATTTCTCGATACAAGAAAAGTTTGCAACAAGCGGAGCGCGATTTGGAGGATTATCAACAACAACTTGTGGAAATGAGGGACAAGGCCCGGCGGAGACAAACGGATGAGGAGGTTCAGCGCGAAATGGACCTTATGCGGGAGGAGATCGAATCAAGGGACAACGAGCTCAGGGAACTCCGGGAAGAGTTGAGGATAGCCAAAGACAACCAGTCTCGAGAGATAGAGAAACTGCGGGACGATATCGAAGACCTCGAGGCTAGCGGCCGAGAAAAGGATCGAGCCATCGACGAACGCGACGAACAACTTGAGGAGCTACGAGAAAATCGCCGAGAGAATGACGCAGGCGCGGAACTTGAACTCGAACTTGATCGTGCAAAGGAACGGATTCAAGAACTACAGGATCGTCTCGAACAGGCTATATCGGAGGCTCAGGACGCGGATTCTGCTGTCAAGAACGCCATGGACGAGAAGACCCGCGCTGAAGACGACCTTCGGGAGCTACAGGGTGAGATGGCAGATAAGTCCTTCACGACGAGGGGCCTCAGTCGCCAGCTCGAGGAAAGAGCCGAGAAACTGGAGGAGGAAGTGCAAGAGTTACGGCAAGCGAACGACAATCTCCGAGCAGAAGTCGAAAACAAAATGGAAACGGTGACTCGCCTAGAGGAGCGTTACCAGGCCGCCCAACAAGACCTTAGGAGCGACGCCGGGAAGCTAGGCGAAGACCTTGAATCTGCTAGGCGCGAGCGCGATATGCTCCGCGATGAGCTCCAAAGAACGTCTGCCCAGTTGCAAGAAGCTCTCGACAACGTCCAGCGCCGGACTGAAGAGAAAGAGCTCCTTCAAACCCGACACCAGGCACTGACCGACGAGTCTGGTGGCTTGCAAACAGAGCTGACCCGAGCACAATCCCGGATACGCGAACTCCAAAAGGGAGTCGAGGAGGCTACAACCCGTGCCCAGGATAATCAGAACCTGCGCTGGCAACACAAGGCGGAGGTTGATCGACTTCAAGATGAAATCGAGGCCCTTCAACACGAGATTGAAGACAAGGAAGGCCATTTTGCCTTGGAACAGGACCGATGGGAGAGCACCAAGCGGACTTTGCAGTCCCAAAAAGAGCGAGCCGAAGAGCAAGCGGCTGGCTTTAAGCGAACCATTGAAAAACTCCAGGAGGCAGAGCACACTCTTTCAGGAAAGGAGTTCAAATTGCAGGGAGCCATCGACAGTGAGAAGCAACGTCATCTCCAGGAAGAAGCTGTTCTTAACCGCCAGATCAAAGACCTCGGTGATGAGCTCACTCAGAAAAGACACATCTTGGATGAACAGCGCAATGACCTGCTTACTGTCAGAGAGGAGCTGCGCGTGTCTCGACGTGAGGAGCAGTCACTAAGGGAGAAAGTGCAGGCTCTCGAAGATGAGGTAATCGTCCTGCAATCAAGCTTGGCAGATGAGCAGGAATTTGCCAAAGGTCGTCTGCAAAAGGGCTCGTCTGAAGTCGAGGTGCAACTACAAAAAGCCATTGCCGACAGACAAGCTCTTCGAGACCAGCTCGCCAATGCGCACGTCGAGCTACATGACTTGCGAGCATCGATTGGTGAGATTGAAGCCGAACGTGACGATCTCCAAGCTCAGCTGGCTCGTCCTGAAAACATGGACGATAACACTCGCTTTGACCGCGAAAAAATTGAACTTCGCAGGACCGCAACTCGACTTGAAAATGAAGCGAAGCGTTTGCGAGACGACAGGGCCTCCCTATTGGAAGCCAAAGAAACCCTCGAACAGCAACTCGGATCTGAAATTGAGCGGGCTACCGCAGAAGAGGGCCGACTATCAGCCGAGATCGATCGTCTTCAAGACAAGCTCCTTGCAGGCTCTGGCAACCGGGATCGCGAATTGACTACCGCCAAGACCAAGGTTCAGCGTCTCGAACGACGCATCCAAGAGCTAGAGGCTCTTCTTCAGCACCAGCAGCCCACCGTGGAGAATGAGCAGTCTGCGACACATGGTGATTTATCTCTGATCCGTCATAGTCTTGACGAGGCTCGTAAACGGGAGAAGATTCTTCTACAGCGCGAAGCTGAGCAGAAAGCCTCGTCGCGTACGCTGAAATCGCGGGTTGCTGATCTGGAGCGAGATCTCCATGAGGCATTGATGAACAAGTTTGATTCTCACTCACCACGAGACTCACCGTCCAATAAACTTCATGAAGAGCTGCGAAATCTTCGAAAGCAGCTTTCAGATGCCCATCGATCTCTTAAGGAGATTAAAGCCAAGAACAGGGATTTGGAGCGTGCGGCGATGAAAGAGGAGGACCAAAGAGATCTCCATGAGCTTCTCAAGTCCTCAACTATCGAAGCGGAGGCCTTGGCGCTGAAGGTCTCCGAACGAGACTCTCGTTTGAATGAGCTCAAGAATCAGATCCAACGGATTCGGGAAGAGCGAGCCTTCTGCGCTCGCAAAGCCGAGACTGCCACGAAAGAGTTGGATGCACTCCAGCATCGGTACAACGAGGCTCTCAAGAAGGTCTCCAATTCAAAGGCTTCGACCAAGGGTCAGCACGAGAAAGAGATGCGCGGCCTTGGCAAGGAGATCATTTGGCTTCGTGCTCGCCTACGGCGAGAGGAGAAGTTCCGCCGTGACTTGGCCTGGAGTAAGGGTCTGATGGAGCTTGGCGAGCGCGTTCGCGTTGCATGGTTAGTAACGCTTTTCTTTTCCCCCTTTATATAATGAACCTTCGACTAACCCTGCTCAACTCCGCACAGCAACGAGGCCGACCTTCGCATGATCTCTGAGATGGGCGTCCAAGCCCGTGACCGAAATATCACCCGGTCACCACGCCGCAAGCTCAAGTCTGCCATCTCACTTGTCATGGCCACCGTCCGTATGCAACGGATGGGCCGAGAATGGAGACAAACCAAGAAGCTCGGCGAGGGCTTAAAACGAGCCAAAAGTGAAATGCTCAAGCGCCGCGAGAGCTCCAACAAGAGTCTGCTCGGCCAATAGCTGGCGCAAGTTGTAATTTTGTTGCGTTTTTACTTGTTCTTGTTTTTCCGACTCCGCCGTTTGTGTCTCATTTTCCAGCGTCTTCTTCTTACCCTACTGCCGCGAGATTCCCCGACACGTCTTTTTCCTATAAATGTTGTTATTTGTCTTTCCGGAACTTGGTTTGGTGCGTTCGTTCATGGTGTTTTGGGGTCGATTCTTGCAGATACGAGGACTTGTCATGGTTTTGATGTCGAGCATAGTCTCTCTGGTATGGACTGGGATATCCGAATGTCATGAGGCTTGTTTAGAAATTGTTCTTTCGTCTCCATTATTAAGCATGAAAGGAACTGGCTAACTATCCTTTCGCGCATCCGGCTTTGTACCCTACACGTGATTCCGTAAGGAAGGCAATTTACAATATGAAGTGGTCTAGAATGTTTGCCGTTTTTTTCATGATGAAGCCTGCCAGAATAGACAGAATATTTGCTCAAAGAAACGCCTCACAATTGCCAAAATACTCGAATACAAGAATAAATGAAACCGCTGCTGAACACCGAACTCTTCAAACACCCCCCGAGTCATACCGATCAGTAGTATTTATCCAAGCAAGACAAGGTCCAAGGAGAATGGAACTTGGGGTCAATACATGGTCTATTCCATGTTATGCCCTCCTTTCGATATGAATGCAAACGAGCCCAAATAGTCCTGACTATCAACGGGGACGCTGGGAGAAAGCCGACCCGAGTGGTCGAGAAAGAGATGCGAGTGATATAACCGACGAAAGAGACGAATCACGCGCCTTCGCTACCAAACTCCTTGGTCCACTCCGAGTTCCTCGTAAGATCCTCCTGACTGACAGTAGGCCGAGAGTTCTTAACCGCCTTGATGAAGTCCTTCAGCACGAGTGGGGGCTCCAAAAGCTGTTCTGCTTCGATGCTGAGCCAAGTCATCTCAGCTGCGCCGGCATCGCCTGGCGAGCATGGAGTAAGCTTCTCGACACCCTCGACAATAACCTATAAGAACGTAGTGTGAGCAGCAAACCCCAAATAGTGAACTATAACGACAACGAACCTTCTTATAATGCGTGGCCGTCTGAATCTTGCGAATGGGCTGCATAAGTGCATCTTGCACGGCAATGCTGATATCGCTACCAGAGTAGCCTTCGCTCATTTCTGCCAATGTCCGGTAATCTGCCTGAGTCATGTGGCACGGTGTCGAGCCCACGGCCAGCATGAACATCTTCATCCGCGCATTGATATCTGGAAGGCTGATGTGGACTCGGCGTTGGAATCGTCGCCTGATGGCAGCATCCAGCTGCCAGGGGATGTTGGTAGCGCCCAGGATCAAGACACCCCTAGAGTCCTTACCGACACCGTCCATTTGAACGAGCAATTCTGTTTTGATACGTCGAGATGCCTCAGATTCGCCTTCTCCACGTGGCCCACACAGCGCATCGACTTCGTCAATGAAAATAATAGCCGGCTTGTTCTCGCGAGCCATGTTAAAGAGTTGCTTGACGAGTCTGCCAGAATCTGTAAGCCTCATGCGTCACAACGGGCAGACAATCTGAACGAATTCCCTACCTTTCACTCTCACCCATCCACTTCGATACCAGGTCACTACTACTGACGCTGAAGAAGGTGCTGTTCGCCTCGGTCGCAACGGCCTTTGCAAGATAGGACTTTCCGGTACCCGGGGGCCCGTATAGCAAGATACCTTTCCAGGGTTGCCGCTTGCCAGTGAACAAGTGCGGGAACTTGATGGGAAGAATAACCGCCTCTTTCAACGCTTCCTTTGCGCTCTCCAAGCCGGCAACGTCCTCCCACTTGACGTTCGGCTTATCTGACAGGATGGCACCCTGGAGAGCCGACCGGAGCTTTTTGGCCTCCGCGTCTTCGCCATTGTCGTCCTCTTGGTTCCTAGTTCGAGAATACAGGTTAGCTCAGAACAATCGTAGGCAGCTCTCCGTCACGAGCGACGCTGATGGACGTGTCATCTCGACCGAGCCACCAACAACTAGCCGGATACAGGCCATTAGAGGCAGGTCATACCCTCCTTTCCCGCTTCCTGGCGCGACCTTTCCATTCGCGCCCACCGCACTTGGTTTCTTCTTATCTGCCGAAGCAAGATGGTTCTTCAGCTTCTCGGCGCGGTCCATGTATTCCCCAGTTTTGGCGCGAATCATCTCCTTAGACTTGGGGTTTTTCTCCCACTTGAGTGCCAGCATGAACAACTCCAATGCGGAGTAGTAGAGTTGATAAGCCTTCTCATATTCGCCTTCATTATCGTTCTCAATTGCCTTCTTGACCGTGTCAATCGCCCGACCCAGGAAGTCCGTGTTACTCATGCTGGTTGGCGGGGTTCTGCCTGGTTTGTCACGTCTCGGTGGAGTTGCAAGTCAACCGCGGAGTTGGTAAAGCGGGGAGAAGAGGGGAGGACGCAGGGGTGTTCGGGGTTGTCTAAGGACTGGTTCAAACGGTAAATCGCGGTGTATCGAAAGCGAATGGTAGGTCGGAGAGTCCAGCAATGAGTAGATACAGCTGCGTTAGCAGAGGTGGACGTGGACGATGGGATCGGAGGGAGGTTGTGAAGAGGAGAGAGAGATTGTGTCAGTGTTGACGGGCGGGCAGCAGGCAATCGGTTTTCCCTTCTCCCACCTCCCCGCCAACCGACGCCATGGACGCTCAGAAACAGCTTCAGGCACTTTCGGACGAGTTCCAGCAGCTGCAGACCGGTACGCTACCGTGATTATCTATTTTCTTTGGCAGTTATCGATGGCTAATCTTCTCGGCACATTCAGAGCTCGAGGGTCTAGTCGATGCTCGCCAGAAGCTGGAGTCGCAACAGCAGGAGAACCAGGGTGTGCAGAGCGAATTCGCACAGCTCGATGACGAATCCAACATTTACAAACTTATCGGACCTGTGCTTCTGAAGCAGGATAAAACGGAGGCCGTCATGGCCGTCAGTGGTCGATTGGAGTTCATCGAGAAGGAGATGTGGGTTGTCTCGGTACCCTTTTCGCGGGGCTACCTTTTGCTGACTCGTCATTACAGCAAGCGCATCGAAAAGGAGATTGAAGAGAAGCAAGAAACCAGTGAGAAGAAGCGCACAGAGGTACCAATCGGCCCTTTACAACATTCCCACCATAGCAATATGCTGACGAATGTCCTATGTCTAGATTGTGCAGTTCCAAAGCCAAATGCAGCAGCAAGCTGCGCAAGTCTCTGCTTAAGCTTAGCGTCGGGGCGATACAATCAGAGATGCTATCTTGAATTGGACGTTAAGCCAACCAGCGAACCAAATCAAGCCCATACGATGGATATGATAAGCTGCCAACAATTTCGGTACCATTGAGAAGACTGGCAAAAGACCAATGAAGCATAGGGGATGATCAAGATGCCGGATTAATATTGGCATCAGATGAAGCATATGGAGGTTTGCGAGAGGGAGCTCCTTTACGCTAAATGAGAGGTGGCAGAACTCGCCGAGAGATATATACCCATGGAGCTTGAAGGTGAAGACCAGAAGCTGATCGCAGAAATCGAATTTAAAACAATCGGATCTTATGATCATCCTATTGAAAGCTAGCTAAACCTGTTATAAGGCCATCTATTTCCTGCACCCAGTGTATCAACATTTCAATATCTCATTCATTGATTCATTTTCGTAGCCAAACTCGTATATAAGAAAGAAAACTCCCCAATTACGCCTTGACGAGCAAGCTCTTGCCGGTCATCTCAGCGGGCTGCTCAATGCCCATGGCAGCAAGGACGGTAGGCGCGACATCACCCAGCACACCACCCTCCTTGGCGAGACTCCAGCCCTCAGGGGCATTGGCCATGACGAAGGGAACGAAGTTGGTGGTGTGAGAGGTCTTGGGGGTACCCTTCTCGTTAAGCATCTCCTCGGCGTTACTATTAGATTTTATCAGTAATGAGGACTTGAGAGTGCCATCGCTCCCATGTTCAGCAAACTTACCCGTGATCGGCAGTGATCATAAGAATGTAGTTGTGCTTCTTGCAAGCCTCGTAGATCTCACCGATGGCCTTGTCGGTAGCCGCAACACCCTGAATGGCAGCCTCGTACACACCAGTGTGGCCAACCATGTCGGGAGGGGCAAAGTTGTTCATGACAAAGTCGAACTTGTTCTCACCAATGCGCTCGGCCATCTTGGTACCGACGGCAGCGGCGCTCATCTTGGGGTCAAGATCGTAGGTGGCAACCTTGGGCGAAGGAATCATATCGCGGACCTCACCAGGGAACTGCTTCTCGATACCACCGTTGAAGAAGAAAGTAACGTGGGCGTACTTCTCGGTCTCAGCAACGTGGCACTGCTGGAGGTTCTTCTTGCCAAGCCACTCAGCAAGGACGTTACCCATGTGCTGAGGAGGGAAGGCAACGGGGAAGGTGTAGTCGGTCTTGTATTGGGTCATGGTGGTAATGGAGATGTTCTTGGGGTAGGGGAAGTCCGGACGAGGGGAGCGGTCGTAGTCACCCAAGAGCTGGGTAATCTCACGAACACGATCAGAACGGTAGTTGAAGAAGAAGAGGGTATCGTCATCTGTTGTCAAGTCAGTCTGAGGTCCGTAAGTGATGCTATCTTGTTGACGTGTAAGAACATACCCTGCACACGGCGCTCCTGACCACCGACAATGATGGGCTGGAAGAACTCATCGGTCTCTCCCTTCTCGTAGCGCTCCTTGATGGTCTGAAGAGGGTCCGAGCTGTCCTCGCCCTCGCCAGTGATCATACCCTTCATGCCAACCTCGACACGCTCCCAACGCTTATCACGGTCCATGATGTAGTAGCGGCCCACAATGGTGGCAATCTCACCAACGCCGAGCTCCTTGGTCTTGTTCAGCAGCTGCTCCAAGTAGATTCCAGCGCTCTTGGGGTCGGTGTCACGGCCATCACCGTAGAAGTGGATGAAGACCTTGGGGATCTGCATCTCCTTGGCGACCTCGAGCAGGCCGAACAGGTGGGTGATGTTAGAGTGAACACCGCCATCGGAGACCAAACCGCACAGGTGCAGGCGGCCATTACCTTCCTTGGCGCGGGTGAAGGCCTTGACAATGTTGTCCACCTTGTTCAGTTCGCCGTTCTTGAGGGTCTGGTCGATGCGAACACTGTCCTGCCAGACGACACGACCGGCGCCAATGTTCAGGTGACCAACCTCACTGTTACCCATAAGACCCTCGGGAAGGCCGACGGCGAGCGACGAAGCATCAAGCGCCGTGTATCCCTGGGCAGTCTTGGAGTTGGCTTCGGCGAAACCGGACATGTATGGGGTCTCGGCAGCAGCGATGGCATCGCCCTCGGGAGGCGACTGGGGTCCAGCAATGCCCCAGCCATCGATAACAACTGCAAGGTCGCATTAGCCCGGGGTGATCTGGGGACCTGGGGGACGAGCCGATCCTACTCAAAGCGACTTTGTGGTCGACCGCAGCCATTGTGGGGGTGTATGTGTCGTATTTACACCTAGAGCGCGAATCAATGGCCGAGCAAAAGCAGAGAAATAATTGAGATCGGGGTCTTTTTCACTTACCTCTAAAACGATAAGGAAAGGAGAGAAAAGTTAGAAGGAGAAGTCCAAGGGAACGAAAATTGGCTGTCCGGTGAAGGAGGGGCAGATTCCCGGTGACGCTTTTTGGTTGTCTGGCCCCCGACGTCACCCCGTTCCGACTCTTCCCTAAACATTTTACCCCAGCCGGCTTCCAATCGGTTCTTCACGTCCTCCCCGCCAACCTACTGATAGATCTGCAATGGCTTCCAGATCCCCAACAGCGGCGACGCCGCTGCCAAAGTCCTCGGCTGTGCCCGACAGCCCTTTGAAGGACGGCTCCGATATCCCAGACACAGTACCTTTTCCTCCACCCCAGACCTTTGAGATCATCCCACCCTTGCATGGCATCCTCCTTCGCTTGCTGTCTCCAAAGCCCGCTCAGGCTGGACCTAGTGGTGTCCATGGAGAGACCGCAGGAGCCCCGGGGGTTTCGATGGACGCCCAAGCACAAGATCAGCAAGCGCCTTCGAGCATGCCTGGTGGTGATAACAACAACAACGCGGCAACTTCGCAAGCTATACCGGACGTCCCTCTGCACGATTCCAATGGCGTACCACCGCTCGACGTGAAAGACCTCCCCACTGCAACCAGCTCGGTCAGAATTCGGATACAAAAAGCGCGGGCGGTAGTGGAAGCTCTTCCAGACGTGGACCGGTCTGTCGAAGAGCAACAGGAAGAAATGACAGAGCTCGAGGATCGCATCTCTCGCCTGCGTTGCGTGATTTCAGACTTTGGAAGTCGAGCCAAAAAGCACCATGAAGGCCGTCTTGAAATTGAAGCTAGCTGAGCGAGCTAAAGCTACAGGAGGAGGGCCCCTTAAAAAATACCCATGCTCGGTCATTAGACAACCCGCTTGCATGATGGCAGCAGCGAATTTTGGTCTCTTTAATCTCTTGTTGTTTTTTTTTGGCGTTAAGGAAAGGAATACCCAAAATGGATTTATCAAAGCATTAATCTACGAGATCTCAACGGTTTCACATCCACTCCGTCATTTAAATGAATCCATCTAATTCGTCGTCATCATATTGCGCATGTTGGGTCACGGAGGGAAAGGCGTGGAAACTAGAGGACGGAAGACATCGAAAAGACCATCGAAAAGACCATCGAAAAGACCATCGAAAAGAGTGAACAGGCGTAGAGAGCTTCTTTTCCTTTTGAATTTATCATACAGAACACCAATACGGAACTCTCTGCACTTGTGGAAGGGACCCTCAAACTCAATCCGGCCAAAGTCTCCGATATCGTCGAACTTTCGTGCTTATGTCGTGGCCTGAGGCACCCAGGACGATCTCGCCGCCCCTCCCCCCACCATTCAGCTTTTTTTTCTTCCTTCTCTCCCCAACCTCTTATATCTCCTCCTCCACCTCCTCCTTCTTCTTTCTATCCAGACTAACAAGGATATTCACATCACTCACAATGTCGACCTACGCTCTTTCCGAGTCCCACAAGGACGTGAGTACTTCGTTGAGCTCCCATCCATGTCTAGACCATATCATTGACTCATCCCGCAAAACAGCAAATGCACAACTCCCTCAAGGAGTCTGACCCTGAGGTCGCCCAGATCATGGTATGTAAAACTCCAATTGTGTTGACCATGCTGGTCAATGCTGGTATATAACGATGTTCCATCCACAAGTTCTTGCTGACGCATGTCTTGTCTTGTAGGCCAACGAGATTCAGCGTCAGCGTGAGTCCATTGTCCTGATTGCCTCGGAGAACTTCACCTCCCGTGCCGTCTTCGATGCCCTTGGCTCGCCCATGTGCAACAAGTACTCCGAGGGTTACCCCGGTGCCCGTTACTACGGTGGTAACCAGCACATCGATGCTATCGAGATCACTTGCCAGCAGCGTGCTCTCAAGGCCTTCAACCTGGACCCCGCCAAGTGGGGTGTCAACGTCCAGTGCCTTAGCGGTAGCCCTGCCAACCTGCAGGTCTACCAGGCTCTGATGCGTCCTCATGACCGCCTGATGGGTCTTGATCTCCCCCACGGTGGTCACTTGTCTCACGGCTACCAGACCCCCTCCCGCAAGTGAGTCACACCCCCCCCCCCCCCAAAACCTAAGTTTGCTAAGAGTCAACAATCTAATCAATGCTATCAGGATCTCCGCTGTCTCCACTTACTTCGAGACCTTCCCCTACCGTGTCAACCTGGAGACCGGTATCATCGACTATGACACCCTTGAGGCCAACGCTGAGTTGTACCGTCCCAAGATCCTGGTTGCCGGTACCTCTGCCTACTGCCGTCTGATCGACTACAAGCGCATGCGCCAGATCGCTGACAAGGTCGGTGCCTACCTTGTTGTCGACATGGCCCACATCTCCGGTCTGATTGCCGCTGGCGTCATCCCCTCTCCTTTCGAGTACGCCGACGTTGTTACCACCACCACTCACAAGTCCCTTCGTGGTCCCCGTGGTGCCATGATCTTCTTCCGCAAGGGTGTCCGCAGCACCGACAAGACCGGCAAGGAGATCTTGTATGACCTTGAGGGCCCCATCAACTTCTCCGTCTTCCCCGGCCACCAGGGTGGTCCTCACAACCACACCATCACCGCTCTGGCTGTTGCCCTTAAGCAGGTCGATACCCCCGAGTTCAAGCAGTACCAGGAGCTGGTCATCAAGAATGCCAAGTCCCTCGAGAACGAGTTCAAGGCCCTCGGCCACAAGCTTGTGTCTGATGGTACTGACAGCCACATGGTCCTCGTTGACCTGCGCCCCAAGAGCCTGGATGGTGCCCGTGTTGAGGCTGTTCTCGAGCAGATCAACATCGCCTGCAACAAGAACTCGATCCCCGGTGACAAGTCTGCTTTGACCCCTTGCGGTATCCGTATCGGTGCCCCCGCCATGACTTCCCGTGGCATGGGTGAGGATGACTTCAAGCGCATTGCTGGCTACATTGACCAGTCCATCAGCCTCTGCAAGAAGATCCAGAGTGAGCTGCCCAAGGAGGCCAACAAGCTTAAGGACTTCAAGGCCAAGGTTGCCTCCGAGACCGTCCCCGAGATCCTGGAGCTCCGCAAGGAGATCGCTGCCTGGGCCAGCACCTTCCCCCTCCCCGTCTAAGTTAGTTTCGAAAAGGACTAGCTGGGAGAGGATGGATTGTTTGGATATGAGTATGAAAGTCACGAAGAGAGATCTCTAATCAACTTGAGATTCTCGCGAGTTCAACATCATCTACGAAGCGTCGGGAGATGTGAATACCACACGGTGCGTTACATGGGGTTTTTGTATACAGGTCTGCTTTTTCAACCTTAGGGACATCTGGGTTTTGGTAATTTCTGTTTGATTTTTGTTTAATGATGAGCATGCGACACGAGCAATTTCTACAACCTCTGCGCTTCTTCAACAGCGAGAGGAGAATGGTTTTCAGGAGAGACAAAAGTTCAACATGAATCTGGCGCGTGGGCCTCTTGATTTTGCTGTACTATTGCTGTACATCACCACTCTTGAAATCAAATACAACCACATATGGTTGAACGACATTTTATCTTCCTCTTCCAAAGGTATCCATGAAGTATTTTATTTAGGGTAGGTCTGTTGGCTCCCCAAAGATTCCCTCGTGCACCCCCTCCTTTGAGCTCTGCTTGGCGGGCTCAATCTTGCTCAGCCCGTTATGAGTATTCCGTACAAAGAATTCTTTCGGCAGGCCCTCTGAGTAATATCTGTCCGGATAGCCCACACAGTATCTCTTAGTCAAAGTAGGTAATTAAAAAAAGTATTTTTCAAAGTATGACTATTGCGATGATGTTGAAGCCTAGTCAAGATTCGGACCTACAGTATGTATCCAAAAACTAGTAGTGAGCCAGTTAGATGGTGGTAGCTATCAGATAGAATACTATGTATTATAATGCCAGGCAGGATCCCAAGGTCCCAAGGGGCGCGAGCAGGAAATCAAGAAGGTGGCAATAGCCTCGCCCTTTATTTAATACCAATTACCTCGTCGGCGTGCTGATAGGTAGGTAGGTAGTTAGGTCTAGATGGGCGGCCACTCTATGGTTCAGTCAGGCAAAGGCCGTCACGTGTAGCTTCCCAGTCACGCCTTCGCAAGCTTTGGGCCAACTATGTTCACCTTCATCCACTCCGTACGTTCTCTCTTCGCTGCGTTCGTTTTGCCCACCGCTATACCTCGTTTCCTGTTCCTTGTGGGTTTGCCTGTCACACCTCCGTTCAGATCACCTCGGTCTTGCTCCAAGCCTGTTTCAGGCAGCACGCAGCCCCACCTCTTTCACGATAAGACCCCCGCTCTTGTCTTATCTTACCGGGCCATTGCGGAGGTCTGATTCAAGAGGCTGGTGGTCATTCGCGGGCAACCTGATTCAGCGCTGCAGTCTGCTCATCTTCCTTCGTCTCGACCTTCTCGATTTTGTTGGAAGCGATTACATCGTCCACTCGAGCTCTTGCAGACATGGCAAACACTGCTCAGTGTTTATATTGCTTTGAAAGCCTGTTGGCCTCATTTGAAGGCCGCGAGCCTCCTTCTTTGGCTGCTTTAGAAACCCTCTGGGAGCAGTATGAGCAATCTAAGAAGCTCTCGAGCCTTGGAGACCAAGATCTGGAGGAGGAGCAAGAGGATGCAGATGTTGATGCAGGGCCAGCTCAGGCTGTGAATGGCCTTGATGCCGATGCTGACGCCATACAGTCTTCCAGCACTACTAATCGGCCAAATGGCCTGAAACTCCCCAGCATCAGCCGTCTACAGAGCCAGGTATCGTCTGGCTCATCCAGCACATCCACGACGCCTTCTTCCGCTTCCAACAAATCAGCAAACTCGCTTTTGTCTAGTAGTACGACTGTAACGACTCCGAGTGCACAATCAGAGAGATCCATTTCAAGGGCCAAATCCGCTGAGCAGCGATATCCGGTGTTCGTGACATGGAATACAATCTCTCGTGGACACAAGTCTTTGCGAGGGTGCATAGGCACATACGAAGCACTGGACCTTGCAGTGGGACTGAAGCAGTACGCGTTGACTTCGTATGTGATGTTTTACACTTTCTCTCCTCCCATCTGTAATACTTCTCGAGTCGGAGCCAAGACTAATGTTTGTTCCCGGGCTTCACAGGGCTTTTGACGATACTCGCTTCTCTCCGATTCCCCAGTCTCTCCTACCCTCTCTCTCATGCTCCCTGACCCTTCTGGTTTCATTTGAGCCGTGTACCAACGCCTTGGACTGGACCCTCGGCACCCATGGCATCCGCATATCCTTCATTCATCGTGGCCGTCGGTACGGTGCCACATATCTACCCGACGTCGCCGTAGAACAAGGGTGGACGAAAGAAGAGGCCGTCGAGAGTCTGATGCGCAAGGCAGGCTGGGACGGCGGTGCGGGTGGTGTCGCTCGGCGACTACTGCGCACTGGGACAAGCTCTAGTGGTACCAAGCCTTGGGATCAAGTATCTGATTTTCGCACAGTTCGGTATCAGGGCCTCAAGGCCAGTGCCAGTTATGAGGAATGGCAGGAGTGGCGGACGTGGGTGCTTTCGCTGGACGATGGGCGGGAGATTCTGGAATCGGATTGAGTGTTATGGGCCTCCAGCACTTCTTTACTACCTCCATATCTCGTGTTCCGTAGATCTCGGGGTTGATGACCATAATGACCTTTTTTCTACGTTTTCCTCTTCAAATGTTATTGGGCCGGAAGCCGAAGCGGGCTATCTCAAGCAAATGCATGGATCCGCAACAAGTGGTCGATTCCAATGGATGTAGATCAGCTACTTCATGGATCAACAACATTACCAAATCCCGTATCAAAGTCTCCTATAAGAGCCCTCCCGTAGGAAATAGTTCATCAGTCATTGCATTTGGATCGTAATATATAGAAATCCTTCAATGAACACCCCCTGAAAACAATGATCAGGAAGACAGACTACCCAGAGCAAGGCAGCAAAATTGTACCAAGAGAAGCTATCGATGCACCATGAATTATCCTCTCATTTCGCATGTCCACGACTCCACAATCCAGCAACCATGTCCTTAACTCTTCTCTCCTGTTCCCGAATCTGCTCTTCAGTCTGCCCGCGAGCATTTCCCCGACTATCAATCTGCATGGGACTCCCAACCCCATTATTCGCACTAGGTGTAGCATGACGACTTTCCTCAACAACCTCATTCCCATTCACACGTTCCGGCTTCGGATCAATGCTCATCACCCCATCCATCATAAACCCGCCACCTTCGCGCAACTTGTTAATAGCGCGCACGGTATCGATGGCGCGGTGCAGGGTACGCCGGGCGTTGAAATTCTTCTTGACGGTCGGCAGCAGATCCTCGCCGGAGCCAATCTTGGCCAGGTCGTAGGGCGGGTTGACCCAGCTGTGCTGCAGGGCTTCGTGGGCGGACATTCGCTTTTGCGGGTCGATGGTCAGGCAGCGGTTGATGAAGTTGCGGGCTTCTTGGGAGACACCGCGCCAATACTCGAGAGGGGTGAAGGAGTAATCGGCCGCGAGGATGGCTTGCATTTCTTCTAGGTTTGAGTCCCGGTCGAAGGGTGTGTAGCCGCACAGGAGGAAGTAGGTGATCACGCCGATTGCCCAGATATCACTAAGGAGACATTTATTAGGAGGGATTCTTCTGGGTGAACGGTAAATGTTCAATGTGTGACTGGAACTTACACTGGCTTGCCGTGACCACTCTTCTTGAAGATCTCTGGGGCCATGTATCCTGGCGTACCGCATGTGGTGGTCAACACGTGGAACTGCTCCTCGTCCATAATGCGGGACAGCCCGAAATCCGCAATCAAAAGGTCCGCATTGTCTTCTGGGGTGCGGAACAGCAAGTTCTCAGGCTTCAGATCACGGTGAACGATCCCGTGGTCATGAAGATAGGCCACGGCCGAGAGGACGGCGCGAATGAGGTCTGCGGCGTCGGACTCGTAGTAGCTGCCCTTGCGACAGATGCGATCGAACAGCTCTCCGCCGAGGGCCAGATCGGTAACTAGATATACTAAACAAGAAAATCGGTCAGATCTCGGTATCCTAGTGTTTCCTAAGCAGGAGCTCCCGAGGTCTCGTGCCACGAACAGTTATTCATAGTCTCAAAGTAGTCCACCAAGGTAAGGATATTCTGGTGACCCATGGACACCTTCTTCAGCACGGCGATTTCATTTCGAACCTATTCGGTACCCCCAAAAAAGCGTCAGTTTTGCGCGCAGTGCCATCGCAGCAGATACGGGTCCTCCTACCATGTGTTCGCGCCCCGCCATCAGGCGCTTGTTGATCACCTTTGCCGCATAGTAACGACCGGTGTCGATATGCACGCATTCCTTAACGACCGAGTAGGAGCCCGCGCCGAGAGTCTTGCCAGTCTTGTAGCGACATGGCTGGACCTGAGGTCTCTGGGGTTGCGCCATTGGAAGTTGAGGTGGAGAGGGTCCGCGGACAAGGATGCGGAGGGAGAATTGGAGGGGCGCACACGAGACACGGGGCGATCACGATGAGGAGGGTGAATACGATGCGAGACGATTATCAAGAGGAATGTTGGAGGAGAGAGAATGTTATTCTGTACCTGCGAGTCATAGTAAAGTCAGCCCCATGTCTCATGTCGAGGTGCTAACCAGCCAAGCGGTTCAGCCCCGCTAAGGGTGTGGACAGGGAATCGTCAACCCACAGCTCCAAATAGTCCTCAATCATACACCCTGCGGTCGCAGATATTTGGCATGTGCGATGGTCCTCCCCCAGGGAATTTCAAAGCCGACAAATTTGGGTGTAATTAGGGGGGAAAGGGGGGAAAGAAGGAGGAGGAGAAGATTGGAAGAAAGAGAGTTGGATTGATCGCGGGGATCGACGAGGATCGCCAACGGCTCCGATTATGTACAACTTTGGCCCGACTTCAAAGAAGTCTATGCAAAAAGGGCCTCTCAAAACGCCCAGGACACCTCCACAGATATAAAACACCTAAAAACAATGACAGAGATCAAAAGACATGAAAAATAATACCCCCACCCCTCACAAAAAGTCAACTCATGATTCTTCCTACAGGCGAGCCAGCACCTCCTCCACCACACCCTCCAATAGTTGCAAGCTGTGGAATTTGGCAGCGCTCTGCAACACGCGTAGTTTTTTCTCGGTCTCCTTGAGATCAATCGTCGTAGCCCATTTGCCACTGCAGGAGCAATGCTCCATAAACTCGCTGATCTTGAGCGTGCTGCATTTGGAGCACTTCAGGTCCTGCGTCTGCCATTCGACTACCAGGGCATGCACCTGGCCAATGAGGATCTCCTCCTGTGCCAGTCGATCATATTCCGTCTGACAGAAGGGACAGCGCCACGGCTTGGGACCTTTGCTGCTGTCCGTGCCCGGGTCGGGAAGGACGTCTTCGTCGCGGCACAGGTCTAGATCACGGATGAGACAGCAAGCGTTGCAGGTAAGTTCGGGCAGTTTCAGGTTGGCACTAGGATTCTCGAAGCGACCCTCTTTGCTAAATTCGCGAACTTCGAAGAGAGCTAGAAGCTCGCGGCGCAATAGCCGAGACTCGAGTGTCGTGGTCTTGGACAGACTCAGCACTTGCATGAGTAGCTTGACAAGCTCCAAGGCTGGGTTGCGCTTGTCACCCTTAGGATCGACGAGCACACCGGGAAGGACAGGGAAGGCATAGTCGGAGGCGAGCTCGGGGTGGAGCATCTCATCCCGTTGACGACGAATGAGACCGGAAATTTGTTTCTTCAAAGGCTTGGAGAAACGCTCGGCGAGAATAGCTGTCAAGCCTTCGTCGTCCACATCGTTAGGTTTCCCAATGGGAATTTGGGTCAGGCGAGGCGTAGAGGATATTTCATTCTCTTGCAGATCCGGATGCTTAGCTGAATGCATCAGCTCGATGTACTCGACCACCCAATCATGGAAGATGCTCTGCATAGGCGCGGGCAAGAATCGACTGAGCTGCCAGTGCATCACTGTCTCTAGCTGTTGTTTCTCGGCTTCGACCACCTCCCGGCATCCCTTACCGCCGTAATTGTACTCGTCGTACCAGACAAGATAGTCCCAGTACTCCTTGATGTCCAGGTCGATGAAGTGGAACGAGGGATTGGCTCGGATTGACTTCAAAACGTATTGACTGTAGGCGTAGGCATTGCCCACCTCCGTTTTGGTTGTCTGGAGTAGAAGACGGGTCGGGCTGGCGAAGATGACATTAGAGCCAACTCGTCTGAATTCGGCCATCAATCGCTGGAAAGATTTGCGCGAGAGCAGTCGGACATAGTTGTGCAAAGATCGATCGTAGAGGCAGGAAACGGGGCTCTCCACCCATCGAATCAAGTGCTGGACCATGATGTCGGCCATGCTATTGCCCGCGCAAGCCTCGGTCCACCAGTTCTTGACCATCTCGCGCAGCACCAAGGCGCCTGCAGATGCAAAGGCTTTCTCAGAGTACAAGACCCCAGAGTCATCCGCTCCATTCCCAGAAGGCGCTAGCAATGAATCGTTCCCTTCCATCTCATTGACGATCGAAGAAGTGAGAATGGTGTTGATAGCTAGATTGCGGACATCCAGCTCGATGCAAACTGTAGAGTAAGCACTCGGCGTATTCACGGAAGGCATGGTGACTTTCTCCAGCGGGCCAACAATGTCATCCTTTTCAAAGCCAGCATGGTCAGGCCGGGGTCCGTTAGACCACCAGAGGACGACGTTGCTCTGCTGAAGGCGTCGGGCATATGCAACATCAATGAGGAACCGAGGATCATCGGTTTCCAGGTTACAAAGCGGAACATCACCATATCGTGCGAGCAGGGTCAAGTGCTGCACCCAGGCTGCGAGGTATAGGTAGTGTGTCACAATACGCCGGGCGATGAAAGCCTGCCACCCAAGCGGTGGGAGATCCATATCTGAAACTTCGGGCTTCACAGACAAAGTCGGATACTCCTTCAAAATCGGGATGTCATGGCACAAGCGATCCTTTTGCTGCGACTGAATGACCAAAATAGCAGGGTGGGCCTCGTCGCTACGAAGCTTACGGACCAAATCGCCAACTTCGAGGTGAGCCTTTCGTCGTGTCATGACCTGGATGGTCTTGAAATGAATCTTGTCCTGGTACTCGAAGGCATTCTGCGATTCATCCCTCGACGCATCCTGCAGTTTCCGAGAGAGTAACTCCGCGTAGATTTTGTCAACATTCGGCAACCCCTGCACATCTCTCGTGCGGTTGAGAATGACGATATGCGCTTCCTTTTTGGTTGTCGAGAAAAGGGCAAAAATTTGTCGATCGCCAGAGGCGACGTGATAGAGGTAATGGTACGCCAGAGGAGAATCCATTAGGTAGGGCTGGTCGGAAGTGGTGTGCAGGAGCGTGGAGAGATCGAAGCCTTTCTCCAACCCGTCACCAAGGACACCACGCTGTTCTTCGTCAAAGGTACAGTGGCTTCCCAACTTGAGCACTGCTCGAAGGCTGGGGGTAATGTTTCGCTCGTAGACACCTTCGATACTCGGGTGCTGGAACAGAGCATCCATTTTGTCTGATTCGTCGAGGAATTTGTCCTCTGACAATGACAGCTTGAAGAGATGGACCGACGGATGTCCATTGGGAAGGGTGTAGTTCACCTTCTCAACCTCGCAATGCGGCACCTCGATGTCCGGCAAGGAATCGCGCTTCAAGTTGACAAAGAACTGTCGAGGAACCTTGACGTTGAGGGCGTGGATTTTCTGGTCAATAAGCACGAAGGCTCTCACAATGCCCGGTCGGCCTGTCTCGCATAGTTGAAGGACCTGCCAAGTACTGATGTAGAGCATCTGGGCTTGGTTTCGGAAGAAATTGCTCAAGCCGTCTGTTGCAACATTGGTACGCTCGCCGAACAATTGGCGGCGACGAACACGAGCTTGTTTTTGAATCTTCCACTTCTGTTTCTGGTACTTGATGAAGCCTTGGTAATCTTCTGTAATAGAAGGCATCACGGCGGGTAGACTAGCAAACGGATCAAGAGCTGTCTTGGTGACACCCTCTGGGTGCTTTCGTTTCTGGGCCACCTTGCCGTCGGGGGAGGACTTTAGTTTTTGAGTCGAATGCGCAATGACTTCGTCCATGTCACCCGCATGTTGAACACGATGATCCAGGATGTTTGTGGATATCGTGGACAGCGGGGCCTTTTCAGACTTCTCAAATAGATCAGTCATCTTCTTCTGTTTGAACTTGTCATCTTTCTGGTTTATTCGACGCTGCAACCAATCCGGGTGAGCGACACGAGGCACAGGATTTCTCAGCTTCTGCAGAGCAGCCGGAATGGTGATGAGCTTTTGAATGACTGATCCCAGACGCTCCAGGTAGTAATCCCAGTCAATGATAGACCGAGGGTCCATGTCACCAGGGTCGTCCTTGAGCCATTTGCGCAGGAAGAATCGCTTGACGCTCTCTTCGGCGGAGAATATGGTGACTGGAATGGCTCTCTCGGTGACAGGTGTGTTTCTTGGCCTTGAAGAGATAATGTACTTGCAGTTCAGGCCTTTGTCCTTAACCATCTGCTCGCCCAGAAACTCTGCCAGACGTCTTGCAGTGGTGATGGACGTAGACTTTTGGTTACCATACTCCTCGAGGGTCTTTGACATACTGCGGTTCTCCGAAATGAGTTCAATCAGCTCTTCATCCGCTAGTGTGGCTCCGCGCTCATAAAGCACATCCAACCATCGATCAGCAACTCGGGCTACGGCAGCATACGTCTCCGCGAGGTTGCTTCCCTCCAGGAAGAACTTGAAGATTTGAGTTTGGAAGATCTTGATCAGCTTCAGCTCTCCTCTTCGCTTAACCTCGAATCCCTTCAACTCGGCCAGAGACCCGTCATGGTTGAATACAGCATATCGTTTCTTCAAGTTCTTATCTTCCTCTTTCGACGTTGGCAGGATCATTGCCCGATAAGGTCCATCGACCTCGAAGAAAATGGAGTTCTCGCTGTATGTATCGTACTTGTGAGTGGATGGGTCGACAAGGGTCTGGTACTGATGGTTCGTATATCGGGCATGGACGAGGTGGTTAAGCATGACACAAGGGTATGAGATACCCAGTTTCTTGCCATTTTTCAAGGTGAAGGTGAAATTCTCGGGGAAGCTGCCAGGCAACATGCACCAGATACCATCAGTATCCAATTCCAGCGGACGACCAATGCGTTCAACGAGCTCTCGCGCCATCTGAATGATGTGGGCACCCGTCAGACAAGTGACGCCAGCCATTTCCATGGAATACCACCGAGAACCCTTTCGCATGACATAGCCATAGAAACTGTTCAAAATGACCTTGTGGGCAAGTTGCAGCGAATCAAAGAGAACGATCATCTTCTTCGCCTCGTCGATCTCAGCTGCGGAAGCGCCAGATGATTGCAGTGACTCTGTTTTGTTCTTCCAGACCTTTTGCTTGCCCTTGAAGTCGTATCGTCGATCACGGAAGCTTCGCACTGTATCGACATAAAACGGGTTTTCTCTTTGGCAAATGATTGCCTCGCGCACGATGGTCTTGCTGTCATGGATCTTATGGTAGATCTTCTTGCTATAGTCTTGAAGGCGTTTCTTCACAACTCCAGCTTGTTCCTCAATGCTCAGATCAGCGAATGATCGCAACAGGCCATTCTTTCTTTGACTGGGGAATCGCTCATTAGTGGTCGCCCGTCGGATCATGTTGTACTCATCGCGCTTTGCGGGCAAGAATTCACCACGCCAAGCCCAAGGCATACGTCTGTCGCACGTCTTTCCGGGTCGATTGAAGTCGCAAGCGGCACAGTCCGATTCATCGATCATGGAGTCGGGCTGTAGACGATTGGTGATCATGATGTTTGGGTACATGGAAGCAACGTCCACGTGGTAGATGAGTGGAACTTCATTTCGGCTCGGGTTATTCTTCAGGTCAAACAGTTTCTCAGAGATCTGGGCTTTCACTTCGTCAAAATTCACGACGTCATCCAGAGACTTCTTCTCTTCAACCTCGATACTGAACTTGAGAGCATGGTCCAAGTCTCGGAGGAGCTCGTCGATCGCCTTGGGGTCAACGTTAAATTCTGTGGGGATGTCGCTGCGGAAGACACCAGCTTCAATACTTTCGACGTGGCCGCCGACGTAGGTCTGCGACTCGAGCAGATGGCCTTCGTAGAAAGCCTCCGGCGGGTCCTTGTGTTTGTTGGGTAGAACAATCTCACCCTTGTAGGCTTCGACCATGAGCAACATCTCACACAGTGTTCCAGTACCCTTGCGCAGGGTATCGTCGGGGCTGAGCGGAATAATGGTGCACAGAGAGAAGATGAACGGATGCACATATTTCATGTACAGGTAGTACGTGGCAACGGCATCGGAAACGGAGTACTCGGCCAAAGTCTGGGGACGTTCACTCGCATAAGGCGTCATCAGTTCGGGATCAAGCTCGTCGGGGTCGTAGCCGAGCTTAGCGACGGTCACGGCCTTCAAACCACGACTTCCTTGAGGGAGGTAACTGTCACGGCTAACCCATGCGAAGCAGTCCATGTGCACGCAGTTATCGCTTTGGTAGATGTCCTCGCTGTTCTTGCGAAAGCCAATCTCCATATACATATCAATTCCCTGAACGCTTGCTCTCGTTTCCACGAATGGCCAATCGAAGAAGTCACCGTTGTACGTGGCAATGACTGTGGGCTTGGCGATTTTAATATGCTCGAAAAATCGCTCGATGACAGCTCTCTCGTTCGGCTCGTTGAATATGATAAAAGGTCCATTGTACTCCGGCTTTGGGGTGTACTCGAAGTCGTTGATGTCCTCAGACACAATCTCTCTGTTGGTGATCAGGAATCCTTGCCCGTCAATCATGTACGATATCATCATGATCTGATCAATCAGCGCGTCGGGAAACTTGAGAGGCAATTTCGTCGTCTCGATATCGAAGGCCAAGACAACTGGATCGGCACGCTGAAGTCGTTCTTCCAGGCATTTCAAAGATATCACGCCGTGTTTAGCCTCCACATCGTACCATTTTCCGATTCGGATATCTAAGATATGAGATGTCAGCATGGGTTGAGAGGCCAAAGAAACCAAATTACAATTACACACCTTTGTCAATCGAGACTCGGACATGGTATGGAACGTCGTACTCTCGAATATCAACAATAAAATCACTCGCTTGCACATTGCCATTAGGTCGTTGCTCATTAATTATTTCGTCGTCAAAAAGGTCGAAGCCAGTAGTGGCACTATTGAGTATACAGTCAGCAAAGTCGCAACACAAAACGTCATGGTCGGAACGAACCTGGTCATTTCGACGTATGCATCCATCACATTTGCATTTTTCTTGTTCTTCTCTGCCAAAGGAAGCAGAGTACGACGGACCTCGAGTAGATTGGGCACATTGGCAAAGTTCAATCTGATAAAAGTCCTTCGGTGTCCAAGCAAGTGATTGGGAAGATTCAAGTCTTCTTTTTCCAGGCGTTTGAAACTCTTGATCAAGCCTTCAAACGCTCTCCGACACCACTCCTCCACTTCCATCTCGTGGCCTTTCTTAACCGCAATCAGGAAATAAGGGTCATATTCCACCGTGGCCTTGAAACTCCCGCCATCATCTTGGAGGAAATAGTAGTCAACGCCTGCACGGCCGCCCGGTACATTTGGATCCTGTATCGTGGTACTGTGCATGTTGATGAGCCAGCCGGCTCTCGTCTCGCCAGACTCGAACCGCGGAAAGCCCAGGGATTCATCGATGCTGTTGGCCAACCGAATGGCCTCGAATTTCTCATCTTGAGAGGTTGCTTCGCTGGAGCGGAGGGATCCGAATTCGACCGTTTTCGTTCGTCGAGGATTTGAAGATGCCGCGCTGGATCGGAACTTGTTCCCAAACTTGCTGGGTTTGCGCGAAGGCATTGCGACACTGGCGCCCAGCCGGGCTTTTCAAAGTAGGGTTGGCGACAGAGCGTGTTGCTTAGAACATGAAGTTGCCGGAAGTATGGCAATTAGCGGAATCTGTTGCTGATAAAGACGCGGGGTGGTGTAGAGGTGGTAAAGTGTGAAGGCCAATGCCTGTCCGAGGGTCTAGTAATGACCTGCAATCTGCCTTAATCAAGTCGATCGCTATCGCTTTTCTCGACGCGACCGCGTATCTGCACGTCCCCGGAACGCGTAAAGGTTAGTCAGCCAATGGCCCGGAATAACTATCTACATTAGGATATGTCGGAACATCCAATGATCCGCTGATATTGCTGCGGTTATCAGCAATTTGGCCCGCCGAGCTGCTCGCCGATCTAAGGAAGCGCAAGTCGCTAACTTTGACAAGCATGGTTGAGGACTCCCGAGAGCCCAACTCCTCACAGGAGCCTGGCAGCCATCTCCCCGCCAGCGTCCCGAATCCCGACCCGAAAAAGCCAAAGCATGACTTCCCGCAATCGCAAGTTGGAAAGTTATGGGATGCCTTTGGCAACCCCGAAGAACCCGTGAACGCCCTCGCCAATGCAAGCTACAAGCCCCGGGGTAAAGACCCTAAGGATGTCTCATACTCTGATGTTGTCGGCACAGTATCCATGTCCGAAATCTCATCATTCTACAAAGCACCATGTGCACGCGAATCTCTGATGACTGGAATTGGAGCTGGATTTGGAATCGGTGGCGTACGAGCTGTCTTCGGAGGTATGTTCATTCTTTCAAGCAACTCAAAAGCAAAGAATATAGCTAATTTCCATAGGAATGCGCTCATTATGGTCCGCCGGAAATTGGGCGGTTGGAGTGTTTGCCGTCACCTCTCTAGGAGCATACGAGTTCTGCCGACGACGCCGGATCCAAGAACTGCACGGCATGAAAGAAGCCGTCGAACTTATGAAGGAATTGAAGGAGAAGAAACAACGGGACAAGGAACGAGCCGCTGAAGAGGCAGCCCGGAGGGCAGAGGAAGAGAAAAGGAAAAAGAGTTGGACAAACCTCTCCAACTACAAATTCTGGTAGTGTTGCTTTTCAAGAGTCGGAGTCCCGGTCTTTGTACGATATATCCCGAGCTGTATATTCCAATAAAAATCATATGCTATGGTGATTGGCGTTCATGTCATAAGTCATATCTGTGTATCATAGCGCCCAATTGTTTCCATGTTCTTATTCAAATGAATCCCCATCTTGCTCCGGTGCACCAACACGCAAATGCCCCTTGAAAATGCCAAAAAAATCCTGAATGATGGCAGAAAGTAGCTGTTCAGCGTCTGTCCTGGACATCGAACTTGACTCGCTTCTGGATAGCCCCTTCGTGTATGCTGTGAAGTCTGTCCTTGCCAGAGCTGTCGTTCCTTCGTTCCCGTCGCTTCTCACGGGCTTCACGTGCCTCACGGGACTTCCATTCGGCAACTTGCCGTTGTCGTTTCTGAGAACGTGCCCACGCCATGGCCGCAGTTGGTTTGAATCCCACGCCATTGATACCATAGCCATCATCGGTTGGATCAGTCGGGTCATGTCCTGTAATTTCGTGATCATGCCATGTGAACGGATCATCCAGAGGGACGTCAGAGGGTGGAGGAGATAATCGCTGCTTGTGGCCCTTGGACGGTGATATGAGATCACGTTTTTTGTGTGACGAGGGATTTGATCTCTTTTTTGAGGGAGTGGAAATAGGTGTGACAAGAGCACTGGCTGGGACATGATGTGTTGCCAAATGGGAACCAGTGTGCTGGCGATGAGCATCACCTCGTTCGCTGCTATGACCTTCCGAGGGTTCGGCCATGCTCGTGGACCCCTGGTCGTGGCTGTTGGACATACATGTTGCCTTCGCCGGATTTAGTGTACATGGCCGCTGGCTGTCGCCACGTGATGCTCTTAGTTCTGGGAATCGGTCTCCATGAATGGCCAAGTCTTTGAAGCGTCCCGCGACAGCTGCGCGTGGGCTATGTCTCCCCGGCTCGCTCTCCTCACGGATGCGGGCTTCTTGTAGACTGGCGGCAGATACCGTTGATGTTGGCGATGCCGACGGACTATAGTAATCTGACTCGGAAGGCTCTCGTTTGCGCTTTGGCGAGAAATATCTTGGGGGATCCGTCGTCATCATCGTGAGGCTGAGCTGGGAAGGAGTTGGTAGGGCGCCGAAGCCGATCATCAACCCTAAAGATCGCATTCAGAAAGTGTCATGTAGTGTAAACCCTGGTCACCATTCAGCAAGGACGGGGGGCATGGTGCAGCAATCCCCGTCGGTAGGTGCGGAGATCAAAGTGAGGGGCAGGTCACTGGACGTTCGGGTGAGAGCTGATTTTCCGGGGGGGACCATCGGTGCCTTCATACCGGGCACTGAACCCCCTTCGCTCACGACCCCGATAGAGACGACCCGGCCTATTAGGAGCCGCAATGGGCGATAGCGGTCAAAATTACTCAACCTGAGCAGTTAATTAGGTCTTTTTTTGTGTCGCTATCACAATCACGATCTGATAGCACAAATTCCCGGCCTTAGTCATCGTGGGACCGCATATTGTGGCCATGCGCATAATGCAGTTCTAGCTCTAGGTCCTTGAACAAAGGACGTCGATACCGATACCGAACGCCTGCAGCGAATGGCCACGTAGGCCAAGGCTCTACCATATAGAGTGCGGGTTGGAATTGGAGGGTTGCAAACATAGTAACACGAGATAGAGCAAAATCCTATTGCCACAAAGGGCCTAAATCGAATAATTTACATATCCCCGAGCGCATCGAGTCGTGAACAAGATTGAGAAACATGAAATGAAAAGAACCCAACGCCATGACAAAGACTCCCAGTACCATAACAAAGCGCTTTTATGCCTTTTGCTTCTTCTTCGAAGGCTCGGCATCGGTGTCGTGCTTGCGCTTCTTCTTCTTCTCGGATTCGCCCTCACCAACGTCGGACTTGCGCTTCTTCTTCTTGTCACTCTTGTCGCTCTTGTCCTTCTTGTCCTTCTTCTCCTTCTTGTCTTTCTTTTCCTTCTTCTCCTTGACGTCCTCCATCTCGGCATCACTGTCATCAACGTCAACGTCGATGCCAGCCAGCACGGCGTCCATAGCGGATTTCTATTCAGTTCAGGTCAGTAAGATGTTCATTGCGAGGTAAGATACTTTTCATTGACATACCATGGCAACCTCGTTCTTAGTAGGGGCAGCACCGGTTGAGTAAAACTCCAGGCGCTCCTCGACCTGCTGCTTCAGAACCTCACCGAACTTGGTAGTAGGGCTCTCGGAGAAGTTATCGATACGAGAAGCGATCGAGCACTTGTTGGCAAGGAAGCGGGAAATGCGACCCTTGTTCTTGGGTCCAGCACGGCCAATGAAGGAAGAGTGATAAAGCAAACCATACTTGGGGGTGTTACCCTTGGTCTTCAAGGCACGGAACAGGGCCTTCTCGGCACCGAGAATCTGAACAGTAGAGGCAGGGTACTTGGACAGGTTGGTCAAGCTACCGGCGTGGGAAATCAGACGAGCGCCAACGATCTCACCAATCAGCGCAGCAAGGTTAGGAGCAACAACGCTCATCTTGGAGACCAGGTACTGGTAAAGGGACTTGCGGTACTTGGCGATGCTAACAACGCGCTCGGCGAAGGCAATGACGTTTTCCATGTCAGAGTCGGAGATATCCTGACCCATACTGCGCTTGGCAGCATCAATGATGCTTTGAGCAACACCCTTGTCGTCCTCCACGAGGGCGGCCAAATCATGCAGGCTGTCATCATTCAGGCTCTTCTTATCCTTGACGAAGAGAGCAACCTGGGCATAGCGCTGGTTGTCGGAAACGATCTTGACCAGCTCGGGGAAGTGCCAGGAGTACCATTCGCGAACACGCATGGAGAAGGTGTTGATGGCCTTGTCAAGCTGATCCAGGATAGCAATGGCCTGGATGATATGGTTGTCGTCACGCTGAACGGAGAACTTGACCTTGGCACGAGAGTAGGCGTGGCCGAGACCGAGCTGAGCGGTATCCATATCGCCCTCGCGGAGCTGGCTCAGCAGCTTGGCGAAGTGCAGACGAATACCACGGAGGAGGTCCTGAACGACTTCGCTAGTGTCGCCGGTCTCGCAGTCGACGAAAGAGAAGGCGGACTTGATGCTACCAGCGAGACCCTTGTCGAGCAGACCAAGAACGACCTTCTTCTTCTTGCTCGGCTTGGGGAGATTGAGATCAAGGAATGAAACGAGAGTCTCGGACGCGACACCTTCGGAAACGTCGTTGATTTCACCGAGAGCCTGCTTGTTGTTTCTGGGGAACATTAGCGAGGACTCCTACGATGAAGACCCGAGAAAAAGCCTTCATATCCGGGTAATTTAGGACATACTCAAAGGGAAGGAAACTGGCAAGGGTAACCATCTTGCCGAACTTGGCGAGGTCGTTAACACCGGCCTGGACTTCCTTCAGACGGTTGCCAACGGCGTCTCCCTGGAGAGCCACCTTGAAAAGCGAGTAGCCCATAGGGCTCTCGAAGAGTAGAAAATCGGCCATGGCGCTGATCTGGGGGCCAAATCAAATCGCAGAGGTGGCCAAAATATATGTGTTACAGCAGAAACCCGAAAACAACACAACGAATGAGCCGGCGGGTTGCTGATGGCGGACGTTCAAAAGGGCGGGAGACGGGCAAAAAGTTGAAGAAATCGAGAAAGCTCTTTTTTTTCGCCGCTAGTGCGAATCCGTGAATGTGGGCTTTTTGCCCAAAATCATCTCACCGCCTTTGCCATCCATCGCGGGCATCCAAACTCCTGTGTGTTGCTCGTCGCTAGCTGCCTTACCCATCCCATTACGATTTTTCTCTTGGGCTAAGCTCCCGGTCATTCATTTTCACCGCAGATATGTCTGCGACCCAACTGCTTAACCCCAAGGCCGAGTCCCGGGTATGGAATCCCACTCCCCTGTTCGACCCCTCCGTGGCCCGCACTAACATTTCATTTAGCGACGTGGAGAGGCGTTGAAAGTCAACATCAGCGCAGGAGAGGGTCTTCAGGATGTCCTCAAGTCGAATCTTGGTCCCTCGGGAACCCTGAAGATGTGAGCTACGAATTCTACCCATGGATGGTTGTGACTTAGCTAACAAAAACCCTAGGCTGGTAGACGGTGCCGGTGGAGTATGCAATATGCCCCTTTACCCTTGGAAACTACAGAGCAGGCCATTTAACGCGGTGGCACTATAACAGATTAAACTGACCAAGGATGGAAATGTTTTGTTGCGTGAAATGGTCAGTCTTGAAGCCCGAACGATGTACGAAAAGCCAAGTGCTAACAAATCAACAGCAAATCCAAAACCCCACGGCCGTAAGACAAGACTCCATTGGCATCGATTCGGTTCCTCGCTGATAATAATGAAAGGTTATGATTGCTCGTGCGGCAACTGCTCAGGACGACATCACGGGAGATGGTACGACGTCGGTCGTTCTCTCGGTTGGAGAGCTCCTGAAGCAGGCAGACCGCCACATCTCAGAGGGTCTTCACCCCCGTGTGATCACCGACGGCTATGAGATTGCGAAGACTGAGGCTCTGAAGGTATTTAATGAGTATAAAGTTGCTTGCCGGTTGCTAGTCTGACAATATCTGCAGTTCCTCGACAACTTCAAGCTTGAGCGAACCATTGACCGCGAGCTCTTGCTCTCCGTCGCCCGCACATCTCTGTCCACCAAGTTGAACAATGCCCTCGCCGAGAAGCTCACCCCCGATATTGTCGACGCTGTCCTTGCTATCCACCGTGCCCCCGAGAAGCCCGACTTGCACATGATTGAGATCATGACCATGCAGCACCGCACATCATCCGATACCCAGCTGATCCGTGGTCTGGCTTTGGACCACGGTGCTCGTCACCCCGATATGCCCAAGCGCGTGGAGAATGCCTTCATCTTGACGCTCAACGTCAGTTTGGAGTACGAGAAGTCCGAGATTAACTCTGGCTTCTATTACTCCAGTGCTGAGCAGAGAGACAAGTTGGTGGAGAGCGAGCGCAAGTTTGTCGATGCGAAGCTGCAGAAGATTGTGGATCTCAAGAAGCAAGTTTGCGGCAATGACCCCAAGAAGGGTTTCGTTGTGATCAACCAGAAGGGTATCGATCCCCTGAGCCTGGATATCCTCGTCAAGAACGGCATCATGGCTCTGCGGAGAGCTAAGCGGAGAAACATGGAGCGTCTGCAGCTGGTTTGCGGTGGTGTCGCCCAGAACAGCGTTGAGGAAATGACGCCCGGTGTCCTTGGATGGGCTGGCTTGGTATACGAGCACCAACTTGGCGAAGAGAAGTACACATTCGTCGAGGAGGTCAAGGACCCCAAGTCGGTGACTATCCTTATTAAGGGCCCCAACGCCCACACTATTGCTCAGGTCAAAGACGCTGTCCGTGATGGCCTCCGCTCCGTGTACAACACGATCGTCGACGGCTGCGTGATTCCCGGAGCTGGTGCATTCCAGGTCGCTTGCGCCCAACACTTGAAGTCCGACAGCTTCACCAAGACTGTGAAGGGCAAGGCCAAGTGGGGTGTTGAGGCTTTCGCTGATGCTCTTCTGATTATTCCCAAGACCCTCGCCGCCAACTCTGGCCACGACGTCCAGGATTCCCTGGCCGCGATGCAGGACGAGGGTAAGGATGGTGTTGTCGTCGGATTGGACCTGAACACTGGTCTTCCGATGGACCCCGTCCAAGCGGGCGTCTTCGACTCTTACCGTGTCCTGCGGAACTGCGTTGCCTCCAGCACTGGTATCGCGTCTAACCTTCTCCTCTGTGACGAGCTCCTGAAGGCTCGGCAGATGAGCAAGTCCGGTGGTCCCGGTGGTATGGAAGAGTAATGCGCCTTTTTTGACGATGGCGGTTTCATGTAAACAATTAGATGATCTTGGTACCGGATACTTTTGATGCCTCTTCAGGGTCCAGTCCTCTCAAAAGAAATGCACACATTAATTGCACAACATTTATCAATTACCGAGAAAGCAGTGGAGGTAGTCAGAATTTACAAACCACTACATTCAGAAGCAAGGGTCGGCCTCGAGTGGCGGAAGTCCTTTGTCGACTCTCTGGGGTGTTTGGTCTTAAAAACGCAGGCGTTTGTACTTGCAACTGCGATCGCACAGGCACTTCGGCTCCTACATTATGCTGTCATTACTGTCGTAAGTCAATAAAAAATTGTCCACAGTTGTACATAGTCTCCTGTATGGCAAAGTAAAACAGAATTAATCGTCCTCCGAGGCATTATCGCTTCCTTCAGAAACAGCCACAGAAGGATACCCTGCCACGAAACCATCATCTCTGACCGGATCTTCGAGCGAAAGGTGATGAGTCTTTGCCCATTCCCAGATATCAGCCTTGTGGATCACGATCTTTGGGCTCTCCTTTGGTTCGTCATCGCCCATCAGACGACTCAGTTTGCGCTTTTTGGGGGTTGTATCAGGTCGAATCACGCCCATGCTTTTGACGGCGGTGATCACGTCTTCAGTCAACATTCCTGTGGCTTGACCTATCTCCTCGACAGTCATGTACTCCCGAGGGGGCTTTTTGCGTGAGCCTTTCGATGGAGACGCTTTCGCGGGTTTTTGATGCCCAGCCTCGGACTTGCCATCCCCTCGCTTGCCACACAGCAAGTATCGCGCAATCCGCTCAGCCCAGAAGCGATTGTAGCTTTTTTGACCCAAATCGCTAAGAGGTTTCTCCGGTCCCCCTATGTATCCACCAGCATATTCCCATCCGCTGAGCTTATAGCTCACGCCCATCAGGAGTTTTCCAAGTTGCCTATGCTGATATGGCGGGAAGATACAGATGCATGCGAGATTGTTCGAGTCCCAGGAAAGTTTTTCTTTTGAGAAAAATCCCAAGACATGGTAGTTGTCGGAGTTGTCCGGGTCGGTAAAGGTGAGTATGTAGTAGAGGAAGGTAGCAACGTCAAAAAAGACCGTTTTATGATCAAGGAAGAGCTTGGCGAAAAGAGACAGATTCTGTCCAAAGAGCTTGTAGTCCTCGCCGTCTACCTCCCATACAGCGTACCCGCCATGCTCGTATACCTTGGTGCCAGCCGGCGTTGCGCGATGGGCACAGGCCCGAGTGTGCTCCGCAAATGCAACTTCGTCGCAAGAGTATCGGAAACACCAGCGACAGACGTAGAGGTATTCGGCATCTTTGGCAACCAGATCCTCGGGGTATATTGACTGGTACCACGGCTTGAATAGCAAGTCTCCAAGCACGACATTCTTCACGTTGCGATCGCCCGGACTTTGTAGGCTCGAGGTGGATTTTCCAGCGGCCATTGATATTCTCTCACTTTTAAAGAGTTTGCTGGTTGTCTCGGTCGCTCAGGTTTCAAGAGTTGTCGGGTCGAATGCGAGATCCACTGGACCAGCCATTGGCATTGCCGTGAGGGTAGGAAAACCTGGTCGAGGTGTTTTGGTGAAAGGACTGGAGGTCGTTTGGTCAATCCCACATGAAGGGTAAACAATTAACCAGTATTTTATTTGGAAATCGAGGCAGTCGCGGCAATCAATCTGCCCCAAAAGCCCCCCTTCACGACGATCAACAAAAGTGAAGGCGGCGATCTGCCAAAAACGTTCTGACTCAGCCGCAGCTATCAGGTGATCCGGGCGGGGAGAGCTCTATCTTATCCACTGTTGCCTGGAAGATTCACAGTGAGATCATCACCCAAGTCATTCCTTGCATTCGAATAGCCGTTGCAAAAGGGATCTTGGATATTTTCAGGCAACAGTCATACGTCTCTCATGATATCTGGCACACCTCTCCTATCTCGTGGGGTTTAAGATCGCCCTGAAGCCATCTGATCTCACGCTTCTTCGCGTGTACATTGCATTAGTTTACCCGTGCAAAGCCCCCACCCGCTGGTCCTAAGCTCGAAGGGATCCCAGCATCCACTTTTCAAGATGTTGAAGCCTTTCCAAATCAGAAATCTTCGTGAATCCTCATCTGGGTATCTTGAGGATGTTTCACTTCAACCCTCCAGCCCTCATGGGGTTGTACGGGTCTCAGCCACCGACTACGACGATATCGTCTTGAATCACCCTCGTGCAAGGCTTACCTACTTGGATGAAGATGATGGTGATCATATTACCGTAAGACCCACCCCAAAGAGTTTTTCAAGTGCTCACAAAACAGCTAACTCTTTAATAAAGGTCGGCTCTTCTTTTGAGCTATCTCAACGCTTAGACGAGCCTCTGGACATCGACACGCGGCTTGATAACGTCCAGCTTTCTCAAGACGAAGCGGTTCCCATGCACATATTCGATATTCGACGATCCAACTCGGTGACTGAGTTATGGAAGCAGTTTGAGAGAGACAACGATGCCATCCGGTCTCACCAGGTGGGCAGCGAAGCTGTTGTCGAGACAAAAGCTGCACCTGATGAGCATGAGCATAAAGAAGAACCAATTTCACATGATGCTGCTACTACGTCTGCCCCTGAGGCTGAAAATCAACCGTTTATGGTAGCATTTGAAGCCGAGTTGGCCAGTCTCCTCAACTCTACCGAGATTCTTGGTCAAAGGGCGACGCAACCAGAAGCATCATCTGCAGCCGAACCCTCGTCGTCGGATACTAGCTCACAGAGAGCACATCATCCACTGGAAGTGGTTGCAGCCACATTCCTTTACCATTTGGTCAATGGAGCAAACTCGGTACAGTCTGAATTGAGAAGTAGGCTGCCAGAGTTGCAAGAGCAGCTCCGAAATGCTCAGTGGACAGTCCCAGAGAACGTACGATCGTCGCTCCAGAGCCTGCTCGTCACAATTGAAGCGCACATGCGGACTGCTTTCCAGAACTTGCCTGATAACGGAAGGCAATTCGCGGAAGATGCCATCAATGCCGGCCGTCCCGTTGCCGAGCATGCTGCAGACGGCTTACGGATGATGGCCTCGGAGCTCAACGAGGCCAGTCGAACGTTGTTCGCGGCCTTTGAGAGTGAGTTTGGTCGTTTTGCCTCAAATGACTCGAATGCTACTTCCGAAGGACCACACGCTGCGCCCAGCCCAAACCCTAGTACTACCGCTGATGTCACTGAACCAGAATTCACGTCTCGGGATATAAATTCCCATCCCACAGATACAGGCGCCGAAAAGGAAGCAATCGCCAGTTCTCATCCACTTGCTCAAAGCCCCGAGGTCAACCAAAATACTTTGCCGTCCAACTTCACGAGTCCGGGCTGGAATAATATAAGAGATGAAGTACATGGGAATCGCTTTCACCATCCAGGCCCTCGTCACTCTTCTCCATTCCCCCCTCGAACCCCTCATCATCCTGTTCCGCCTATGCCTCCTAGACATTGGCCTCCTATTCCTCATCCCCATCATCCCCCTCCCAATAATCCTCCCTGGCAGATGCCGTGGGACCCGGTTCATCCTATTCGGCACCACCCACCGCCCCCTGTTCCTCAGCATCCACTCGCCTCTGGCATATTTCCAGCTTCACCATGGCTTCCCACAGATAGGTGGTTCAACCCTCTCGGTCCTCATCATCCTCATGGCGCACCCCCTGCGCCTCCTCCAAAGGAGACCCCCCTAGGTTCACTTAAGCCATCAGAGGTTTCTGAAAAGAGGGTTTTGTTCATTGGCAATGTTGGTTTCAACGTAACCGAAAGGATGATCCAAGATGTATTTGCTGCAAAGGGGTTCGTTGTTTCCGTGCGCCTTCCACAAGATTCGGACACTGGTCAGCATGCTGGGTTCGGCTACATAGAATTCCCCTCCATTCACCCCGCTATGGCGGCAATGGATGCTTTACAGGGTGTACACATTGATGGACACGCAATAAATCTCGAGTTCAGTGATGATGCCGTCATTGACTCTGTGCACCCACCACAGCGACCTAGTCATACCGAGCCGAGCACTCTTTACGAGACTTTCGCACGCCATAATCAGCTCGATTCTGGAGACCTCGGTGTCTCTAGCCCGGACCAAATTGGCTCGGGTGTCTCTTTTGGCCAGCGACCGCGTCCCTGTCGAGGTAGCCGCAGAAAATCCGTGACATTCCAGGAGCCTGATTTGTCTTCCCTGGATCTCCAGAAAAAAGATGTCCCAGCCCGGCTTCAATCGCCTCCACTGATTGACTTGACTACCGACGAACCTTCCTCTAATCACCAGTCGAATGATGTGCAGGACCAGCTACCGGAAATGAGTCGATTCCCGCCTGTCTCCCAGCTAGAAGCTCAGCTTTTTGCCAATCAACAACAGAGCCGTGCACTTGAGTCCACCTCTGATGCGACAGCTCGCCAGGTGGCGATTGAATCAACTCCATCCGGTGACTATGTTCGGCCAAAGAGCTATAGGGAAGCCGTACCGTTACAGAAAGCTCACGGGAAAGGATTATCTACCTTGGGTGACGGCGGCCGTCGAAAGAAGTCTGGACTTCGGGGCCACGCTCTCCGTCGGTCAAATACCATGACATTTGCGCGCCGAGGAGGAGAACTGTCTGATTTTCCGGCCTCAGATCTTCAGGGCAACCCCTCCGATAGGAGTTCATTGAGACGACGTGCCAGTGAACGCCACTCCTTGCGACGTGATATCCAGGATCCCAGTGAGACAGACACCTGGGCACGGTTGGACAGAAGAGAACGCCGCGGCTCCAGACACTCCTCTTATCAGAGCATTCCTGGAAGCTTCCCTATGGAAGAGGCATCTCAGCCTGCGGCATCTGGCCCGATGGACGTCGGCGCTGAAACCCGGGAGACTGACATTGACAACTGCGTGTCCTCCCTTGTCGACATGGGCTATGGAAGCCCTGAAGATGGCGGGTATTCTCGAATGGTGGTCTATGCTGCGGCTTCCAATGGTGACCTCTATGACGCGATCGAAATGATTGAAGAGGAGAGAAAAGCGTATGCGCGCCAGGGTCGCGAGTGAGATGGACTAGGCTGATGTAGGATTCTTTTGGATCGGGCTTGATGTGCCACAGTCGGTCTTTTGTCGAAATTTTGGTCAGCTTTACTGGTTCTTCCTACGTCTTGTGAATTTTTTTGCTTCTTGAGCGACAATTTGCCAGATTTGATCAGTCTCAATTCTATCGTTGTGAGGTATTAGCCCCGGCCCGATTTACATCTTTCCCCTGTAGATTTGTAAACAACTTTGAGGAACCAGATAGCAATAGGTTGGAAGCACCAGACCTAAACAGCATCCATGAGCATTCCAATCAGCTCAACCTAAAGACCAGTAGATACCTCTAATTAGGTATAATTTTCAACGGCCACTATCGGTCTTCTTGTCCAAGACTTGCAGAGCTGCTGCGAATTGTGGGTGTACGAGAGCGGTGATCGGATCCGCGGGTGTCCATGCTCCGAGGTTTTCCCTGTCCGCCAGCTTGACCTCCGACAACAATTCAATTTACCAGCCGCAACACCCTTGATTCAGCAATGCACACATGGCGGCGGACTTTCGCCACGTCTGTCGCCAGACTCGGCTCTAGTTCCATACCGCATTCCCGAATTGCTGCTCTGCGATGTGCACAGATCCTCCGGGCTAGCAAAGCGGATGGACCTTGCACCTTGGAAGATAAAGAGATTAAGATCAACGGGTTCGTTCGGTCGGTCCGCAAGCAAAAGCGGTTTGCATTCGCAGAGATCTCAGATGGCTCTACCGTTGAGCCATTGCAGGCGATTCTGAAGCCTGCGCAGGCAGCTGAGTATGTCCACCGCGGACCTGTGACTCCAAGCATCATCTGTTAGCACGGAGATCTAATTCGGTCGCTCCACTACACAGTCTATCTACCGGCACTGCCGTTGAAATATCCGGCATCTGGAAAGCTTGTCCACCTGGAAAGGAGCAGACCCATGAGCTTCAAACAACCGAAGTGACGGTGGTTGGTGTGACGGATTCAGAGGTATGTGTTGACCGTGGTCACAAGCGCGAATCGGCTGATTCTGACCTTCGCATCATGTTTAAAAGACATATCCGATACAAAAGAAATACCATAGCCCAGAATTCTTGCGCCAGATCCCACACCTCCGTATTCGAACGCCCTTCCAGTCCCTCCTCGCACGCTTTCGATCCGAATGCCTGTTCCAGCTGGGCAACGTCTTCCACTCTCGGCCCGAAGGTCCTTTCACGCAAGTCCAACCTCCGATCATCACATCCTCAGATTGTGAGGGAGCAGGTGAAACATTCACATTGCTTCCTCGTGGCGCCCCAACGCCGTCAAGTACCGAAGCCGATCATTTCTTCCGAGCACCAAAGTACCTGACCGTTTCGTCGCAATTACATCTCGAGGCCTACGCGGCTGAACTGGGCAATGTTTGGACCTTGTCCCCCGTATTCCGGGCGGAGAAGAGTGATACACCTCGACATCTCAGCGAGTTCTACATGCTCGAGGCCGAGGCCAACTTCATGTATGATTTGGATTCACTCACCAACCTGGTAGAGGATCTACTTCGCGACCTGACTCGACGATTGTATAATACCCCCGTTGGCCAAGAAATCCTGTCGGCAAAGCGGACTGGAGAGTCTGGACAAGGAGGCAATGCTGAGGAGTCGAAATTGGATCTAATAGGGAGGTGGAGAGCCCTGATGGACGGACCCAGGTGGCACCGCATTACGTATACTCAGGCAGTGGAGATGCTCCAACGAGCAGTCGCAGAGAACGGTGCTTCATTCGAGCATCCTCCCACGTGGAATGGTGGCTTGCAGACCGAGCATGAAAAGTACATTGTCGAGGTTTTGCACGAGGGTAATCCAGTTTTTGTCACGGACTATCCCAAGACCATCAAACCTTTCTATATGGCTCCTTCGCAGGGTAACGAAGGTAGCGTGCCGGGGGAGACAGTTGCCTGTTTCGATCTGCTTCTTCCCGAAGTCAGTGAAGTTGCTGGCGGCTCCTTGCGTGAACACCGTTTGCCCAATATCATCCAGAACATGCGAGACTATGGTCTCATCAAGTCCCGCGCGGCCACCGACTCCGATGCACCGGTATCAAAAGAGCCATCCTATCCTCATCTCACCGCAGAGGAGGATCTAGGACATCTCCAGTGGTATGCCGACCTCCGACGCTGGGGCTCTGCGCCCCATGGAGGATTCGGACTTGGGTTCGACCGCTTCCTGGGCTACCTGTCGGGTGTTTCCAGCGTTCGCGAGGTTGTAGCATTTCCACGCTACTTTGGTCGGGCTGATTGCTAGGAACGCACAGCGGGACAGTGTATGATAGCTTGAGATTTGCCAGAAATGTATTATAGATCAAATGACCACATAGTATTTATCTTCAACTCATTATATTGCTATAATTATAAAACTTGTATCTGTGCGTCAAACTGTCAGCGTGATGCTCATTCGCGGATACTCGAATACGAGGTAAGTGATCGTTCGCGCCGTCTATGTATATTAGGCCGCCAATGCTGAAATCAAAAGTAGACGCCACGCCCGCACGAAGGAATTACCGTAGCGACTGGGGCGGTTGGCAGTGCATCAAGAGTTGCATCGCCCTGGGGGCGGGAGCATCGCCGAGAGCCAAATAGAGTAAAAGGATTCGGCCTTGGTTAAAACGGGAAGCTGTTAGAGACCATTGTCGTCGCCGTAGTGCGAGGTTGAATTGGGGCTTAATAGAGCGATCTCAAACGCCTAAACCCTAGACCATGCATTAAGATGCTACCGTACTAGGATATGCATTCCAGTCTAGACACACGACGCGACCAATTAACACCGCAGGAGAGAGTGGAAGGAATGAAAAAAGCAAGACCCAGCCTTGCAGTAGCCACGAGTTCCGACTGTCAGCTCCTTTCCTGGTGCACAGGCTACCTATGTATCTAAACCTAAAGATTCCTTAGCTAGAATCGGTTTCAATATCCTTGTTGAATATACGGCAAAAGAAAAAGCAACCCGTACTGTACGTTGCTACCACCATTAGCATAGGGCTCCAGCAAAGCCCCATGTATAACCGGGAATACCCCCTACGTCCGACACTCCACCCGACTCCATGCCCCCCTTGGCAAATATGGAACATATGTACATATCTCCATCTAATACGGCCGATGAATTCCGTTATGCACCAGCTCTCGCATTGGTCCAAGCAAGGCCAAGCACTCTAGCTTGGTTGGAGGCGCCCGCGGCCAAACGTAAAAAATTGGGGCCCCGGAAGGGCGCGCGCATTATTAATCCTTCTAGTGTCCCGAAAGGCGCAAAATTTGGGTAAACGAAGGGGAGTACGGAGGGCATAGTAGTAGTACCAGACCCCGTCCGAATAATGTAAATCATGAGAATAAAAGAGCGAAAGCTTTCGTCAGCATGAAACGTGGTCCGTGGGTCTCCGAACTCATATTGCGAGATTGAATTGCTTTTTGGAAGGCTTACGGAGTAGTCTTTGGGTAATACCTTTTTTAAACTCGGAGTTACGGAGCTCGCCTAAGAGAGCCGAGCACCCGCTGTTTCTGGGCAATTACTTGGTCCGTGGTGAGAGAGTGGAGTTTGGTTAGAGTACGCTCCGTAGTAAGCGGATTATTGGATTGTGGTGGCTCAAATAATCTGTGCATATCTATGGAGTAGTTTCAGGTGACGTGTATCCGAGTGAATTGTATATAGAGAAATTTGAAGACCGTAAAGTCCTACAATCCATGATGTCGCTACTTATACCAGGGCGAAGCAATGCACATGCCTCGCGGGCAGGTTATTTAGGCAGAGATTAACGACGAAAGTGATCGATCCTACAGCCTCAAAAGTATCGGAATGCCACGGAGGAGGGGAAGAAAGAGGTCCGCGCACGGCGTTCAAACCTTTGGAAAACTGGGAAATTCTCAATCCAATAGACTTTACAAAAGCGAGTCGGGTAGCGCATGCCAATCAGGCGGTCAGGATCGGCGGGTCAAGGGGATCCAACCTTACCGGGGTTAAGCATAAGCACGACGATGTTCGGTCAGTGCCCGCCCGAGGGAGGACGAGTCATGCGCTGGTCGAGGGGGTTATCCCTGCCTGACGTATCACATCGAATGGTAAAGGCACCAATTATGCATAATCAGAAGGACTCGATAAAAATGAACTTTCACCCTGGCCTCCGATATTTGGTTAGCTTTACGATCTAGTTATGTTCTGTCGTTATGGTTGGTATACTTTCTTGGATCTCTCATTAGTGAAGCTACGGGAGTACTCCGTCGCATGGATGGCCTATTTATTTAGTCTATGGAATGCTTCCGCCAGCCCCCGACCCTTTTTTGCGATAGATAAATGAAATGATTCAGAATGGTCTCTTGGTAATTTGGCAAAATGATCGATCTTCAGTAGGTTACATATGTGGTGAAAACAAATTTCCACAGCTCTCCATTCACAGCGTTCTCGTATTCGGATGAGTAAAGTCCCCGAAATCATAAACTCAAAAAATACCGAGCGCCACATGGTTTATGCACTGATTCATGTTTTACGACTGGACAAAGTGAGACACACCAGTCGGGTCATCCAGCCTTTCCAAGACCAATAATGGAGTCGTGGTGGACATAAACTCGCGAAACTAACGCCCCTTTAGGTCTGGGCAAGGCCCCCCGTGACCATGGTTCATAAAGGCCAAACTGGCTTTTAGGCTTGCCGATGACAGTTACCTACATTTCCAATAACCGCCCAACCCGAACTGGGGCTGCCCAGAGAAGGAAGGGGGAGCCACTCTTGGCAAAGGGCCAGGCACCACTCATAAATCATACAACCCCTCTTGGCTCCGGAGAGGAGATGTTGTCTGTGCATGAGTCTTGAGGCAACAGCATAACTTGTCGTACAGATGATTGCTCCTAGAGTGGCTGGTATACATAATCAATGATTTAGGCCAAGGGGGGCGATTGGTGAGAGAATAACGGCACAGCCTAGTCATGCTGAGCTTGGCGCTTATTTCGCACGAATGATAATGGATCAGACTTTGTACGGGGATCACTCCGGCAATGATCGGATGACGTCTCTTACAAAAGCGTACGCGTTAAAACTTATTAAGAGGGGGTGAACCATCAGTACTAGTTATTTTTGTCTTTCACTAACTTATCACAATTCATCGGATAGTTTTATAACGATAACCCGGTCGGGCTTTTCCAACCTAGTGGTGCGAGGACCAGACATAATCAGTGCCGGTTTTCTGTCGATCACCACCCTCGTTCGTAATCATTCTTTCCCATTTATCCAAACGACCGGATGACAAGGGACACTTTAATTATGTGAGTGGAGATAAGCTCGTGCGACGTTTCACAGAAGCAGCTCTTGGCAATCTTTAATTATGATTTGGCAGGAAAATTCCAGGGTTGCAATGGAACGTGTGACAATACGAGACATGGTCGCAACTAAATCTACATAAAAATAGAGTTGATCGTGTGGGTTCTCCGTACATAATACTGTAATGGCGCAATGAGCGATTGGGTGTGTCCTATTGAATTCATGGGCACGTCATCGGCCCCCACGGAAGGACTACCAGCAGTGGGTGATGGTTTTAGAGGATCAGAAGGAGGTGCTTGATTCTGTTGAGCAGAACTGAAAGAGGTGCGTGGATTCAGATGTGCTAGACGATCATCGGGATCTGGCCCTAGGATAAAGTTAAGGAGTCGACTGTAGCGGAAGTGATCAGCTCGAGCGGCAGAGGCTATTCACTACAATATCCAATTTGGGCAGTCGTTGCAACGTTCCCCAGAGATGGAAACCGTACTAGGGTGATCACCAACAGTCGGAATTTATTGTCGATCAGAACAATAACTGAGCGAAACGCGAAATCTCCTCATCGGCGTACAACTTTATCACACTTAGAGTAAACGATGGCGATGTTGGCACATGAGCAATGTCGACCATAATCTTAAATTGGCACGCTTATTGCCATGTGCTACAAATCGGAAAGCATAAAACATTCTCTGGATGGGATTTGTAGGCAGTGGTAGAAAATGGTATATCATCGGATAAACGCTTCGTTCATCAAGAAGCCGTCTTATCCGGCGGCGTATCGAAGACGCCTGAGAAACACAAGATTAGCCGATTCTATTCTATTATTATTAACGCACCGGCCCTGTGGTCTCGGACTTAAAAGACAAGGCATATCAATACCGGATCCTTGTGGAGTAGTGTCCAACGCAATTAATTGTGTTGATTGTCAAACTTAAGAAAGAGAAAAAAAGAAAAGAAAAAAAAAAGGTCAAAATAATAAAAGAGACATTGAGAGCGAGAGTCAAACCCCCACTTCATCAGTAATCAGAAAAGATGCCAGTTGCAAAATCCTCACGAACCACGGTCGGCGAGCTAGGTGTCGGCTTGACCCGCCGCAAGGGCCTACACTATCAGCAGTACGGAGTACAAGCGATATGCTTAGCGAGCAGTGGAGCCCCGATGTTTAAATTGGCCCACCCGGTAGGATGAAAAGGACTTAGGTCCGGATGATCGGATACAACTTTACGGCATGCCCGGAGCCATCCAAGCAATTTTCAAGGGAATACAAACGAACCAACATAAAACGCGAATTGAAAGGGTAAAGTCGACCGCGATCAGAGTCCTAACTTGGACGAGGCTGGCTGGCCTCGCGGCCCCCCTGGTCACCTAATTGATTTTCAAACCAATCGGCACTAGTCATGGGTCAAAGCCCAGACATACCAAGAATAAGCCTCTGCTGGGGTTGTCCTAAAAAGGAAACGAGCGCGGGAGGGACGGGGAGTCCTGTCAACAAGTGGGTTGGAAGGGTGATCTCCGCCTCTCGCTAGAATAAAATCTGAAGAAGCCAACTGCAGAGGCATCCGGGGGGTTTGGAATGAGAGAAATAATCGAGCAACTCGACAGATCTCGCACATGGTACATCATGTAAGGGAGCGACATGTGGTTACTTGAGGCATTATGCTGATTGATCGCATTGGAATTATGTAATTGCTGAAAACAAGAAAGAAGACAAACAGACAACCTACTAGGTAGCCTGTTTATGACTCTTCGGGCGGTTCATTTTGGGAAGATCTTCAAACGGGTTGTATTTGTTGTTGCTATTTTACGTTATGATCTGACTGCGCCATTCGATCGGCCCTGGACCCGGGACGGCCTAATCAGATATGTATGCGTACAGTACATCATTTGCATCTGAAACAATAATCCGTGGCCATACAGGATACAGGAGGCTAGTTATTATGCTGATTCTTGATCAGTCTATTCCCCTGTTTCAGTCTATAGTTTACAGTTGCATGTACTTCTGGGGGCTCTATTGAATGTCAACTTTGAGACCGTACATACCTCCTACAAAAGACCTATTTCTATACCACTTGATGCTCCTACTTGACATGGTTTGCGGTCGGAGTTTGCTTACACCCGGATCAAGCAAGTCGTGCAACACTGTCTACTCCATCGACCTGGTCGATGGAAGTTCCAGTCACGACGACGATGATGTCAGGTTACACCACTCGGCACCATATGAGAAATCTGATGCAGGCCATGGCCAAACCTACACAGCGCCCGAGGAACTGATCGGTGCAATGGTGACCCGACCCATATTATTAGGCTCTCGTGTTTTTGGATTTAACCTGGGACTAAGACAACAATATATACAGCAGGTGCTCAACCGGGCCTCAACGATAAAACGACCGTTGCCTAAGCTCTTATACAAGTAGTTAACGTGACCCGCCAAGCCAGGGTCAGCTGTCGGAAAAGAGCAGTCTCTGAACCCTATCTTATCCTTTCCTTGTGCAAACGGACCTCATTGGCGATACGCTCTCACTGGGCCTTTAAAAGGGTCGGTCCGTGCACAAGCTCACCCTTGAATTGACGAGCGTCGTGACAAGTTCAGTATGTGCAGGATTCAGGAAGCCACTCATTTACAGCCAAGATGATTTTGACTTTCGCTGACAGCCCAGCGCCCTTCGACGTAAGTGTACTGGATTTTCGGCTAAGCAGTTCCTCGATTGGTTGATCATGTCTTGGAATTTTCTTTGTCAAGCTCGGCAGCATCCACATACCGTATTACCGTGCGGGCTACCTGCAAGGTGGTCTATAGTGCCCGCAGGTCTGGCAGCGGCAAAATTGTCCATCTGTTGGGCCTTACCTGTGAGTCAAAGAAGGTCAGCGGTTACGCTTCCAGTCTACGAATACAATCTTACTACAAAACCAGAACGAATGAATGAATATGGAAGAGGCCTATGTACTGCGGATGGGAGCTTTGACTTTACTTATACTCCTTGAAGAGCGCTGCCCCCTTTAGTCAAACCCAAGCCATCGGCGAAAGAGTCAAGGCGACAAGTCATGCGATGTACTGTATCTATTGATGATCCTTTGGGCCATGTGAACGAATAGTCCTGATACCCCAGTACCCCGTACATAGTTCGTACATAAATAGTGGACATGGCTCCAAGTATGTACGAAGATCCCATTCGTAGAACGCGACATGTAAGCTCTTGGTTGAGCATCACACATAAATATATCGCGGACATGACCGATCTGCCTGAGGGGAGACCCGACTTGAAATATTTCATGAATGGAAGGAGTCAGGATATGGCAATTATGCACATGATGCACAGCAATTATAATTCCTCGCAAGTCAAATAATGATAATAATAATCATAATCATAATAATAAAGACACTAGATCTGAATTTGAATTTAGCATGAGCCCCTCTCGTTGGCTCTGCTTATTTCTGATTTTAGAAAAATTAAGTTCTCTTGTCAAGCTTCACGGTCAGCGACAGTTCAAATCTAAACCTTGGCCGCGTCACTAGTAGATACGAGTACGAGTCACGAGCTGCAAAATGGCCACAGTGGCTTCTTTCCCCCTCCCCGATCTCCCGATAAACACACGACGCTAAAAAGAGTTATTTCCGAGGTGGCTTCTTGGCTAGAACCACCGTTATGTTTTCTGGGAGGCTCATGCCGACGGAGCCGCTCATTCCGGGTGCTGCTGATAAGTCGGGGCGAACGGAGTTCGATACGGCCGTAGAGGGAGGGACCGCCTCGCAAGGACACCTGTTATGAGTAATTAATAATCCAGGCATAATCGGTGGGGCCCGGGGTGGGGGTCGATCGGATTCCGTGGTCGCCAAATCCCGATACGTACTGTATGTGTTCAAGTCAGCCAAGTAGGTTTCACGATCTGACCTGCCACTTTCTTCTTTTTTTCCCTTTAGTGGCTGCTCGACTATAATTTCTTCTTCTGTAGGGACGTTCGTGATTGATCAGTGTCATCCCCCATCGAAGATAAGTTTATCCCCAGGATCCAAAACCGGAGTTGCTTGCTCTCCGAACCATGGTCAAGACTAGAAGGTTAAAATTACGAAAAATTCTAAAAGTCCGTGTGGTAGCAATAATTACCGCTTATAAAATACTAATGCAATGATCAAACGGTAGTGCCTGATAAGACATAATTTAATCCGCGCGACCGGCTGATGAGAAAGTACAATTCTGACGAATGACTCCAACGACTAAATTGAATAATCTAATCTATAAGAAATCAAGTGTTGCCTCTCGTGGTCTAGTCCAGGTGCCAAGCATCAGCGTGCAATCAATCGGCCAGCTGAAACTGGACCGGGGTGCGGCCTCTCTAAGCGAGCATAAAGTTCAGCGCCGGTCTCCTCGTGTCGGATTAAGCTTAAGCTTCGGAGACCACGCACTAAACGCCATTTTTTTGTTTTTTATTATTGATAATATTGGTTTTATTATTCTTGTTATTTTTTTATTCTCCTGCGATCCGAGCGCCACCTTTAGAATACATCCGACACAGATCACTTTACGGTGGTCGTACACAGCGTATTCCCATGTAGTGATGTGCACCTATCGGAGCCTAACTAGTCACATTCTCTCGTTTTGGACTTTCTCTCTATTCAAATGATTCGTGTTTACTTTCCTTTCTGATCCAGACTTTCGCACGTCATGTCAGGAATGGGGATGCCTTGCGAAGCGAAGGGGGTAAGCCAAGACTCACGAATAACCTTACTACGCTTTACCCTGCCCTTCTCCTTTGCCCCCCCTCTCTCTCCACCTTCCAGGGCCCCACCTCATCCTTGGTCAAGCCACCGTAAGCTTAGCCAAGGCCTTTCCAAGACCTTCCAAGACCACTCCTGGGTTGGCAACCCTTTCGGGCTACGGCCTGGACAGGACAAGATGTCGTGCTTGCGCTCGAATCGACTGACCGCACCAAGGCTCTTTCTTGGGTATGACATCTTCTCCTACACCTTATCTATGTTGAAGTTAAATCGTACGAGACGGGCTGCTTATTCAACAAGTCGTTTAGTCGATCAAAACCTTGAGGTTCACACACCAATAGAGTCAATTTACAGTTTCCTCTAGTTGTGCGAGGTGAAAGATGATTCCGTACTTATCTATCCAATGCCTAGAATTCCTACTTTGTTCCGGTAGTTATATATCTGCTTGGTATGTGGTAAATTCATAGGGGGTTTCTCGTTACGTTCTTACTCCGTACTACTCCGTACTCGTCGGAGTTGGTCCTTAATCACGTTACGATGTGAACAATCGGTGCCACTGCCACGCTGACTTTGCCACAACCATAAAATGGCCAACACTCAAATCCAACCAGACCTTAGATGACTCGACCTAAGATCCAAGGTTCTCATGCATAAAATAGGAGTCATGCGATAACCTTATGGATTTCAAATCAACCTCTCCCCTTGCCCATGTGCATTGTTCGGGCTTTCCGATTATTACTTTTATTGTCTTGTCCATTTTGGGCCTTTGAGTTCCCAGTTTCGTGCTCGCTTGATCACGTCTCCGATCGTCATTCGCTCCGTCTTCCAACCTTAGTTGCGCGTCCCCACCCAACCTTGTTTCCAAAGAGGCTATTGTATTACGAGTGGTTTTCTTTTGTCTACATTTCCTTTTTTTCATACGAGGCCCCCCATACGATAAAATTCAAATTGATTGAATTTAAGCTTCCTGTTTTAGTGATTTTTTTTTTTACTGTATTCATAACCCTGGAAGCCTGACGATGACTATAACTGTTTTGATCCGTAACACCCTTTTAGGATTATGCTTATGATGGATTAGTCTTTCGTTAGTCAAATCCGTTCTCATTCGGTCGCCCATTCTTGGAATCTCGGCGTTTAGCAACCTCCGTCCGATCTTGGCTCGGTCCCTGCGACTGCCTCCCTTATTTAACCTTCTTTTTAATGATTCTTCATGGGTCTATTCCTCTTTATAAGCTTCCAACTCCCCCCAACTCCCGCGCGAGGCAGTTTTTTTTTAAAAAAAGAAGAGGATTCCTTCTTTCTTGTTCTCCTCCCTCCCTTCTCATCCCCCCCTTGAAGTCCTCCGTTCTAAGTACTCTATTAAAAAACAAAACCTAGTCTCAACTCCTTCGGATCTCGTATCTACCCAGTTCCGCCGAGACACTGAGGGTCTAAACCCACATCCTGCCAACCTTGTGGGGTCCAAAGAAAGTCCAAAGAGTGAGTCTTGTCTTTTCCCCCCACTCAACGCTGGTCTCTGTTCTTTCCCTTCTTGTGTTCTCGTCGGCATTCTTTACGCCCGCTCCAAGCCTCCAACCCACTCTGTCGCCCCACAACAAATCTCTGCAGGCGCTCAGCCTTTTTTTTTCTCCCTCTATCCCCCATTTTCCAAACACCAAAGGGGAAAAAAAAGAATTAAAAGAAAAATAAGAAGATTCCAAGAAAACCCAAAATTACGTCTTACCTTACCATGTTTGAGTGACGTAAAAAAAGGCTCGGCCTTTATTATCTCCTACCCCATACCTTTCTTTTTCCCTGACCCGATCATCCGCGTCCCGGTCCCCTCTGGTATCTTTCTTTATATGCTTGGGTCTCTCCACCTTATCTCGTTTTACCTTTTTATACTTCGTCTCTCTTCCCTCTTCTCCCTTCCCTTCCCCCCCCCAATATTTACACGGCTTTTCAACTCCTCACTACTCTCCCCTCCGCCTTTGTCATCATTATCGATCGGGGATATTCCAATTAAGATTAATCGCCCGCTGCAGATCCTATTACGGTTGTTCCGATCTTCAGTCAACCCCAACCCACTACTCTGACAAAGTCGACCGACCTTTTGGAGCTGAAGTCGTCCAGCCTTCCGCCTTCTATCTACAGCTCCCTACCCGGGTTATAGGTGACTTTTGAGTTTAGATGGAGACATACTACGGACATGTCCGCACCCCAGCGGACGCCATTATTCTCTTCGAGGCTTGTCGGATTGGCCTGCTGCCGCGAGTACAGCGTCGACTATCAGAGAAGGAGCGACAGTCAATTCGATCGGGTTCCGTCTTCGTCTGGGATGAGCGGGAAGCAGGCATGCGACGATGGACCGACGGCAAATCATGGAGTGCGAGTCGGGTGTCTGGTAGCTTCTTGACATATCGTGAGATGGAAGGCAAGCGTGGTGGAGGTGCAGTGCCTCAGAGTTCAGTATCACGACCAGGCAAGACGCCCGAGAGCCGAGGTAGCGACGATGATCGAGGGGACGGGACCGATGAAGGCCCGGATGGATATCGGTATAAGCCCGATGGTCTCATGAAGCAATCCTTCAGCATCACCACTTCCACTGGCCAACACCTTCACCTGATCAGCTACTACTCTCGCTCTCACCCGTCCGCGGCCAACCTCCAACAACCAACCACCGACCCAGCGCTTCGACATGTTCGACCTCAGAAAGGTCTGTACCCGGAGTCAACCGTCAACGATCAGCAGAACCTCCCGGTAGTCACTCGGGGACCGATGCCTGGTGCTGCCGCCTACCCTATCACGCCTCACCCCATGGGTGGCTTCTCCCGCGCGAATCCCGGCCACAGTCAGGCTTACACTCAACTACATCACCCCTGGCCTCCAACCCCGTTGGCTACTCCACCGACTGTTGCAGTGCCGTATCCCGGCGCTGCTTACCTACCACCCGTTGCTACAGCTAACGGATCTCCGTACGGGCCCCCTCAACATCAGCACCAGCACCAACCCCCACCTCACCTCCCACCCTCTGCCCATGGTCTACCACCTCCCCCTCATGGCATGCCGAGCCAATTTGATCGACCGGGACATCACGAGGCTGCACTACCCCCAGCGGGCCCCCCATCAGCGGCAGCTCCCTATCCAGGACGCTCGCCTCGATCCTTACACCAACCGCCACCCGAGCAGCGAAGTCCACGGATGTACGGACAACCAATCTCGGATCCGCGCATGGCTTCACCTCGAAATCCTCCAGGATCGATCTTGCAGCCCAACGGAGCAATGCATAGCCCACAATTGCCGAAGCAGACCCCGCCCACTGCAGTTCGACAGCTTGGTCCTATTGGCACTCCTCCTAAGCCTGAATCGGGCACCGTGCCTGGTATCGGCTCGCTCATGAGCGGCACTTCCCTTGCCCCCATTACGTCGGCTGGGTCTCCTGCTGGTGGGCCAGGAAGCCCGTCTGGTGCTCGGTCTTTAATCACTGGTGATGGCCCCCGTGATATCCCCAACGACAAGATCGGGTTTGGAGGAGAAGACGTACGAGCCCTGCGCCAGTTGGACCGGGTATTCATTTAAAGAAGGTTATCAAAAAACCACTGAAAGTGCCATCATTCACGTCAACATGATGGCATACCACTTCCACCCCCCAAAAGGAGCTATACACTTCTCCACCTCTTGCCTTCTATCCGATTATCCTCGACCCTTCTTCAACCTCTTCCTGCGATATCCCAAATTGAGTAATCGCACACTAGACTGGATTAGTCTATACTTTACGGAGCCAGGCGTTCTTATTTCATGTGATATCCACCTATGTTTTTGCTGGGTTTTCATTTATCATGCTGGTCATTCTTAGCATTCTTTCTCCTGCATGGGTCGGGAGGTGGCTTATCTGCATCTGGTATTATATTCTTGTGAATTATACATTTTTTTTTTCAACCTTGTCGTGTCATGAACTGGTCTTGGCTCACGGGTATACGGGCCTTGTCATACATATCGTTATGCATTGGGATCGGATCAGTCTACACGGATGGGACTTGGTTTTGGGCTTCGGGATCTTATCTAGTCTATTCAATGGACTTGACTTTCTATACTTCATTTTCATTCGTAAAATTGGTGCTCTATACATAGTTATGGGGCCTATTGGTTATTGGGTACAGGCTTGCTAGGCAGGATTGACTCGCCGGTACGCAATCGCATCGATTATTGTGCTGCCAGTGGGGAGTGATCAAGTCACTTTACACTTTCGTCTCAACATGATGACAGGCAAGCGACGTGGGAGATAAACAAAGGGAAGGGGCGACATAGACAAATGACAAAAAGCCCTCACACTTGCTGTCCTGTCTGGTTACTTTGGTTCACGATGTGATCCAGCCTCAGGCTCAGCCATGAATTCGTCCATGTTCCATATGCTTTCCTCAAATTTCCGCTTCTCTTTCTGCTTCTTCTCTTGCCCCGATTCGCTGATATTTGAACTTCTCTGTGATAAAAACTTCAGAATATTTTTGGATCGCGGCTCACGCTCAATAATCGATGACAGCCCCTTGCCCTTGTGGTCTTGACTGGCCGAATGGTCACGAAGCAAATTGGTCATATCATCGTCTCCCTGTGCCAAAGACCACGGCGTGTGACCGAATAAGTTGCGTATGTGCATGTCTGCTCCGTGACGAAGAAGGATCTCAACAGTAGGAACATGGCCTTTCATGACGGCCATCATCAATGGTGTATCGCCTCTCTCGTTTGGAATGTCCGGGCCATTCTGTTGCTCAAGCAAAGCCTCGACAACTTGATCATGACCGTTCTTTGCTGCTATTATCAACGGGGTGTCTCCATCCTCCAGTCTGCTTAGTTGGTTGGCACCCCCTTCAAGTAGGATTCTAGCGATGACTGCATCGCCGCCCATAGCAGTGAATAATAATGGCGTGTAGCCATTGTAATCGAAGCAGTTGACATTGGCACCGTTTTCAAGCAGGAGGCTAGTAGCTTTTTCATTCTGCGACATTACCGCCTGCATTAATGGAGTGACGCCAACAGAATCCGCGGCGTCGACTGTAGCACCCCTAGAAAGCAGGATTCGTATGACTTCTTCATCCCCATATCGTGCCGCCACTGCCAAAGGGCCGCTGCCAAAAGCGTCGTAGGTATTTACACTGGAACCGCTCATTATCAGAAGAATAGTGAGGTCTCGGTGGCCTCGTTCTGCTGCAATTATCAAGGGTGTTCTTTGTCGAGGACTGCTGGTTGGTGAGTTGGGATCTGCACCAGAAGAGAGAATGAGCTGTACGATAGCCACATGCCCTTTCTGTACAGCCAACTCTAGAGGACTCAAGTTTAAAGGTGCGCCAATCACATGTGGACTAGCTCCTCCACCTAGGAGTGAAGCAACTACTGCCTCATATCCCTCTTGTATCGCCCAGCATAGAGGGCTATACCCGCTTGAGTCCATTTCGTTCAGTCCGGGGCGCTTCGATACCATCTCACTCACAAAATGGGAAAGGCCAAGCTCTTTTGCCTTGCGAATGATATTAGTAAAGTGCTGTACCGGCAGTGTCACAATATCCTTCAAAGATTGAAGCTTCATCAGTGGAAAGCGTGCTTGTATTTCTTCGAAGATATTCCAAGCAGACAGAGCGAAAGAAATATCATTCGATTCCGACCCTGCCACAATGATGCCACATATTGCTTGTTGGGAGGCATCTACAATCCAAGATCCACAATATCCAGGTGCTGGTTTGCCGCCGATATTAGTGGCTACACACTAGGGTATTCATGGATTACGTGAACATACTTGGCTTCAAACTCGTGGCCCAAACGTCTTGCATCCCAGAGAACGGAACAAATAAGCCACATATTGATGGCGAAGCCTTTGTTTGTACTGGCCCTGCAGGGTTCACTGCCACCCAAAGCTCCCCATCGGCCGGATATCGTTGAATCCGACATGGAATCACAGTCTTGTCACCCAAGGCTAGAAGATTGATAGCGAGGGCAGCTGGTCGAAGTTCGATAAGAGCCCAGTCTGCGTTTTGCGAGAAGTAAGATTGATTCGGAATTGTTCCTAGAATCGTTTCTTGGTGAGATATTGGGTCTTCCACCAAGGCCACCTCGGATTCAGGCATAACAGATTCGATAGGAATCGATTCGGTGGCATCTGTGCAACTAATACAGTCTGAGATGTCGCTATCATTGTCACTCATGTCGCTGCCATCTTCATCCGATGAGAGAGCCTGGGAGATCTCCATGAAGGGATGAGCAACTGTCACACCGAAGAATTCTCCATCGATCATGATACTCCCTCCAAGAGTCGCTATTCGACTCGACATTCCATCGCTGCCTCTAATTGTGAAACGTGTCCCACTGATAGCGCAGAGAGGAGATCCCTCATCAATGTCGCTTCCAGAGGTGCCCATAGTCAATGAAACCTTACTCTCGTATCCATAAACCCGGAAGCCCCAAGTACGGACGAGCTCACCGTGCCGTTCAATCAATTTTACAGCATTCTTGGTGACCTTCTTATTTCCGCAGATGATGATCGCAGCTGGATAGGACAAATGCCACTCCTTGCCAATCATCCAGCAACACACACTGTAAGGAGTCTGTTTCTTGACGCCATGGTATATTTTTCTCGTGTTGTGTTGGAGAAGAGGCTTGATTGTCCTCGGATAGATAGAATCGTTCCATTCGTCTTTCACTGACCCGATGGGGTCCCAGGCGAATTCCTTATTAAATTCCCATGATCGATCCTGGCTAACGGATGCTTTTCTGCCATCGAGATCGAGATTGTCCCAAAAGGTAGGCTTGAGAGGCGGGGAAGGTTGGGACGCGAGGTCCATGAGCCGACCGAAATGGGTTTGTAGTTGAGTTCGTGTCGTCATTTCTACTCATATACAGCGATAACCGCTGGCCATGGGCTGCGATCGCGATCTCGCTGACAGGCAACAATAGTAACAGGTCGTGCTCTCCGAGTGCTGCTCTTGCGGTGGGGTTGATTCTCAGCCGCTTTACAACTCATCACGCTGCTCAGCCACGGCGGGCAACCTGTTCCCCGACCGACGAATTGAATACGGACAATCATGCAGGCATGATCACACTTTTACCGGGGTAGCTTAGACCTCGGGATTATTGCCTTGATACAACAGCCCGCTGTTACCTCTGTTTCTAGCCATAGGTTTGCCGAACACTCACCCACCGACAAAGAGACATGGTTGGGCTACCACCTTCCTCTTCGTCCAATTTGTCTGCAATTAATCTCGACCAACAGACGGAGGACGGGGAAAGTGTACTAAAAGCTGCCTTACCGCAGAGTTTATGGAACGTGTGCCCAGAAGATAAACATGAACCAACAAATGAATTCTTGGACTATTACCGGAGCCAACTCGTCGGAGTCGAGGCTTATGGCTTGAACTTGAAGAGTCACCAAGACCTCATTGATCTGATAAACTTCATCAAGACACTGGCGCATCTCACCAAACCGGAACTGATTGCTCGCCTCGAAGCCAGTCATGCTCACCTTGGCTCACCCATCCCAGCCGTTGAGCTCGCCCTGAGAATCTGGCTCTTCCTATCCCTAGAGGACTGGGGAAGCATGGAGACACTAGAGCAACATGTTCACTCAATGTTCCCTAGATCCAATTCTTTGCCAGACAGCCCAACAATTGCTTTGAGTTTCAACGTCCTGAGTCTTGAGCAGATCGGTGGATTCAAGATTGTCTGGACGGAGAGCCTTCAAGATCACCTGTCTTTGAGTATAGACGACTCGGAGAAGGAACTCAGAATCTTCCACGTTGCATCATTTCTCCACACATACGGGAAGAGTAAAGACCGGTCTGAACCTACCAACATCTTTGTTATATCTCTTTCATCCACTCACCGATCTTAGGCCCATCTTCCCACCGGGGTTCCTCGAAGAAACTGCCCGCACGTTGTCACTCTTGATCCCGTCATCCAATCTAAAATGTCAACGATGGATCCGAAAGGCTCGTAGACAGGATGAAATCGATCTGGAAGCAGCGTATCTTCCCCCCACATCACGCGATCTGGCCGACTTTCCGTACTGGGGTCGACAGCTCAGGGAGCTGCGAGATGAATACGAGCGGACAGAACCGACGACAATGCGGCAATGGATTTTGGACAAGAGGAAGCCGAACCAGCGGTATACGTTTTGGATTGCTGTGATTGCACTGTTTTTGGCATTAGTATTTGGGTTGATCCAGTCGGTAACGGGGATCATTCAGGCCATGCATATCAATTGATAGGAAGGGACTGTGCCTGGTGATTTCATATTTCATTGGTTTGTTGACTGACTGGGCTTTATTCTGTGAACTCTGTCGAATTTTGAAGATATCCATGACTGCCTTTTTGATTAGTCTCGTGTTAGCTTATACAGATGTCTCCTCGACAGATTAAGCTTGGTTTGATATTCAAGGAGAGCTCTGCAGCTTCGTCTCATTGTTCCCGAGCAAACGAATGTTCTCTGCCTCAAGATGAATGGGAGAACCCCGTCGACTAGCTCACTCCACACTCCTGAATCTCATATTGCAATCAGTCAAGAGATCTAGCTCGAAGAGCTTAAGGGTAATCTAGCGGATTGCGATGCTGAACCGCGGAATTACGTCTTATCAAACCCGATTTTCGGGTCTCGATAAGGCGATCAACCACTTACTCCCCTGACGGCCCGGCTGAGAAGCACCTGCAGCAATTCCGAGGAGATGGTCGTGCAATCTTCGTTTCTTTCCTTTTTCCATCCCAAGAACAAAGGTCTACTAGTGAACAATCCCCTTGCCCTCGTAGCCGCTAGTTGTCTGCACATTCCTCGTCGGTTCCAAGGTGCCGGGTCAGGCCGAAGGACACGAAATCCATTCTAGATATTCTTTGCCTCGATTGACCCGTCGATCCTTGTCAGGAGGCAACTATAGATCCCCAATAGACCTCATCTGCCGGAAAACCGTGCGTCACTGCAACGCCCGGAATGCGCCATTTACCTTGACAAAAAAGCAAACCGGTCCGGACTGTCGGGTCGGGCAGTGGTACACGGTAGCACATTGTCGGTAGACGAGTTGTAGCTGGATGATTCGAGTGGTTGCTTTTCTGCGCTACCGTTAGTCACGTCGAGGATTATCCCCAATGCACACATCGGAACGCCCCAGTCAACCCTAAGCTACACTATTTACCTAAAAAGAACTAAATCGATCCTTAAGATCGATAATCAATGCACCAGTCGTCGATCGCAATGGGCCAGACAAGTGCCTACAGCAAACCCCGACGGCGAAAACAATGGGAGTTCGTGACATCTTGCTCCCAGCACTTGATGATCCACGGGTCTGTTCCAGGCGCTAGTGTTTAGCGTTGCGGTTCTTGCCATCGACATGGTGGTTTGCATTATGTTATTGGCCCAGATCCACTTGGTCATGATACAATACGAAGGGTAAAGTCGACGGCAAACTCCGACAAAAGCTGGCGAGTTGACGACTCAATTCGGCAGCGTTCACGTTTGTGGCGTGGTAAGAGTGGGATGACCTCCTCAAAGGAGGGTCACATATACGCCACTGGAATTTACTGTGCCGCGAAGGAAGTAGGCAGCAGAAGAGCACACCACATTGCCATCGACCTGAAGATTGGACTGCAGCATTTCAGGTAACATCGGTCACCTCCAACAGCCAAGGATAATATATTGAACTGTACTCCGTCAATGAAGCAAATTCGATAACAAGCACTGGGATCTCTCAACCGCGTCTAGGCTTATCTAGTTTCATGCATGCAATGTCCCCCAAATGTATAGCTCTCAACTAGCCATGTAATGCCCTCCGAATCTAGTAATCCGTCGACTTGACAAACCAATACACCGGGACTACAACAATCATCCGATGTCCGCGGAAGAGTGATTCACGGCTTTTATTCTTGCTTTCCCATAATGGAAAAAGACTCGCGGCAAGGCAGATGACCAGGGACCAGGACCAGTAGAGACAAGTTCCAACAACCAACCCTCAGCCGCCACCACAGAACAAAAATCCTCCGGCTGGATGACCCCTCTCCCAATTCTCATCCAGGCTGCAATCACAGCCGTGAACGGTTCCGTTGCACCCACTCCAGCACCATCCCCAAATAACGAATTGATCCATCTTCAAAAAAGCTCCGGAAATCGGAGAGGATCGTTGGGGGCCTCGAGCGGGGTCGCAGGTGGCCATGTCGCACGACCTCCGGCATCGTAAGCCATGTCTCTTTTCCTCTTTTCGTTCCTTCTTTTTTTTTTCTTTCTTTCTAGTTCCTACCTTTTGGGGGCCATATGAAGGGTCTGAGGTGACTTGTGGGACGAGTTCACGATGGCCGAACAGAGCCGACCATCGCCTCATGCCTGGTAGGTGGGGATAGATGGAGTGTGGGTGGAGACAATGCAGACTGGATCTTAGACGACAAGAGTAAAATCTAACGAGCGACGCACGCTTTAGGGTAGATCGCAATGATCGCCGGGCTCTTGGCGTCCGGGCTCCTGGAAGAGCATGGAGAATGAGATGAAGTCTCTCTGTTAGCGCACAGTGTGTTGACTAGTTAATTCTGTACGGAGTAGTCATAGAATTGTCCTCGACGCCTCTGGCGTGTTCTCTCTCTTGTGGTCTGGCTTGTGTAGTAACCATCGCCTGTATTCTCATTGGCAGTCGGCAATAATGCTGTGGGTTAGACTTGGTGAGCCCGAGGAGTACATAGGATGGAGACAAAGTGGAGAGGTATGAACGACTCCTTTGTTGCCCCGTTGATGGGAAATGAAGACTTTTCTAGTATCCGTGCCCTGGCGGTCGCACCCAAGACCATCCGCTCTTAGGTGCACCACAGTTAAGTTATCCCCTTTGATAACATAATCCGCGTCATGTACTTTTTGCATAGCCTCACTATACAAAAGATACTTGCGTCATAAAACCAATTTCTCTTGAATATCCTAGTATATCACATTAGATAGTTAATTTCTATATGATGATATCATATATTAAAGGTAGATTATATCAGGTACAATAGTAATTTATAACTTTTGCCTCTAGTAAGTATTATAAAATATCTTTGAAATTCTGTAATAGTAAATCTTTTTAGGGAATAAATAGATAGGTATTTACACTATCCTTCTTAACTCTATCTATCTTTTGAAATAGTTTAAATAGCTAAAAGAGATAGGTGATTAAACTTAGAGAGGTAGTTAAGAAACAGAATATAAGTTCTTAAATAGTTTTATCTAAAATCGATTTTAGCTAATTATGTACCTTTTGTATAGTGAGGCTATACAAAAAGTACATGACGGTGATTGTGTTATTGACGGAGCAGCAAGGCACGAGTAGTTGCTTGGAAATCTTTAACGCCTCGCGGGCGCTTTGAGCCCTTCATGTTCGCCCTTGATCGACGATAGTTCGGTCATAGGATATTAAGGAGTTTGATCTTCATCGTGAGCCTTAGTTTATAAAAGCCCGAGTCCATGAACCAACCAGAGGCCGGCTGAATGATGCTGGGATGGACCCGAAGGTTCCGGCTTAATGCTAAATCCATACGGAGTACAATGTCCATTCAATGATTCATGTCGGCGTGAGACTGTCCTCGATGGTAAGTGGGCAAAGTATGTACTCTGATGCGTCGTCTGCTTACCCTTGTTTCCAGTAATGCTGGCCCTAGCTTTTAGTCCTAGTAGTCCTAGGGCCCGGACCTGGACCTGGTTCATGCTGGTCGAGACTGTTGGGCGTCAAGCCTCCTCGTTCCCGCGTTGCGCCCGACTGGAAGTGGAAGTACGTGGGATCAGCCAGGGGGTGGGGGCGCCGTTCTGGCCCGCATCGGCTTTCTCCACCTCCACTTTCTCCCAGCCCCCGCTATGCCTTGTCCTCCCCGTGGAAGGTGGTAGAAGAGCTGACGGCTGGGAGAAAAAGGAAATGGTAGAGACGGGGGTAGACTCCGATCGTTCAGTGATCCAATCGAGAGGAAATCATAAGAGCGCAAGAAAAGGGAGTCAATGCAGACCAATGAAGAATCAATTTGGCAACCAACCAGAGTTATGCTATTCCGAAGTTCAGTGTACAAACCAATGGAATTCAGCCGACACATCGGAAAACCTGCTCTTCTTAGAACACGAGGTCATGTGGATCGTCTATTTAACCCGTTTAGCTCAAAGAGGAGCGCGCACGAAGCGCCAGGCACGAAATCCTCGCGGTCCGAGAAGCTGGTTGGTTAAGAAATCAGGACTAAACTAGGTAGTCTATGGCCAGGGCCTACAAACTACTGCAAGTCTGTTTTCTCCGCTCATTGTACTTTGGGCAAGTGTTACTGTACTTGGAGTGACATGTTAGAGACACCTGTATGGAGGGATTAGGAATGTATACTCCGTCGCTCCAGTTAGGGCTCGGATGTTCCTCGTGAGCTTATGGCGAGGGAGGCGACTTAATTGATTTCGGAAAACTGATTATTCTCATTATTCTTTGCTTATTTTACCCCCCTTCTCACCATGGCTTCCCCATGATTTTTCCACAGTGGCCCCCCCCCTTGGTTCAGGAACGCGCGCACTAGACATCCACGATGTGCGACCGGTGAAAGACCGACCTGCAGGACGACTCCTCACATACAGTAGACTCGCGACGACGGGCATACCTGGTCGATTCGGCACCAACCGATGGTTCATCTCCACTTCCAAACGGGATGACGCGGGAAGAACCTTCAATTGGGGGTCCCCATTCCTGGTCGGGGACCCGCCTGGTGCCATTGATTCATGAGCTCTTGGACTGGATAGGAAGTACGGTAAAAATAGCATGAACGCGACAGCGAGCAATTAGAATCGCTGAGATATTATTGACACAGTATTTACAATATGGACATGTGTGCTCCGCGATCGGGACGGAGTACGATATGTTAATATGTAATTCCGCCCTCGCAGCCTACCCCGGGATCCTTTTCATGCTGTTTGACGCGAGGGCTACTTTTTTTTTGGCTGTAGGCCGTGTGTCTCTCGCTGTTTCGCTCCCTCGAGTGCCAAAAATTGCGACTCATTCCACGGAACAATGATTGGCTCCAAAGCTCTGGCCACATTCTGGTTCTAGTCCGTGGTGACATCCACCTGTCGGTCTTGTACCCCATAGTCCTAGTCCACTAAATCCTCTAGTGTCAGATCAAGGTGCAGGGCGATCTCCTCGGGACAGAACTTGCCTTAATTTCCCTAATCCTGAGCAGACTGAGTCTGGCCCCATCGCATCGCATTAACTCGTTTGACCATCATGACCACTGGGGCGTACTAGCCCGGTCAATCCGACAGTGGCTGTTGGCGGCCACAACCTTGGTTGCCCAAAGAGTTGGAACTAGTTATGAGGTTCCTGTAGCTAACCCATTTGGGCCGACTGGCGAGGGCTCCGAGCGTACTGTAAAAGGGCTTTTTATTATTGTTCCGGTACCTGGCCTTTCTCTGTCAGGACTAGAAGGCAACTAGCAAGGATCGCTGCTGAAACTCTCCCGGGATTCCACTCTGGGGCATCCGGTCTCAGCTGATGCGCCGCCCCAGAGTCAAAATGAATACACAGCTGGTTGGGTGGGAGTTATTCCTCCCTTTTTTCGTCTATTTTCGTCGCAGCATGCTATTCGGAACGGTCATACGAGAGGCGACAAGGTTTTCCTCACGTTTGTACAGGAATAGAGTACAGAGGAAAGCGGTCGGCATGAGCAGAGTTGTGACCGTACAAATCGAGACACTATTAACTTCAGATATTATCCTCCGACGACGAAAATTCCCGGGTTAGTCGTCCGGCAGATCCTGGGGTTCGAGGCTTGAAGCAGGACGAGGGGAGAAGAAGAAGAAGAAGAAGAAGAAATAGTGGACGAAGGGGGAACAAGGCGGTGTTTCTTTGTGGTGTCCTCGCTGCCATGTATATTTGCGAAGAAGGATCGCCTACAGTATACATTCGGGGAAGGTCACTTATAGAAAGTGTTTTTTTTTTTCACCCGCAATACTCCGTCCTCGCAGCAAAGAAACGTCTCGCCACATACCATTCCCCCTTAGGAGAGGTCACAAGCTCTCTCCCCATACGACGCCTTGCGGTCCATGCACTGGGGGAAGGAAGCGACTCTTCAGCCCGTCCTTACGCTCGGAACTATCGATGAAGCCCCTGCCAACTTCTTGTTGTACACCGGAAGGGTCGAGTGACAGCCTGCTGATCTGGGTAATTGAGACCGGTCTCCGTAAAAAGGGCGAGAGAAATACGCAACTGCATCGTCGTGTCCCCAAGAGGTGGAACGCATCAGGATTACACACCCTCCGAACCTTGTCGATTATTCCCTGCAGCGGATGTCCGTGCTTGGTCGCTGGAGACGATCTGGCCCACTTACCCCAGATTGTCGGCGTCGTACAAAGGGGAAAGGTTGCGTAACAACATTTCAATCTCGGCGGATCATCCTGTTCTCCAGGAAGCAGGCGTGGAGGGACTGCGCCTAGGCCCGATGTCCCGTGTGGGGAGAGTAGTGGATGTCTGAATATTTACTCTCTTGTCACTCTCCGCCTCTTTCATCCATTACCAGGACTGTGGGAGGTAGAGGGGCGACGATTTGACCCTCTACTGGTCCCGAGAGAAGGGAAGTGGCGGACCAGAAGCGAAAGACAGTCAGAAGGGCCCCCCTCAAGCGACGTTCGTTAGAGGCTGGAAAAGGTGAGTGGACTGGTCGGGGAGACAGCCGGGGGTGTTTTGAGTCTGGTATTTTATTTATTTTTTTTTCCAGCGCCCGTGAAACCTGCCGCGCTTTCCCCAACCCAAAAGGAATGTATATTAGGAAAGAATAAGAAAGAGCAAAGATGCTACCCTAGCCTTATGTGATCCTAGTGCCGCCTTGACGAGCTCTCTAAAAGACAGGCATGGGTAGGTTTGGATCTTTACCTGACCAACACTTTGTATAACTCCACACGGCCCATTGAGGAAGTACCTACCTGTCGATACTTGCCCAACCGAGCGATACTGTGGAGGAATTATTATTGGTGGCTGCGGATTTCCAGCTATACAATTCGTTCCTGCACGTAGGTTGGGGATGTGAGGCGCCAGTTCGACAAGTATATTCTTCAAGTATCATAATCATTGTAGGTAGAGTAGGGGAATTGGGATGAGGTTCTGGGGTTGCAAGGCTATGGTCCTTGTCCGGGGTTGGGGGGGGACTCGGCCTTGGGGGGCCTGGCTCGGGCTATTAATATTTCTGACTCGGGCCCGAGTTTATAAAGGAGTAGTCATGGAGTGGGGAGAGATGAATTGATGAAATTATGGCATAGAATCGAATCTGGGGGAATCCTGGATGCAGGATGCACTTTATACGATGTGTATTTTTCATACTTGAAACTGCATGCTGAATGCCAACCCCACGAATTCCAAACCAGAGTGACATTTCCTGTTCCAGCCGTTTTCTGCTGGGGGTTGCATGACCGTCATACAACGACTGCCCGAGCCCTTGTCTATACGGAAGGATGTCCCAATCGAGGGGGCCTAGAGAGAGCCATTGGGGCCGATGGAGTGGATCGTCGCAGCAGAGACGGGGATCCATAATAATTATAGTGCCCGTCGTGTTTACCCGATTCTTCAGTACAGTATGGGCGCATGGTCCAGGTAGACCCCCTTTGCCCGTCATTTCTGGACTACTGGAAAAAAAAAAAAAGTGAAAGGGTTTTGAAGAGGAAAGAGAAGAGCAGAATAGTCGAGGGAACTAAGAACGTCCGTAAAAAAAAAAAAAAAAAAAAAAAAACGATCCCTCTTCGTACGTTCGAGAGAGTCTACGGTCTACGGAGTGATGTTGAACCATCACATTGCTTTTCTCATATTTTCCCACTTCGTTTTTTTTACCCTTTTCAAAAATTTCCCCAATATTCATTTTATTTTTTCCTCCCCTATTTTCCTGATTCAATTTTTTCTCCCTCTTCACTGCAAATCAGGGCGTCAGATCCGACATGCTTGGCAGCCTCCCCCGCATGCAAAGTTTAAACCCATTCTATAACGAGGTTCGCCCTAATACGTATGACCTCAGGCTTTTCCATTACACATTTTATTCTGTGGTGCAAATTTCTTCGTCGGATTAAACATTCTTATGAGAGCCGCCTCCCCCACACTTTCTGGCTCTTCTAGGTCTTCTTCGACTCTTTCTGCTCGACTCTTTCCGCTCCTCGTCTGACTTGTTCCTACTTTCCTCTGGCTGACCATTGACCATTCTTCCTCCTTCCTCTCGGGCCTTCTGTTCGTTTTCGGGTTCTCTCCTCTCTGGCCCCCTTCTCTTTTTGTTTCTTACCCTTCCCTCTTCCCTCTTCCAATCTGCCACCTGATCGGCCACCGGTCCGGCCGCTTAGAGGTGGGAGAGAGAGAGAGCCAGACAAAAAGTACGGCGCTACGCCTCCAGTAAACGACGCAAAGCCATCACTTTCCGTTGGACTAGTATACTTACTCCACCCATCCGGGCCTATAACTAGTTGGACTATATACTAGTCCCTCCTGCGGTCGTTTCTTCCCCTCCCCGCCCCCGGTTATAATCCCACCCCAACCCTCGTTTCCCTTCCCTCCGTCATCATTTCCATACTACCGCGCCTGGCTTACCGGTGCCATCCACCCCCGTTCTGGGCCCATGTTCAATGTTGTCCATGCAGAACTCTCTGTATTTTGCGCGCCCAGATTTCAACGGGTCGGCTGTACAGGACGAGGCCTGCTCCGGTAACCCTCCGGACATTTCCATCCCCACTCTTGCCGACATCACCCACGCAAACACATCAGCCCATCGCAACACCCTGCGAGCCAGCACTTCGAGCACCAGCACCGGCGCCAGCCCCGATGATACCTCCACCGATTCCCCCGACTGGCCTGGCGACTCGGCCGATCGGTCGCTTGCCGATTTAGATGCCTCCTCCAACAATTATTACCTGTCGCATCGGCCAGACTCCTCCTCCTCCTCGGCCTTTCTCGATGCGACGCCACAGTTTGACATGGACAACCTACCCAAAGTAGAGGAGTTGGACGACGACATCTCAAGCATCAAACCATCCGATGTGGGGACGGAGGGGCCCAACGACTCGGCAGCGCCCGTCGCCGTTCCACGGAAACGTGGACGACCACGCAAACACCCGCTTCCCGTACCGGGTGGCCAGGTCAAAGTCACCAAGGGTCGATCCAAGACCGGTTGTATAACCTGCCGTCGCAGAAAGAAGAAGTGCGATGAGACCAAGCCAGCGTAAGTGATACCCTGACCTCCACCTGGCTGGGATTTTTTTTTTCCCCTGTCGCCCGTTCGGAATCGCCGAAGGGCAGGTATGGTATGATGTTACCGGGGTCTGACTTGGTCGCAGATGTCTCAACTGTCAGAAGAATGCGGTCGTCTGCGAGGGATATCCCCCCAAGGAAATCTGGAAGAGTGGCCGTCAGAAGATGGCTGATGGTACGTAATCTCCGGCATTTGGAATTCCAAAACTGAAACCTTACTTTTCCCCATTTCAATCTCGACTTGGTCGGTGCATGCATCTCAAATCTGACACATTCCCCCCTCCTCTAGCGGTTCGCACCCAGTCCCTGACAGCCGTTCCTCGCAACCTGCCTCTCCTCATCGATGGTATCGAAACCGACATCGATCGCCGTTTCCTCGATCATTTCGTATACGGATTCAGCCGCGTCTTGACCCTCGTGAACGATGACTCGAATCCCTTCAAGGAAATCCTTCTGCCGATGGCGACGCAACATCGAGGGCTGATGCATTCTCTCATGTGTCTGTCGGGGTCACATTTATCTGGTCTCGACCCGGAGCCCAAGTTGAAGGAGCGCAAATACTTCCACTTCCATCGTGCGATTCAGGATCTCAAGGACAACATCACCGCGACGTCATCACAAACGGCAAGCTCTGGCACGAGCACGGACACGGGCACGGATCAGGATCAGCAGCTACTTGTCGAAGACCCGATCATCGCATCGACTATCGCTCTCAGTTTGAATACGATCTGCGAAGGCGAGACAAATGGCGAGTATCGCCCTCACATGGATGCCGCTCGGTACCTGCTACTTTCGCAGCAACCACGCAATGAGAAGTTCCGCCAGTTCATCGTCGAATTCTTCCAGTATCACGATATCTCGAATGCGCTCACCTCTCTAGACCGTCGCCCGTCTCTTATGCAGGGTGGCCTGCGTCTACCCGACTTTGTACCCGGTGCCCAAGCCGGCAACTTCCTTGGGGTTTTTGACGGTCTCTTCAACTACATCTCCGAGATTACCCAGTTGCGAGACCGGATCCGTCAGCGTCACAAAGAAGGTTACGAGCCTGCCGTGGATTACCAAACCCTCAGCGAAGCCGTTCAGATCGACACGGCGATTCGATCATGGAAGACTTCACACGAGGAGGAATCTCCAAACTGGTACCTAGCTCAACTATATCGCCAATCGACATGGGTCTACCTCTACCGAACGATCCGACCCTCCCGACCGAGCGATAAGATTTCCCAAGTCGTCAACGACGGTCTAGGCTATCTGGATCAGCTACCCCAAGATGCGGGCGCCTATAGCATCGTCCTGATGCCGCTCTTCTTGCTGGGATGTTCAGCCTTTGTGCCGCATCAGCGCGAGCGGATTCAACGCGGCTTCGATACTCTTAAATCCTATTCAAACCTCCGCAACATCGAACCTGCCTTCAAGGTTGTTTCACGAGTGTGGGAGGTTATGGATACCACAATCGAGGACAGTTGGGACTGGGAGAAGATCATCAGTGACATGAACATGGACTTCTTGATCACTTAAGATCTTTTCTCGAGGTCTCCTTGCCTCCAACCTATACCCGATCATACCTCTATGCCCTTGATGTTGATACCCTCTACTCACGTTCTTCTTGGTTACGGTTTTACCTGTTCATAATTATCACATTTGGACTCTTATGTCCTGGTCGGCTTATGTGAATTCTTGGACTCTTAAGCATAACGGTTTTTTTTCTTTGGAGGTTGTACTATGATGTGTGGCGTTTGTTTCCGTTCTATTGATATCTCTTGTTTCTGTTCTATACGAACCATGCATCTGCATTTGGGAAAGGCGGAGGTCCCGACTGTTTTTCTGACTTTTCTTTTCTCATCTGTCCTTCCGTCCTCATGGCTGAAGAATTGCAACCCGTGCGTTGACCCCGCAGGGAAGGGGGTAAATGTGGGAGGGAGTGCATAATACGAGGGAGAGATGCACGCAGAAAAAAGGATAACCCGTCAAGCAGTCTTCACCGCTTGATCTGAACTTCCCTTTCTCTTCTCATCTTTGCCCCTTTCTGTGGAGGGAACCGTGTACATTGTTTCAGTACATTTCCCCCGCTATCTGTTTCAGGGGCGGGGGAACAAACACGAAGTCAAAAGCAAAAGCCCCCCAAAAAAGCTCTACGGTGTTCTAGTCTTGGAGGAGGTGAAAGTTAGTATTTATGAGATGGTAGCGTCGGACGCTATGGTCTCGCCATAACGACCGGGGGCGGTTTTATGTCCGCCCTGTATTGGACGATTGGTGAGATGAGGTTTCTTGAATATGCCCTTTCTGTCACGGTTCTGTGTTGTATATACCCTGGTCTTCTGTTGTGTAAGTATTGCTCGCAATTGGAAGTTGTGAATGTCTGTATACTATACTTAGGATGGCATTGATTAATTCAAAAAGGTTAATTATGTTCTGCTGTTCGGATTGAGGGTTGTTGAGTTTGAGTTTGAGCTCTCCTTTTGGTTCAGAAAAGTCTCTCTTTAGTCTTTATACTCACAGCTCAATGTGTTGATAGAACCTCAAGGACAGAAACTTACGTCCACGCAGCTTCAGCAGCTTCAGCAGCTTCAGATGTCCCGGAGTGTAGGACTCAGCCACTCCCCCCCTACAAAGAGCTTGTGAATGATACGTCTGTTTAGTTTTCTCGAGTTGTTGAATCTTTGGTAATTCCGATTGCCCTTATCGGTAAGGGCTTAAAGACGTAAAGCTGACGGGCTGCTTGATAGCTGGAAAATGGAGGCCCCGCTAGATAACGAGTCTATGGATCAGAAGTACTATATATCTGCGCTTGAAATTTGCAGACGCCTTAATGAAGCAACAACATCTTGTTTGATCCTTAATTGACTGCATATGAAGGGTAGTTCCATTGGTCCGAGACCAGGCTGTGTGCCGAGAGATATATGGTAATGGCGATGATAAGTTACCTCATTAGGACGTGGACACAAGCCATGGGTCTCTGGCCAAGGACTGTTCGCGTATATCAGAAATTCCATCCATGGAACGGACACCACTGATGAGGATGCGGGCCAATCTTTTGATAATAGTGTCACACCTACGACAACTTTGACCTTTGACCCCGTGATCCTCACGTTTCTCCCTCTCGACTCCCAATACAACAGCGACTCCGAATTTCCATGCGGCCAGTCTCTGCCATCACCCATGGAGCTGGTCTACGCTGACCAGATCCCTCGGGATCCGAAGCTCAAGATCGCTCCTCTGAGAGGGGACCAGCAATCATGTCCGCCAGTCGTCAACGGCGGACGACGAATCCGTCGGATCGATAGTACGTGCAACTCCTCGCCAACTACCCAAAAAAGACCCTTTCTCTTACCATCGTCACCAGGAACCACCTCCGAAGCATGGGGTCCACCCGTATTCGCCAACCGCCGCGCCTCCGTCGAACCAAGAACAACATCCCAAAACGAAGACATGTTCCGCACCTTCCACCCAGCCCTCCGCTCCGAGCCCGAGGTCTTCACCCTCACCAAAAAGAGCAATAACACCCAAGTCTGGCTCGTATTCCCCCGCAAAGGTGACAGCGGGCCCTTCACGCATGTCGGCGGTCGAGCAGTTCATACCCAGCCGTACTTTGAGGCACCCACCGAGCACGGAATGAAGTACGCGATCACGAGGGAGGATCCAATTCAGCGGGATATTGACGTTCATGAGCCTTTGACTGTGGAGGATTTGGGCCGGATTAAGGCTATCTTTCCGCGGGCTGTGGGCGTTCAGGTTTTTCAGTGCGAGTTTGTGATTGTGTTTTTTGAGGGAAGGAATGATATGTTGCGGTCTTGGGAGGATGGGACGCCGCCGGGCATTGGGGGGTTGATGGTTGGGTATCGGTGCTAGGTTGGATGAGGGTGGTTTACTCTTCGAGCGCCGTGGTCTAGGATGGATTACTTCATTTGCGGGTTGTCTTTATTATGATCGGACTGGAATCTCTAACCTCTTCGGAGATGGAATGTCTTGTGCCGACTGGTCATGATGAAATTCAGCGGCTTAATCCGCAAACCAAGGTAGTCAAAGCAGAGCGCTGCACGCAATTGAAGCATCGTGTTCGATATGAACTCATTCAAATTGAATACTTGATTTTTGCCAATGACCAAGGCTCTGTATTGTGGTTGTCTGTGAGGTTGGGATGTCAATATCAATGTACAAATGCGCAATTGGGCTTGCTACGGGAGTCAAATAACAACTGCAGTTTTCGCATCGCACCGGTGCCTAGGACATGTTAACAGCCAACCAGGATATGGCATGTAGCTCGCCATTCTGCTCTGTATTCGAAATTCGAACTCTATACACGTGCAGGCTGTCAACCAACATAATGCCCCTAAGGCATGATCCGCTTCCTCAGCTAGTATTCTGTAGTGCAAAGATAGAGTTCTCAATTCCCCCGAGTCCTTTCGTGATAAGAGCTCATGATTTGGCAATTAATCTTTACCTCAAGTATTATATCGACATCCTCGCGGCTAGGCTTGACATTGTTCTATTTTGATAAGGTTGCCATATCTAGCCCATACCTCAAACTGGTCAAATATGACATTTTCAACGGTACTGCCCAAATGTTTCGCTCTGCCCAGGGTACTCAGCGGGACTAGGCCTTGGTCTTATGAGCGATTGATCGATGCTGGTGTGATCACTCGTGCTGCCATCAAAGGATGTGGCCTACTGTGAAGAGACGACTTGGGCTTAAAATCAGAGAGGCCGGTTGTTCTCCGGCTGGAGGGCGATAAACCTTGTAGGGTTAGCCCATGCACTTGATATGTAAATGTAATCAGATAGAGTTGGATTTCAACATAATTGTTCAGGTCAAGATTTGGAAAAGATGGGTGAATTGTGTCTTCTCCAGATAGTGATCTATGCAGCTCCATTAACGTCCACTTGACTTAGTGCCCTGGTCGAATCGCTTCGCGTCGGCTTCGCAGGAGCGCGGAGTTACCCCGAGTTGGTCCCGCCCGTCACTGTTATCTTCCGAATGTCGGCTTGTGTTGTCCCGAGCTGCCACCCCACGTTTGGCGGGACTTCCCCCTCTTATTGATCATTTCGCCCAGAAACATTCTACACATTTTCGCCTCTCTCTAAATCGATTCAAGAAAAAAATCCGACACAATGCCCTTCTCTACCGCCATCCGATCAAGCCTGCAGGGCCCTACGCCAGCCTTTGGCTTCTGGCTCACGTACGTTCAGTTCAATCTTCACTCGGATCAAAGTCCGGGGTTAAACACCCCCGCCAAAGACTGCGGCGGAAGGAAGGAAGAAACCCGTGAAAGAAATTGGTGACTAACATTTACTCGGTACACAGCCTTCCTAGCACTGGCCTCGCTAAAACTATTCTTCATGGAGCCTCCGGATCTTCAACGAGGTTTAGCTGGGTTCTCGTTGATGCGGAGCACGGAGGGATCTCCGACCAGCACTATTACGATGTGAGTTATCAACCTAGATGCTGTTTTACCCACGGAAGTGATCTAACGTGTGCTTATTAGCTGAATAACGCCATCGGCCATGAGTCTGCGAGCCCCATCATCCGTGTGCCTTGGGGCGAGGAATGGCTGATTAAGCGTGCTCTCGATTCCGGTGCCCATGGAATTATGACTCCTATGTGCCACTCTGCAGTAAGTTCAAGGCCGACTACAAAGTGATGCATTTGAGAGGTGAAGCTAATATGGGATCTCCTATTTCTTACAGGAAGATGCAGCCAAGATTGTCAAGTACACCCGGTATCCGCCTCAAGGCACTCGCGGCTACGGCCCCATGTTCGCTCCCCACTCTTTCCCCGGAGTTAACCCCGGTGCCGAATACGACGACCAAGCAAACGCCAGTCTGACCGTGTGTGTGCAAATCGAGTCGCGCCCCGGTGTCGAGAATGTGGAGAAAATTGCTGCCGTGGACGGCATTGACGTCCTTTTCATTGGACCGTTTGACCTTGCTAAGCAGATGAACGTCACTCGTGGCGGAGAGGAGCACGAGGCTGCTATCCAGCGCATTTTGAAGGCTGCTCATGACGCCGGCAAGAAGGCGGCTATTTTCTGTAAGTGGCCATCAGACTCATACTCTTGCACGTTGAGAGCTAGCATCGCTAATAGATATATTTTAGGCACTGATGGTAATGATGCTCGTGCTCGTGCCCAGCAGGGCTTCGATATGATCTCTGTCAACACCGACGTTGGTGTTATCCGGGCTGGCATGCTGAACGAGCTCAAGACTGCCAACGGAGAGGAAGTGCAGGGAGGATCTCGTCAGGGTTATTAGACACTGCCAGATCTTTCATATATATTGAATGAGATAGACAAAGCACCTGAGATCTATAATAATAGCAAAGGTCTAAGCATTTGCCAATTTACTTCTACCTCACTGTAGATATTCGTCAGTATGACCGAGAACGCAACGGAGGTGCGGCCGGTGTCCCGGCGTTCCTGATGAGCAGACGAGTCGCCCAATCTCCATTAGAAGAACTTCCCACGCCCCTGCTGATTTCCTGCTCTCTCCGAGGGTTAGTCCACCCCCTCTTTACGCATCAATCGGATACATAGATCGATCAAGACGGGTAGGGTCATCTATAAAACGTCCATCACATGTCGTGATTGGCCCTTATACCGGATCGACGCTAGCTAGATCACGATTGGTCGCCTAGAGTCTACAACATCCTATTTAGGTAAGTGAGAATTTCTCATTCGGCTTGGGGCTTCTCTGATTTTTGATTCTCGAATTTCATAGTACACAGTATCGCGAAAATTGTGATACTCGCTTTGCTCTCGATACCCCTTCCAAAGGAACAATCAAATGCATACATAATGAGCATCATCATAACCTCATTCTTTCCGATCACGAGACCTGATTGGCCAATTCGAGTAACTCGCTTCGGAGCAATCGAAGCAAGGCGCCACGTGTGCTGAGTCAGGCAAGGTGGAAATGGATCCGACCAATCAGAATGTCTACGGGTGACGGGTCAGTTTACAGTCCGGGGAGATTTCACCCCAAAACTTGGCTTAGCTTCTCGTCGGCTTGTGAAAACACCGTCGCGCCAAAAGGGAGAGATGGGGACTTCTCCTTTTCATCTTAGCGTCCCGATGCGCGGCTGACTCCCTACGTTGGATGCCTTCCCCAATCTGCGTTCCTCCCGACTTTATTTCATCGCGGCTCACTCAATTGCGGCCCACCCAGGACTTGACCTAAACTTGACGGAAGTCTGGAAATGACGTTGCAGTCTTAAAAGCGGTGTTAGGAGGCTGACTCTTCAGCCTTGGCCTTTGCGATGGAGAAAGACGAGATAATCACCGATCTTCCAATTCGCAAGGATACCGGCTTCGATGCGGTCCTTCAGGATGCGGTGTACAATCTATCACTCCGCGCCGTCAATCCAGTGGACGTCAATGTGACCGATCTGTCTCTCGATATCAAAATAGCTCCCTCGATATGGGAGACATCGCCATCGCAACTCTGGCGTCGCCTGCACGGTCAGAGACCAGAAGGCACCTCGAAAAAGATTCTGGATGGTGTCAACGCGGCGATGCCAAGTGGCAGCTTAACAGCTATCATCGGAAGCAGTGGATCTGGCAAAACGTCTCTCCTCAACCTGATGGCTGGTCGCATGTCCCTGTCGCAGGCGAAGGTCACTGGCTGTACCACTTTCAATGGAATTGCCGATATCGACAGCGTTCGTAGCGCTTATGTCATGCAAGAGGATGTTCTCATCCCAACTTTGACTGTTCGCGAGACTCTGCGATACTCGGCTGATCTCCGCCTCCCACCACCGACAACCCAAGAAGAGCGCCATGCCATAGTGGAGCAGGTTATCCTCGAACTTGGGCTAAAAGAGTGCGCCAACACCCGTATTGGAACGACCGCGCATAAAGGCTGCAGCGGAGGCGAGAAGCGACGCACGAGTATCGGTGTGCAGTTGCTCGCCAATCCATCCGTACTTTTTTGCGATGAGCCGACAACTGGTCTCGACGCAACCAGTGCTTTTCAGATCATCCGAACGTTGAAGCGACTCGCCCAAGATGGCCGGACGGTCGTGGTGTCTATTCATGCGCCTCGATCTGAGATCTGGAGTCTGTTTGATAATGTGATTCTTCTGGCTCGCGGATCTGCATTGTATAGTGGCCCGGTGAGCGAGTCGCTGGAGCACTTTGAACAATGTGGTTATGTTTTGCCTTCTTTCGTCAACCCAGCCGAGTTTCTCATTGACTTGGCTGCCATCGATAATCGGACCGAGGAGTTAGAAGCAGCGTCTCACGTCCGCGTTGAGAACCTCCGCCAGGCATGGCAATACCGTCCCAAACCATGTTCAAATAATGGCGAGAAGAAGTCACTAGCAAAGCCCGCTCTAGAAGGCGTGGATACCGGTGCCATGAAAAAGGTGTCATTTCGCCGCCAGCTCCATGTGCTCACCTCGAGAACCTTCATAACGACTATTCGGGACCCAATGGGTGTCGCTGGCAGTCTTCTCGAAGCAGTCGGCATGGCTGTAATCAATGGCTGGATCTTCCTACAGCTCGACGAGAGTCTTGCTGGCATCCGTTCACGACAGGGTAGCCTGTATACAGCTAGCAGTCTGAACGGATATCTGATCCTGCTATACGAGACTTATCGCCTCACAATTGACATTCGTCTTTTTGACCGAGAACGCAACGAAGGCGTGGTTGGTGTTCCGGCGTTTTTGCTGAGTAGACGAGTTGCTCGTTTTCCTTTGGAAGATCTCCCCGTGCCCCTACTTTTCTCCATCATCTATTACTTCATGGTGGGTTATCGACTCGACGCAGGACAATTTTTCATCTTCTTCACTCTGACCTTGCTCACGCATTACATCGCGGTGACATTCGCAGCGGTATCTATTGGTGTGGCCAGAAGTTTCCCGGGGGCGAGTCTTGTTGGAAACATGTGTTTCACGCTGCAGTCCTTTGCTTGCGGATACTTTGTTCAGTCTCAGCAGATTCCCGTGTATGTCCGGTGGTTGAAATGGTGCGCTTACACTTTCTACATTTTCGGAGCGCTGTGCGCGAACGAGTTCATCGGCACTGGAGATTCAAAGATTGGACATTTTTACGACTGTCCATACTCTGACGACCCGCTTGACCCGGCCTGCAAAGAATATACGGGGCGATACATAATGAATAGTCTCGGCATGCCGTCTAATTGGATTTGGCGACCGATTGTGATCCTCATCGCGTTTACTTTTGGTCACTATCTGCTTGCGAGTTTGCTTCTGCAGTACAATCGCTTTGCGATTGATATTGCGCAGGCGCGAAAATCAGAAGGTGATCCATCAGCGAAAAAGGCAAAGATTACGATTCGTCCTACCGAGGAGGCTCGCCGAGTGGCCATCTCGTTAGACAAATACGCCCTGGAGATTCGAAAGCGACGACTGCCATGGCAGCGTAAGCAGAAACTCCAAATCTTGCAGCCGATCACTGCAGAGTTTCAACCCGGAGAGTTAAACATTATCATGGGCCCATCGGGCAGTGGCAAGACATCATTGCTTAACTCAATTGCTCGTAGGCTGCATGGCTCGGCTAGCACACAGTATCGTGTCACAGGGCAAATGCTGTACAATGGGGCCGTGCCTTCCGAAAATGTGATTCGCTCGGTGACATCGTTTGTAACCCAAGATGACGATGCTCTCATGCCTTCGCTAACCGTACGTGAGAGCCTGCGGTTCGCAGCGGGCTTGCGGCTGCCAACATGGATGACGCGCGAAGAGAAGAACCGCCGAGCCGAAGAGATTCTTTTCAAGATGGGCCTTAAGGAGTGCGCCGATAATCTCATCGGTAGCGAGCTGATCAAGGGTATCAGTGGAGGCGAGAAACGCCGAGTCACCATTGCCATTCAGATCCTCACAGACCCCAAGGTGCTTCTGCTCGATGAGCCCACGTCCGGTCTCGATGCTTTCACCGCGATGTCCATTATCGAAGTGCTGCAGGGCCTTGCAGCCGAGGGCCGCACGCTCATCATGACCATTCACCAGTCGCGATCAGACCTGTTCGGCCACTTCTCCCAGGTTTTGCTTCTGGCTCGTGGCGGCTACCCCGTATACGCCGGCCGGGGACAACAGATGCTCCCGCATTTCGAAAACTTGGGCCACGAGTGTCCTAAGACAACCAATCCGGCAGACTTTGTGCTCGATCTGATCACGGTCGATCTTCAACAGGAGGACCGAGAGGCCATCACCCGCGAGCGCGTCCATAAGCTTATTTCTCACTGGACCGATGCAACACCGCAACTGGGTCGAACGTCGTCTCAGATTGCGACTCCGGCGGAGTTGGGTAGTCTGCGACGACAGATGTTGCCCTTTCGTGTGACATTCCCGCTTGTGTTACACCGATCCTTCCTCAACTTCTGGCGCCAGCCACCACTGGTGATGGCCCGGTCGATGCAGATCGTCGGCATTGCCATAATTATGGCGTTGTTCTTTGCGCCGTTGAAAAATGATTATGCGGCGGTGCAATCTCGCATGGGCTTTATCCAGGAGTTTGCCGCTCTATACTTTGTGGGTAGGTTATACGATTTCCTCCTCCGTTATGTCAGATACTAATTGGGTAAATTGGTGTAGGGATGCTGCAAAATATTGCAATCTACCCGAATGAACGGGACGTCTTCTATCGCGAAGAAGCCGACAACTGTTATTCTGCCGAAACGTTCATTCTGGCCTACACGACCATCGAGTTCCCCTTCGAGGTCATTTCATCACTTGTCTTTGGCGTATTGGCCGCGTTTGCCGATAACCTCCAACGCAGCGCGCAAATGTTCCTCATCAGTGCCTTCAACTGCTTCTGCATCATCAGCTGCGGCGAGTCCGTGGGCATCATGTTCTGCACGCTGTTCTCGCACGTTGGTTTCGCCGTCAACGTTACCTCTATTCTCCTATCGATCTCGACTATCCTCGGAGGCGTGATGAGCCTCAACGTCAATGACGTTCTCCAGGGTCTGAATCACCTCTCGCCGATCAAGTATGCCATTGCCAACTTGGCGCCGTACTCGATGCACGGACAGAGGTTTGACTGTACCCCCTCACAGCAGCTGGCGGATGGCAGTTGTCCTATCAACACGGGCGAGGAGGTGCTCGCGTTGTATAATTTGGATAAAAATGGACCCATGAATGTGATGGCTCTCGGGGTGTGTACAATCATCTATCGCTTGGTCGCATATGCATTTCTCAAGGTGATGCGGTCGCATCGTATGATGGAGCGCTGGCGTGAGTGGCGGCAGTCGAGACAGTTGGCTTGACTTTCTTCAATTATCCTAGTTTATACCCATTGCTCATAGTGAAGCGTGCTTCATCGAACCTCAATCTCGATACCACTCTTACGTATATCTGTGCATTGTCTTCGTATTTCTTTTGTGCTTATTTACTTTCATGTGAACGAGGCCAATTACACGGATAGCACCTTGAAGTCACCAATATCTCGGATTTCTCTTAATATCTGTGTATTCGATCTCTTTTTTCTCGTCGGGAGGCCCCCTCGGGATGTAAACTCGGGCTTTTGGCAGATGGCCACCACAAGGAACCACGCCCACATTCCGATCGGTTACTATCAGTGCGCTTCCCAAACGTGAGCAAAAATCCAATCAGCGACCGGGTGATTTTACTTCAAGACTCAATTCTCCAGAATCCAGTCGGGAGTGTTGGCATCGTGTAGCGAGTGCCTCTTGTCCGGCCGGCGTCTCTGACGATCCCCAGCCTGTCCAATACATAAGCAGCACTATCTTAGTGCTACCATCACCTGATCCTTCTCTAAATCCCAATTTCCAGTCCAAATAGAGTCGATAAAGTTTCGCGGAAAGGGTGTTCTCGACCCTTCTAGTGCCGGGCCCAAAAGTGACCGAGTGCTTGGCAGATCTTCAACGAGAAGCAAGTCGGAAAGAATGACCGGCAGAAGTCCTTTCCTGAGTTTTCCCAAAAGTGCCGACCTTTCTGGTTGGACCCAATCAATCAATTTCTTTTTGATTGCTGTGACAAAGCCCAATGTAGTCTGATTGGCGGAGCCAGCCAGGCAAAGTAATGCGCAGAACGGTTCGCCCAAATTTTCAACACCATCACACCCGAACAATCAGACCGAATCCCATGTCCCTCATTTGGCGAGCCACGATTCGGTGTAGTGTGGTTTGAACGGAACCAGACTTGCCACTCAGGAACGGAGAGGCCACCGTTGCTTCTGACTGGACCCGTACCTTTTTCCAATTTTCTTCTTTCGTCTTGTGATGGTGGGGCGGCGCACAATCCAGAGAAACGAGTTCAGGTACCGGGGGGGGGGCACGGGTCCTCCTATACTGTATCAGGCACGATGTCCACTCCAAGTAGCACTGTCCCAACCAACGGAGAACCCTCGCTCGCAAACACCGCGACTCGCCCACAGAAAGAGTTACGAACAGTGCTCTCCCGAAACTGGTCAGGATCCCGGTAACCCTGGCTCGACAATGATTCGCTCGACCCTGGCCAGTGGAGTCTGCCCCACGTCGCCTTTTTCAGGCCCTTTGAGGGCTTTGAGCAATGGCCAGCACACCAGGCTCAAGAATTCGACTGGGGGGTACAAGAAGAAAACCAGAGTACAGTACTGTAGAACCGGGGGGCTCTGCGAATGGCACTACATGCAAAACGGGATGGCGGAGTCTAACCCACCGGGTTGGATGGCGCTAACGGTGGATTCACGAATCGGAGAGTGAGGAGGATGGAAGAGGGGGTCCGTTAGGCTGGCGATCGAATCGGGGCTTTGTTCTGGTGGGCTGGCGGGGTGCCTGTCTATCAGTTGGTCTAGATTGAGTGATCGCCCGAGAGGGGCAGGATGGATTCTTGTCCGAAAATTTTGGGTGGGCTTTTGAGGTTTTTTTTTCCTCGTCGTTTTTGTTTCGCGCGCGGTTCCGGACACTCGAGGGCCAATGGGAGGTTGGAAGAGTCATCTTGGTCTTTGTTTCGTGGTTGAGGGGGTTTCGTTTCGTCTCTGATATCTTTGTTCAGGGGTTTGGACGGATAGAGTTTACTCATGCCTTTGTTCTCTTCGGAGTGTAAGAATAGCCGTAGATGATGGAAGGCGTAGTCGAAAATCGAGGTATTACCATTACCTGTACCATTATTTGAAATGAAGATGTGTCCAAAGTCAATCATGAATGTATCATTCAATCTCTATAAGTCTAACTCAAAAATCATCCCCAATATAACTCCGAGAAGACTCCTCGAATCTTCTCATCTTCCTAATCCGGGGGGTATTCAATGAAAGCGGGCATCACAATAAGATTCATCATAGCTCGTAGACGACGTCCTGCCCCGGCGGGAAGTCAACCCGCCCATGGGGATAGAGAGGCATGTCGAATCAACCGAACATGTTGGTCAAGAAACAAGGCCACCGACTTGGGTGGAACGAAGAGAAGAAAAAAAGCTCGGAACGAGATACAAGGAGGCGAATCACCAACCCGGAAGGGAGATTTTAGAGGCGAGACACAGAAGAAGAAGAAGTAAAAAGACCCTTGAAGGAGTGCTCGGGTCAACCGGCAGGTGGAAAGAAATGGGTTGCGTAGAAAAGGTAAAATGGAAACGAACGTGGTTGCAACCATTTACTGGCCGATAGTCAGGGCCAGTCCGGTGTCGATGGGGCAGCCGTGAGTGGCGTGGTCATCGGTAGGAATGAGATAGGCAGCAGAGCAAGCATCGTCACCAGCCTTGCAGACGGCAGAGGGGCAGGTCGAGGTCGAGTCGGTGGGCAGGACGGCGAAACCGTACTGGGTGAACTGCGAGTTGGAGCCCATGTCGATGCAAGAGAGATCCCAGAAGATGGTGTCGGTGGCCTGGGTGTACTCGAACTGCAGGACATCAGACTGGTTGGGGTCGGTGGCCAGCTTGATCGAGACACCGCCGCCATTGGGGTTGGTCCTCCAGGCCTCGCTGTAGGTACCGCCGTTGGCAGACAGGACCTGCATGGGGCCGACCTCGTTGGTGACAGACCAGGCGTAGATGTCGTGGCTCAGGTTGTTGGTGATCAGAACGGAGCCACCAGCGGGGACGGTGTTGTTGCGGCGGACCATGCTGTGCATGCCGGAGGGGAGGGCAGAGGCCAGAGCAGCAAAGGCAGCGGCAATACCGAAAGTCTTGGTGAACATCATTTTGAATGAGTGGTAGAAAAAGACTGTAGATAGCTTTTTTTGGTTGTTGGGATAGAGAGAGTAAGTCTGATCGACAGATCTATAGAGAATGCAATCAAGAATCGATCTCGAAATGAAAGGCAGGTACCCGGAGGGTATGGAAAGAAAGTGGTCTTCGAAGAAGAAAGAATGAGAGACTTGTTTGAAGAGAAAAGAATGAATGAGGGAATGAGTAGGGCCTCTTTATAACTTTCGACAGGGTCTTATTCAATCGCCCCGGATAGGTACCGACTAGAAAAAAAAAACGTGAGCGGGTCGGCCATGCAACGGTCATCCATGGGTCGAATCGAGGAACAAGTGAACGAGTGGATCCCAAGGCAAAAGGAAAGGAGTGGGGCAGGAGGAGACTAGAAAGCGAATCATAGTTGGACGAGACCAGTGACGAAGAGCCTGGCCTAAACGTCGCATTTACGGGCTGATTGTGTCAATGGCCCTGGGTTGGATTAGCCGGGGGTCCAGCTGGCTAGGGTATGGCTGGCAAATGGGAGAAATTGGAAGTACAAAAAAGATCGATGGGATAGATGTTACGAGATTGGCCTCGTTTACCGAGGCACCTATCGGCTGATTTTGATGCGCGGTGTGATCGAAATCAATAACTGACGTGTCTGGTGGTCTATGGACGGACAATAACATAGTAGTGAGTCACTAGAGGAGTTCGTTCGAGTGTCCGTTGTACGTTTCTTGTCCGGTTCTATACTGTCAAGGCAACCCAGTTACGGTTCTGGGTGTGGAGAAAGAGAAAGTGCGTGACAATTGCCCCTGGGCGGACCACACCCATAGAACTCGGGTAGAGCCACCACACGACGAGTCGTGGCAATAGCCACTTCTCTCTCCTCTCCCCACGTCATCCCTTCCGCGCTCTTCCGTGGTTCTTGTCTTGACGATTTCTCCCAGCGGCGAACGAGAAAAAAGAACCAAAGAAGAACTCTGCCAGATCAGCTCTCATCCCATGGCAACTCTGCTCGGCTACTGCCATACTTTGACACATGTTTGCCTCGGGGACCATCTCAACCACGATACCCTCAAAAAAAAGTCACCCTATTTTATAGAAAAGTCGCCTTTTCAGGCCGAGTCTCTCCCACGGATTGCGATTGACTCGGCCTAGGGAAGCTATCAAATCAATATTCGGCCATTTTACTCCAGGATCTGACATGCCCGCTATTTGCCATTTGCCATTTGCCATTTTGCCATGACAAGCCCATACTAATTGCAAACAAAATTTCTAATCTGACTGCTGGTACCTGGAACCTGCATTCATCGGATGTTCGCCGTCCAACAAAATGTTCGACCTGTTCCACTCCCCCCACGGAGCTCATGAGCCTATAAGACGAGTTCGACATGTCAAACCCACCCTTGTTCTCTTGCATCCCTCTCGACCCTGACTATCACCGCGGCCCAATTCTACTCGAGGAAATTCTCCATTTTTTTTCATTTTCTTCCATTTTACCCACCACACGGGCCCTTCTGCTCCATCCCCGGTGCCTCTGACGTTGCAGGGCGTTTGGGTACCTGTCGATCGAGGCTCGACTCACGGAGGATTGTGGTGGCAATGCGTGGTTTTTTCTTGAGCCCTGCATTTTCTGCGTGGATTTTGTGGATTTAATCTCGTTTAATATTATTGTTTAATTATTGTAAAAATATCCTAAATGTAGGATTCCAATATTGACCTGTCTTTTTCTGATTTGCTCGGTGTATGTGGTCCATGCGCCCTGAAGACCCTGAACCGCCGGTCCAGGTTGTTGACACCCGACCGGCCTATAATTCACGCGAACATGGACAAGATATGTTAGTACTATTGTACGAGGTGTCAGTTCAGCATGATTTCTACTAACTAGCCTGCATGTATGCTGCCCTATCTCCGATCGCACGACGGACTGATGGTAACCTACTGGACTAGCCCCCTCGTCCCGGGCTTAGCCCGAGTCCGTTCCGCGGCAAATGGCCACCCTGACAGACCAAAGTGGACCAACTAGGCAATTAACAGTTACTGGGATCGAGCACACAAGACCGTTCCTTAAAACCTTTCACCGAGGAGGAAATCGGAATAGGGCTTGAACGGGGCCCGAACGGGCGGCCCAACCGCCTAGTCTGCCGCCCTGGACGATCGCTTCGTCCCTCTCTCTTAGCCCACTGAAGCCCACTTTCCGACTGTGCCCCCCCGCTAGGCACTTCCAGAATTACCTGGCAGGATTCTAGACCGACTCTTTTGGCTTTGAGGGCGTGTATCGGACTTGTTTGGTTCCTGCGTGGTGCGCTAACTTGACGGGGAATAAACTCTTGCCCCTTGGCCTGGAAGAGCCTTGTTGGGCTTGGGCCTGGAAGGGCTTGGTGTGCCACTGCCCTCGGTTGACTTGGCTGCTTGCTAATCCAGTGCTCTCTGTTGAATAAGTTAGTTAGAGAAAGGTGATTGTTAATCTTCGCCTCAAACATCGTGGTGGGCCGGGGATGGGTCGATGGCAAACTCGTCACGGGCATGAACAGTACTCATCATTCGCATTAATAGGAAATAGTAAATGCTGATCCAGAACGATGACATGATAGAAACTATTTGGTATACTACTGTGTACAGAACGACTGCTCCAACCTCACGCCCTTCTGTGGCACTCACCCCCGCCTGCCTGGCTGGTGGTGGGCTCCACTCCACCATCACACAGCCACTGGAGTCACCTTCCTGCTTCGGGGCTGATTTTCTCCGTTCCTTTTTCGTAGACAGGGATCTGGTGTGTCCATACGGTCCGATCGGGTCCTCAGAGAGGAGAGGGGGCCTAGAGCGGAGGCAATGGATGCCGGGGAAAGGCCAAAGGAAGCCCGCGCTGGCTGACCCCGGGTAAGATGCCTCAAGACTATACCTGGAAGCCTAGGCCGGGACGATTCCCGTTCTCTCGCTCCTTTACCACATTGGTGATCGCATAGCCGAGAGGTTGGCCAATGTACTGTCGCCATTGGACTCTTCCTTCTTGCGGTGACCGGCCAACTCCAAGTTGATTTGCCGGTGCACATGCACCAGCCAGTCCACGTAGCTTTGGGCTTCGTTGTTCCGATCCTCCAGCAGTAGCCGAGCAAACTCATACTCCGCCCCGTCGAGGCCTTGTCGGGCCAATTGGATGGTCACGGCCTTGGATCCGCGTACTGTAGAGAAGTACTGCAACAAGTTCCGCACTTGTGCGTTGAGATGTGTCTCCAAGACGGGCAACGATGACATGTTGGGGTTCAGCTCCTGGAGCGAGTTGTGTCCGGGACCGAACAGATCCTCAAGCAGATTGGGCGAGACCTGTGCGTGCAGCCAGAGGAGAATGGCCTGACCATTGTCCACAATATAGACACCGCCCTCCTCCACCTTGGCGAAGCTTGCCCTGATGGCTGGCGGGACTTGGAGCTGCCCATGCTCGTTGGGGAAGCCATCTTCCGGTTGCATATTGTGGATGGGAATGATGCGGGGATACAGGTATAGAGACATTTCTGTGCAGCCAATTGAGCGGATCATGCGCATATCGTGGACTCGGCGGTCGATTGCTTCGTTGCCACCTGCAATATGATGTTAGCCAGAAAGTTACCTTTAGAAAACCTCTTCCAATTCACTTACCCTTGAATGCCCTGGACTTTACCAGGCTCAGCATATACATCGAGAACTCCTTCAAATTCTCAGGCAAAACCAGTTGCCCAGGCGGGTGTGACCCCGAGAAGATCTTGCGATATCCGCTGAAAATATCAACCGTCTTTTCTGAAATGCTGGCACGAATGTCCTTGAGGCTCTTGTCGAGTGTCTTGGAGGCAGCTAGAATGGGGAATTAACAATCACATGAAGATCACTCGGAGTTTGTTTGAGACTTGACTGACCCTCTTTGGCGATGACTGCCACAATAGCATCCTGGTCGACAAACTTCATCGTCTCCATGCCACCTTCATTGACAGCGGCCACCACGTTGATACACCGGACTCTACGTTGGCCATCTGCAGAGGTATAGAGCAAAGCGGCCTGGAAGTGAGCATCCAACTTGGGATCCAATTTCCCATCGTAGCTGAAGAGAACACCAATAGCCTTCTCCGCATCGACGCTGCCAATCTCAAGGTCGGCGCCCAGAGCGTGTTGTACAAAGTTGCCAAAGTAAGAGGAAACTTGAAGACCGTTCGAGCACCGGACCTTCATCAAACACTGGTAACCAGTCTCTCGGGTGATAGCGTGAGCCAACTCCTTCCGCACCTTAAGAACATCGCGAGGAGCGTGGAAGTTAGAGTAGAAGAAAGTCTCGCCTCCAGTGAGCGCTGCCACATGACCTGGTCATAGGGTTAGATTCTAAAGTGTTTCAATGCCATCCTTAGCGATCTCAACATACCAATTGTCGCCACATCCGTGTACGCGCCACCAGGAGACGCAATGAAGAAGTCCACACCAACACCTGCTTCGGCCATTTTGCTAGCAGTCTTCTTCCATGCCGCATCTTCAGTGGTGTACAACTTGCGCTCTCCATCCGTTCCGTGCAGGCTCCTGTCATCGCGTTGCTCTGACAGCTTTCCAGGGCCCCACGTCGGCAGGCTTGCCAGCGCGCAGACAATCTTGCCTCCCGTTGGCTGCAGCGCCGAGAGGGCGGCATTCAAAGTAGGAAGCAATGCTGACTCGGTGTTCTTGATATGTGAGAAAATGGTGGGTATCCGGGCTAGAAGAGATGAGATGACGGATCTTGTTTGTGGTCAGTGAATTTTGACGAGCAGAAAAGCGCGGCATTTTGACGAGAGACATACTTGGATTCGTAGGGATCAACAAAGAGACCCTCGCTGAGGGGTACAAACGGTTCTTCTAGGTCGGTCATCACCATCATTTGCGCTTGGTTCAATGTTGCCTAACTCAACATTAGCTGAATTCACATCGTGTGATAGGGTTGGGGCTCACTAACCGTGAGGTTATAAAATTGCACCTCCTTGTCGTAAGTGACAATGCCAACCTTTGCGCCGGGAGGGAGCTTGCGGGCCTTGGATTCATCGCCTTCGGAGCCATCAACCTCCCCATCCTCGCCATACAAAGCTTCTGCGATACCCGCACAGATACCCTTCAAGTAGCCACGGTGTGACGATTCGCGGCTGACATCGATCAAGAACAGAGTGCGGAGGCCCACGGGCTCCTTATTCCAGTATTCCTTGGGCACCAAAAACTCGACTGTGCCCATCATCAACTCCGGTCGTTGCATACGATCCACACGCGCACCACTGGGATCCAAAGGCGCGTAGTACTCGGCGGGCGTGTCATTGGGGAATGTGCACATGTTGCAGACAAATTTGCTGCCACCAGCCCGGAATGACATGAATGGGTTGATGTATGTGCGGCATCGTCGGCAGCGTGGGGGGCCAACATCCCCGAAGTCCAGCACGGGAATTGGTTGTTCTCCAGGGTCCAGTGGTGCGAGCGGCTGTAGGATCATGCCTAGAGGGAGGCCAGTGGAGGAGAGGAAATCGGAGGTCGAGGGGATGTTGTTGAGCGTCAGGCGGGCGTACTTGGGCGACGAGTTGCCCTGATCATGAGCAACGAACGGAATTGAGGCAGGGGGAGGTAGATGCCGATCCATCGTCGGGTAGACATGGTTGAAATAATACTGGGCAGGCAGGTCTCGGGATCGAGGAATGCTGGGGATCTGTTCAGGGTCAATCCGACCTTGCGTGGGTACCGAGCCCGCACCACTGGGCATTCCAGGTTGCGAGGTGATTCCCGGCGCAGAGAGTGCAGGCTGAGGAACTCCACCAGGAGCCACCGAAGGCGGACTTTGGTTCAGACCAGTGTTAAGGAATTGAGCGGTTGGTTGCACGCCTCCCGCGGGGGACACTGCGTTGTTGAAGCCCGACGCGGCGGCAGCAGCTGAGCCGGTTCCGATGTCATGGTAGGCATGACGGTGCTTCTTTCGGTGTGCCCTAGCTCCAGTATCGGTTGCAATCCCCAATCCACTCATCTGCGAGGCCAGTCCAGCCATATTGGGATCTCCAGCGGCACCTCCTGGTGCTTGCTGCGCGGCATTGTATGCAGCATCGGGGCTCTGGGCCTGGTAGGGCGGCTGAGGAGAGCCGTATGCCGACCACTGATTTGGCGCAGGGTGGGCATGGCCAGCTCCTGGCTGTGGAGGAACAGCACCCGGGGCGTAACCAGCGGCAGAGTATGGCTGTGATGATTGAGGGGGGTGTTGAGGAGCTTGGGGGTTGGAGGGGTCATAGCCAGCCTGACCCATTGCGTGATACATTGGGTTAGCCATGGTGGATCCTGGGCGAAAGGGACAGGAAGCCTAGCGATCAGCAGAGCATAACGGAGGAGATTAGAAGGCGTTGAACCCCGCGATGTTGACGATGTTGACGATGTTGACGATCGGACTGACCACCTTTACTTCCCGCGACGCGGGCCTGCGGAAATAAGTGGCTCCGAGGCTTCACGTGTGGGACCGTTCAAGTATAGTTAGTTACTCTGTTCCTGACCATAGGAAATCACAGTAATCTTATGTTTCGACTTGCTATTCTTTTCTCAATAGCTGCTCATGAGGTCAAATACATTTTTTGTCTTCTGAGGCATACATCTTGTACCCAAGGTCATTGAGATATCAAGACTTAGTGGTCTCATCATGATCACTTTGTCGCCATTTCCCCTCCACCGCCATTCCACCGGGAAGACACCAGCCATGTAAATAGCACCATTGTAGCCCGCCAATACACCAATTTTGTCCCTTCCGTGCTAAGTTGGGCTAGTCAAGAGGCCGCAAGCCCCATCTGACTGGGCGACTCACATAATTGAGGACCTTCCGATAAGCCTGCGATACCAATGCATGTTCATCCTTGATCCTCGCATACTTTTTCAGTGGCCGATTTAGTTCTTCCATACCCTGTCATTTATTCACGAACCCCCTATCGCTTGACTCACTGGGCCTTTACCTCATCAACGGAGTCGGTCTTATCGGATTACGCACTTCACGACAGCAATTACATACTCTAGCCCCCCTTAAGGCCCTTAAGGGCATCAGAAGATTTCTCGTGTCCCATTCACACCATCGGCTCGCTCCTAGATCGGAACTTGCCCCCCTCCATCTGGCGTCACGGCCGGACTTCCAAGATACATTCTCCATAAAGTCCCTAGCATTTATCCTAGCGTGCATGGTAAGTCGCCTCCCTATTAATTGCGTGCTCTTATCTTTGGTTTTTGCTTTTTCCTTCTCCCAACCTTATCTCCTCTCTTCCTTTTTGCCATCCACTCATCATGATGGACTCGACGACTAAAAACCTCGACCCAGATCGTAAATCGAAGAGTGGTGCGCTCACGATCCCTCCCCCACCGGCCTCTCCACCAATGGCTACGATACAAGATGATGATGAGCTCTTGCTCGCCCGGATTGGCTACAAACAGGTACGTGCGCCCGCATTGCCCATGGACCCCACGGGTACTGCCGCTAACCTTAATTCCCCGTTATCTAGGAGCTTCGACGAGAATTTTCCAAATGGTCTACCGTGTCCTACGCCATTAGTATTTTAGGGGTTCTAGGAAGTGTGCCCGCAACCTTGGGTCAACCTCTTATAGTCGGCGGCCCCGCCACGGCCGTATGGTGTTGGCTAATCGGCTCTTGTATGGCTCTGGCCATCGGCAGTTCCGTGGCCGAATTGGTGTCCGCGTACCCAACCGCAGGTGGTATGTACTATGTGACAAAGCATGTGGTACCCCCGGACCAAGTACCCCTCTTTGCTTGGACTCAAGGATGGTGCAACCTGCTGGGACAGACCGCTGGTGTGTCGTCGGTCGCGTATACCGTCTCTCAGATGTTACTTGCGTGCGTCAGCATGAATTCGGATCTTATCAATGGCAAATATTCATACTCACCGTATGTGGAAACCCTCACTCAAATGGATTAGCTTCTAACAATGTCCTAGAACCGCTCTGCAGACAGTGCTAGTGTCTATTGGGATATTGCTCGTCCTAGGCATCATCTGTTCGTTGACCACCAAAACCTTACATCGCATCATACTTTGGTTTGCTCCTATCAATAGTACGCTTCATCTCATGCAGCACTTATCTCATTTACTGACAACTGAAAGTTACTGCTACGATCTGCATTTGTGTTGCACTTTTATATCTTACCCCAGATAAGCAGCCGGCTTCCTGGGTGTTTACTCATTTCACCGACGGGTCCGGATGGGGATCAAAGGTGTTTTCATTCTTCTTGGGATTCTTGTCTGTTGCATGGACAATGACCGATTACGATGGGACGACTCAGTTAGTATATAAGTCCAATCAAGAGTATCATGGCGATTCTAATAGTCATCATAGCATGTCCGAAGAAACGCACGATGCTGCCGTTCGTGGACCAATCGCTATCAAAACCGCCGTGCTAGTATCCGGAGCTTTTGGATGGCTTCTTACTGTCAGCATGTGCTTTTGCTTGACTGATTTCGAGGGAATCTTAAGCTCTCCGACAGGTCTACCTGCTGCTCAAATATTCTTGAATGCGGGTGGAAGGACTGGCGGCACAGTGATGTGGGCATTCGCCATCCTTGTCCAATTCTTCACTGGCTGCTCAGCTATGCTAGCAGATACACGAATGGCGTACGCCTTTGCTCGAGATAACGCGCTTCCCTTCTCTCCCTTTCTATCCAAGGTGAATCAATATACCCACACACCCGTCAATGCGGTCTGGTTCGTGGTTCTCTTCAGTATTTCCCTGAACGTGATTGCCATCGGGTCAACCGAGACTGCCCTCGCGATCTTCAGCGTCACTGCTCCCGCACTGGATATATCATACGTGTCCGTCATCTTGGCCCATCAGATTTACAAGGACAAGGTCAAGTTTATCGAAGGGCCATTCACCCTCGGAAGGTGGGGTACTCTTATCAACTACATTGCAGTAGTTTGGGTGTCATTCATTAGTACCATCCTGTTCTTCCCCTCGCAGCTACCTATCACCCTTGCCAACATGTATGAGCTCCTTGTCGCCACTAAATCTTCGAAAAACTGACATTGCTTTACTAGGAACTATGCGATCTGCGTGGCAGCTTTCATTGCGATATTCGCCCTGGTTTGGTGGTGGGTTGCTGCCAGAGGGTAAGACACAAACCCGACGTTCGGACAAACTGAATAGTATTGACGATTCCCAGCATATATACTGGCCCTCAGACGAACGACATAATAAACGAAATCCCGAGCGAAGCCAGTGATGATGACTGTGAAGAGCCTGATGACTTTTCCGTATGAGATATCAGATATCATGTGACAGGGCTTTGTGATGATCTGCATTTGATTGATTTCTGGAAATAGAATAGATAGATACGGGCTTAGAGAAGGAGGATTGGAGTTCAAAGTATTTTTTTTTGGATTTAAAATCTCCATGAGAATTGCTGTGATAATTTCTTGCTTTTTGCGACAATCCAAAACTTCGAAGCAAGAGACTTGAACAAATCCAGCGTCATCGTACCTTGAGATTATCACCTTGACGACTTTCCAGTCATCTCTGTTAACCTCTCAAGCATCGCTTTTTAGTGCAGGCCGAAAGTATTGGCCTGAATATTCCCGAAGACTGGAATTCACAAAACGCCGTTTAGGCTATAGATGATGGCAAAGCCCCAGGTTCAGGAAATGACAGCATTCCCACTTTGAACGCTATGATTCTCACCACCAGAGACTACGGCTCTATGCTTGAGCGCCTTGAAACGTGCTTTGCATGTGGCAAATGACAAGCAGCAGAATGTGAAAATAGAAGTGGTTACAATGCTTCTAGAAGATGACGTAGGTATCTGGCAAGATGAGGAGCGGCATAATCGCTAGTGGGTCATCCCCCAGACTGTCTTTAAAAAAAGCACAATACCGTATAGATATACCCACTACGCACCTCCCAAATCAAGAATGGGTCGCGACTATCTCGCTCACATGGCATTGTCATCTTGGTACATGCTTTTCTATCGAGAATGAGCTTATCGCAGTGGTGCTCTAGCCTCAGAGCTTATATTCTTTGAGTTCCGTGATTGTTGGATCCCTTATCGCCTAACAGATCACGGGATCAACCCCACACTTGGGCCATCTTGTTCGTTCTTTCCAGTGGATAGCTACTTCACTTTTAGTCATTTTACTGCTCAGTACAAATGAGTACATAGTCATGGACCACCGAAAACGCACTAATCGAGCGTAAGTTTTGAAACCCAGGACTGGAACCTGTCGATGTCTAACATATTGCGTCCAGATGTAACGAGTGTCGGCGCATGAAGGAGAAGTGTGAGGGTGGACCTCCCTGCAGGAGGTGCCTCCACTTCCAGCGCGTCTGTGAGAAAGAGCCGGTGTCAAGGACACGTGAATTCAGGGCGTACATTCCAACGTATGTATTTGTGATGCGCTTTCGGCATGGAAATGTGCTAAGATACGCAGAGAGCGAGTGGCAAGATCTGACTTTCAAGAATTGATCGATCGCTCGAAATATATGGAACGTATATTGAAACGGACAATTGAAGGAGTTCGACTTGATACAAAGAGCCTTGCCAGGCTAGCAGATACACTCGATGCGGACGGCGGTAGTGCGTGTGGTGTCGCGTCGGATGCACAGGAAGTGGAAGGATTAGTGATGGATGATGAAGCGTGTACAATGGATCCTGTTGGAGATAACACTACGCGTTAGTCTCCGCGACCGACATTTTATGCGACTAAGTTGCTGATTTTATCCAGATTTTTCGGGAGAATTTTCATATTGGAACTTCTCCATGCGACTAAAGCAACATATTGAACAAATGGGGGGATTGGAGAGTCGGGTATGCTCCTTTGTCCCCTTGCAAGCTGGAGAAAGTGGACTTATCATGGAATATGCCAGACAAATGACTCTAGCCGGGACTGGGACTTTCCACGAGCTCACCAGTTGCGCCCAGGGCGTGACCACCTCTCCGCAGCGATATCATGCTGTCCCCCTCGTCCAATTGCCGAATTTCTGGCAAAAAACTTTTTCAAGTATGCCGAGACGCACTACTTCTTTATTGAAAAAAACTGGTTCTTCGAGAGGATGAATCTTCTCTATGGCGACCCTAGCAGCTTTGCTAAAAAGGGAGGTGAGGTGATCATTAGCATCTTGCTCACTGTCTTTGCAATCGGGTCCCAATATGCACATCTTGAATCCCCAGCACACAATTCCACTTCTACATCAAGTCAAAACTTCTCCGAAGAGGATATCGGCGCGACGTTCTATCAGCAAGCGATTCGGTTACTACCAGAGATCATCGAACTATCCTCCCTTGAGAGTGTCCAAGCCTGTCTCCTTTTTGGCTACTACGCACTACCTGTCGATACGTCAGGCTTGGGCTATATCTACATCAACCTCGCAATTCGGCTTGGAATGCAGAACGGCATGCATCGTAGATGCAAAAATGATGCCTATAGTGCGAGTATGATTGAGACCCGCAATCGTGTGTGGTGGACGGCATACTTACTTGAAAGGTGTGTGAAGGCTTCGTGAAGGCTTGATTATGCGTGATAACGTGCTAACAGAGTCCAGAAAAATCTCCATTTTCCACGGCAGACCTCTTTCTGTGCTCAGGGGTGACGTTGATGCTAGCTTTCCTATCTATCGATCTGAAATGGAATTGGACGACACTCGTACAAGTGTTGCGCGCGCGGGGGCTTCGATTAAATTGATTCACTTCTTAGAAGACCTGTTTCGTGATGTGTATGTGCTGATCTCTTCGGTATATATGACCAAGACTAACCTACTCATAGGAGCAACCTTCGAAACTGCCACAAACAACAGATTTCCAAGATTATATCTCACCTCATGACCAGCAAAGCAGCACTGACAGAGTGGTGGAGCACTCTTCCCCAAGAAATTGTGAGCAGCGACTTACAGCCGGTGGCGCAACTGCGTTCAATTACGCACTTCCAACTGGAATATTGTTTAGTTCGCATGTTTATTGGGCGACCATTCCTGCTGAAGAAAGATATTTCAGAATCAATGAACAGCTCACCAGCAGACTCTGAGCCCAGTGTCGCCGACAAAGCCGATAGTGCTGGCTTCAAGTACTCGCTTACTCGCAAAGACTTGATTGATGACTGCATTGAGGCAGCGACTGAAGCCCTGGAAATTTTGCAAAAACTACGTGATTGTGGATCAGGGCTGGCACGGGCTTCCTACATCGAATATAGCTCCTGTCGAGCTTCACTTCTTGTGTTGATCGCCTACTCCATACAGAGCTTCTCTGAGAAGTTTCGAACCCTTCTCTATAAAGGACTGAGCATGATTCGGGAAATGTCTGCGGCTGGCGAGTCGGCTCAGTCCGAGGTGTCTTTGATCGAAACGCTTGAGCGGGCACTTGCGCGGCTCCATGCTGGTGTCCATGAGTCTCAGCATGGTGATATAGCGCTGTCCGATCGGCCCATCTCAGATTATGAGGCTTTCAAGCACTGGGGTGCTAGATTGAGGGAAGGTGTGGCGTTGGAACCACTCATTGACGAGGGTCCTTCGTCTGGTCATTCCGAAGAGGTGGGACCGCAAACCGGCCAACCTTCGGGCTTTTACACCCATACATTTGACCGTCTCATGGACATGGACTACAGTCAGGTATCCATGTCTGTGTCCGATCGAGACATGGGCATGCTCGGTGCTCTTGACCCCATTATTGAAATTCCTTTTTTTGGCGCTGAAAATACATCGCCCTCCACAGCGTGGCCCACCTGGACTGAGACACAAGTGCTGGAACAGTTCCTCACGAGTCCTGAATACGGTGCAACCAAAAGTATGGACATGAACAAAAATTGAAGTGTTCTCCGAGAGCCTATGTATTGATAATCCATGTACAGTCTATAAATATCACATCTATCTAAAATCCAAACCCCCTTTCAGAGCGAAGCCGCAATGATCTTATCCGCCATGGCAGGCAAAGTGTCCTCAATAACCTCTAGCTCTGTATCAAAAATCTCGGCACAAGACTCCTTCTCAAATGTAGTGCAATAAGCACCCCGGAAGCCCACCTTCACAGCAGCCGTAACGTCCCACATATGGGCCGCCGCAAACCACTTCGCATCCTCTTCCTTAAATTTGGCCAAAGCAGGCTTATAGGCCGCCAGCGCCGGCTTCGCCACGCCAGCCGTGTCACACGTAATAACGTTCTCAAGAGGCATATCAACACCAGCACGCTCGAAGTATCCACACACACGCTTTATGTCCCCGCTAGTCAGACACCAGACCGTGAAACCTGCATCGCGCAGCTTCGCAAAGCAGTCTTTTGCTCCTGACCGCAGCTCCAGCTCGGAGTAACCCTGTGCGCATTGGTCCCGCTCGGCTTCGGTAGCGAAAGCACGCGGGTCTTCGACACCCATCATGTAAAGTGTGCGGAAGAAGAGAGCAGACAGGACTCCTTTATATGGCTTGTAGCGTTCGGATACGGAGATGAAAGTGAATTCCAACTCGGCTGCTGTCATCCAGGTGAATCCGAAGGAGCGAGCTGTGATGTTTTGCGCTAGGAGGCGCTGGCCGATGACTTTGTCAATGGCATTGTAGAAGGCGTCGAATGAGACGCATGTACCGACCACGTCGAATACAACGTGTTTTTGACCAGTCATTATGAGACAAGAATATTGATTTCGTTTGAACGTTGATGAGGATATCGATTATGATCGAGGCTCACTAAGCTTGCGTCGTTGGGAAGCTATTGGCAATCAAGACGCTCGGAGACTTCGTAAGTTGTTTTAGCTGGCTTTTTCTGATCAAGGTTCAGGCTTGACACAGGAAGATAAATCTTGTAAGATAGTATTAAACATTCCTTGGCCACGCGGTTAGATTTCCCCGCACCCAAAGCAAGCACTTTTCCTAATCGGGCAGGTCCGGTCCGGTCTATCTTAGCTGACATGGGCGATCATCACGTAAAGTCCAACCCCTATCTATCCAACGATTTAACCATGGAAATAAATCTAATACTGCTTATCATTTTAATCTGAAATGGAGTAAAGCGAAAAGGGGTAAGACAATCTCTGCGACCGCGTAAGCGGATCAAGAAACCCCTCCATTATGGAATGACATCGCTACAGTACATGGAGCTACAATCTTAGTAGCAACTCAGCTGTCCAAGGCGGGAGATACGGAGGCAGTAATTGTCTTGCAATTTCATCGGGTATCTAATGACTTATTTTGACAAACTTAATGCTCCAAGTGTCAGTTAGTGTCTCCCTCAAGAATACTAAACAATGAATTAATCGAGAAGGTCTATTGAGATCGATATATGTAATGAAATAGAAAAGATTGCATTTGCTAAAATTTCAATAAAGTATTGCCCAGCGTTAAGACCATAGAATATTTAGGCGCCGAAGGCCCCGTTTGGGCGCTGGCTCTGGCTCAGGATTCTGCTGGTAATGCTCAATGAAAGCCCGAATAGGAATATCTTCCAACGGAATGATCTTTGTCTTCATCCAGAACTTGTAACCAAAATACACGATGAGGATGAAAGGCAAGTTGAAGTAGGAGGAAACAAACGTCTCCGTACTCCAATGTCCCTTCATAAATGTAGAATATCCTCCAGTGAGGAAGAGGAGGACGAATGTGACCAATGAAAACCATGTGCCATAAGGCTGGAATGGGGCGGCCCAGGGCAACTCTCTCTTCCGGTCAATCCCTTGCTTCTTGCATCCATATAGAAATCGTAGGTAAACGACCAGGATAGTGATCCAGTTGACTATTGTGGAAATAGAAACAAGATCCTGAAGCCAGGTGAAGGCCAAGGATGCGCCGTCGGAGAGACTCATATAGCCCAGGGCCATGAAGATACCGTAGAGGGCGACGGCAACGTAGGGGATTGAGTAGCGGTTAAGACGCTTGAAGATAGCCGGAGCATGGCCCTGCATTGCCATACCATATAGAATCCGAGAGCCACCAAGCATGTTAGAGTTACCCGATGACCAAGCTGAGGTCAGCACGACGGCATTGATGATTGATGGTACCACTTTGATACCAGCATCCCTGGCAGCGATGACGAAAGGAGACTGGGCCGCTGTTCCAGAGTCTCGGAGTAGGCTAGGGTCGGCGGAGGATACAACCAAGCCAACCATGAACATTGTAATAACGTAGAATAGTAGGATACGCACGAAGATACGACGTGCTGCCATTGGAATAGCTTGCCGAGGGCACCTGGTCTCTGCAGCGGCAACAGTGATGTTCTCAATGCCCGAATACGCATATAGAGCATTGCTGAATGTGGTCCAAAATCCGAGGAATCGACCTAAGGAGCCCTTGATGCCAAGGTATTGGACAAAAGGGCCATACGGAGCCTTCCAATATTCGAAGCCCGTGGTTTTGTGGTTTGGCGCTCCTCCACAAGTTATGACCAGGGCCATAATGTTGATACCAATAACCAGCATAATCTTGAGAATCGAGAAGCCGAATTCAAGTTCTCCATAGATACGCACGAGGAGAAGGGCGGTCACTATCATGATGAGACCAAAGACGGTGATCCATATGGCGCTGTTGACCGTGGCCCAGAACTCGACAATGACGGCGCATGCGACCAATTCGGCAGGGATGGATACGATATAGGAGTACACTTGGTTCCATCCATTGGCAAATGCGAGGGCAGGGTCGAAGAAGATTTCTGCATAACGTATTACACCACCGTTCAGAGGCGCTAATGCGCCCATCTCTCCGACACCAAAGACCACACTCGATACAGCGAGGCCAATAATGGAATATGACAGGAAGGCTCCTAGTGGGCCGGCATGGGCGATGGCCCGACCGGAGCTGAGAAACAAGCCCGTTCCAACAGTGCCGGCCAGCGCGATCATCTGAATGTGTCGCTGGTGGAGTCCCTGTTTGAAATTGTGGATTTCCTCCAACTGCGCAGCAGCATTCTCCACATCTCCTTCTTTGGTCATCTCGGCGTTGTAGTTAGGGTATTTCTCTTTGGAAGAGGTAATATGAATATCGTGATCGTCCGACATGGCGGAAATGGACAATATTGAAGAATAAGCAGTCAAAACAGAATTTTTAAGGAGAAGACTGATTAATTGGAGTCGTCGTGGGAAATTTGTACTATTTTCCACTTTCATGCATTATTGCTTTTGACAATCTGCCGGGCACCAATCACGATGCTTCGCCACAGCTCATCTTCGAGCCATTGGTAATCGCTCGTTTGTCGTTGGTTCGATAGACCGGATTCCTACCGGTAAGATAAGAAAGAAGCTCAGGCCTTGACTATCTTTCAGACGGGCATGCTAAGCATTGATAATGTCAAGTATGTCGTGGGCTTCATGCGGGGGGTGGCATCGGCGGGGCGAGATTAGGCTTTAGAGTTGAGACCCAAACAGGAACTTCCGGCCCGGTCGACAAGCTCGTTCGGGATGAGTGGCCAGTTCGCCCTTCCCGATTGCCGATAGCCTCCGGTCTCCGGATTATCAGCGATAAAGCCACTCAACTCTTATCAGAATCACCGGAAACTTAATTAAGCTCTGACCCGTGTGCTCTCTGGTGTTTGTTTCTTTCCATCTGCATTCGTTATAATCTGTTTCATCATGCCTGCCAGAACTCAAGATTTGCCCACTCGAACTAGGGATTCATCCTCCCAATGTTTCCCTGCCAACAATCCCGGCGAGACCTTTTGGCAATCAACGCGCCATAAGCTGCATGATCATCGTTCAACAGAGCAGCTGCCAAAGCATAGTGATATCGTGATTGTTGGTGCTGGGTATGCTGGTGTCAGTACTGCCTACCATCTCGTCAAGGACCACGGCGATGTCAACAAGTCAATCACTATTTTAGAGGCTCGAGGTGCCTGTTCGGGAGCAACTGGCCGGAATGGAGGCCACGCAAGGCCAGACTTCTATGGTCATATTCCAACATATATAGATCGTGCAGGAGCTCGAGCTGGAGCTGAGATTGCCGAGTTCGAAATCAACAACCTACGTGCCCTGAAAAAGATCATTGAGCAGGAGAAGATCGATTGTGATTTCACTCTTGCCCGATCGATCGATGTTTGGTGCAATGCAGAAGCGGCTGAGAAAGCTAAATCTGTATACGACCGAATAGTTGCCGAGGGATTCGAGTACATGGACGATGTTGTTTTCTACACTGGTGACACCGTGGAAGGCGTAAGTGTAACGTTCCACCCATATGCCCAGCATGTAATAGAAAGCTGATTCGTTCACAGATCTGCGGCGTGAAAGGTGCCAAGGCATGTGCCAGTTTTACTGCTGGGACAATGTGGCCATACAAGTTCATAATGCATCTAGTAGAGCTGATTGTTGATGCTGGCGTCAACTTGCAGACAAACACTCCGGTCACATCAGTGACTGCCGACCCAGAGGGCGGCTTTACCATCGAGACGCCTCGAGGCAAGATGCATGCCGGGAAAGTCGTCTACGCAAACAACGCCTACGTCTCAGGTCTTCTCCCACAATATAAAAAGAATATAGTTCCGTGCAAAGGCATTTGTTGCCGGATCACCGTTCCCGATGGAGTAACAGCACCTCTTCTCAACAACTCTTATATCAACCGAACCGAAGACAACGTTCTCTCATATCTGATTCCTCGAGCCGACGGCAGTATCGTCGTGGGAGGTGCCGCGGCCGTGTTCCGAGCACACGAGAACCAGTGGTATGACAATGTGGATGATACCATTCTCATCGATTCTGCAAAGGACTATTACATCGACTACATGCAGAAGACCTACCACGGATGGGAAGACACCGGTGCCAGAATTGACAAGATTTGGTCCGGTGTGATGGGCTATTCATACGACTCTAATCCTCATATCGGCAATGTGCCTGGTGGCAAGGATCAGTATATTCTTGCGGGGTTCAATGGCCACGGTATGCCGGTCATTTGGCTGTCCTCGAAAGAGTTGGCCAAGATGATTGTGCAAGATATTCCGTTCGAACAAACTACCATGCCCCGGTTGTTCCAGACTTCTCAGCTCCGTATCGACCGGGCTTTGAACGGGAAGACTGAGGATGGTGATATCTTGGGTAGTGGTAAATTCCCGGCCACGAAGCCTTGATGTAGGAACACTTGACGTTGCACAATAAATTACTTGATGTGAACATGTTAGTTATCTTTGACCGACAACTATCAGTGGTCTTAACGCATAATCTTCCCGCTATCTCGCTTATTGGATGGCTAGACAATACAAGGATACACGTATGTGGAGGCTCCAGAGGCTGGGCTGTAGCCTAACTCATAGCAATAATTGGGCTACGCCTAGAAATTGGGGTGTTCGTTGTTACTATGGGAGGAAGGGGTACCTTGCTCATAATTCATTTAGCAAAATTCAAAGCAGTCATATCAGATTCAGAAAAGAGGGAGCTTGCAGAACTCCAACGGGTCGAGACCAATAGCAAGTTGCTGGCCGCACAATATCAGTCGTCCTCAACGAAAACATTTTCCTCGCCTCGGCCTTGGACAAGGGACCTCCGTCCTCGCGGCCTTCCGCACCCTACTCCTGTTAAGCCTCTGCTGGTTTAGTCGTCCTTGGTACCAACCTCGGCTGTCACAGATTCCTCATCTTCGACTGTCATATTTTCAACTGCCTCGCGAGTCTTCTCATCCACGTCCTCGGATCTGACCATGACCTGCTCTGCGTAATCGGGATTCAGGTAAAGAACGTTGAGCCAGGCCAGCATATCGCCACAGGCATGAGGCATGATACACTCGGCGTTGAACTCTTCCCCGGAAGCGTAGCAGTTGCACCCATGATCACGGTATCTAGCCTGAAACTTGCCAACCTCATCGGAAGATATGACGTATGCGCGGCCACGAGAGGCAAGGAATGCAGTGAAGGGCTTGGGGTCGGTCAGGGTGCTCATGTCCAGATCTACTACGGTAGAATGAAGCGGGTTGCCGAGACAGATACCCGAGATGTATGGCTTCCACACAGCCCCTAGAAAAGATCATCAGATCAGTCCTTTTTGTTCCCATATCCTTTCCAATTGAACAAGACTTACAGCGCTTCTGCAGATACTCGATGGCACCCTGTCCGCCCTCAGACAAACCAATCACGTCGATACGGCTCTTCTTATTCAGCCATGGCCACAGGACATGTTCAAAGACGTACCGGATATGCTCCCGCCAGTCCTTGTTCCCGGGGATCTTGTTGCGCCAGGACCTGGTAGCTTGGCCCAAATGGCCGGCAGGTCGGTCTGCTGCCTCCCACGTCCGCTGTGTGACAGCACGAGACGAGACACAGTGCCAGAGCAACTGACCAGTATTGGCAATTACAAGAGCCGTGCCTGTGGTGTCGGTAGCATCGCCGAGCACGCTCTTGGTGAAGTTGACAGCCGAGCCAAAGTTGATTCCGTCCGCGCCGACAGAGCGATAAGTCCAGATACCCAGGTCCTGGACAAGGTCGCCGAAAACCACGATCACCCGAGCTGCCTTGGACAAGTTCTTGGAAACTAGAATTGGCACATGGGGCTCACTAGTGGGTGCTTTCGACTCTTGAGGACAGTTGCCAAATGGAAGCCGCCAAATTTCAAGGCCCGCCTCCTGAAGACGACTTATGACAATTCGCCGGACGCATTCTAGGTTGTGAGAATTTCAGTCAGCTCAAGGCCAAGTAAACGCTGTAGACATAAGATACCATCCATGGCTTCACGGTTTTTGACATTGTAGCGGTCGTTTCTGTTGATCTTGTACTTGAAGCCTGTCTCGAGGTCGATGCTGCTGCGGATCTTATCGTCTGCTGTGATAGTATACCTGTCTCGGATGAGTCGCAAGTCAAGCAAAGAAGCTATCGTGTTCACCCAGAGAGACTTACCCCAGCTTCTCGAGGTCGGCCGGAAAGTGAGGGTCCGGGGGCAGATCGCTGTTCCGATAGACATACATTTTGCTGTGTCTTGAAGTGATGCTGAGGTTAAAATAGAGGGGAAGCTTTCAGCGATGAGAGAAAGGGCAGTGGAAGAGAGCTGAAGCAAGAGTGAGAAAGAAGAGACTCAAATTAATAGATGTAGGAATCCCCGTAAGAGGCTCGGCTCAATGGGGGGTCTTTCAGCTGCGCTGTTCTGTGACAGCCGCCGAGAAAACCACTTCCACTGCCCCGGCGCTTTCGGAGACAGATACTTGAGCTGAAGATGGTGTATGAAGAAACAAGAAAAATCCGTTCGTGGTATTTGTATACTGTACACGCTTCACAAAGAAGCAAAGAAAACGCCGCCCGTGGTGCAAAGCCCGTCAATCCAACCCTCCTATATGAATCCACTGATCCAAATACAATCTAGCATCCTCTACCAGCTTGCCTTCTTGACACCAGGAAGCTCACCAGCGAGAGCTTGCATACGGAATTGGAACTAGAAAGGAAGAAGCGACACGTTAGTAACCAAAGTTGTAGCGGAAACCCACACTCGTCCTCCTAGGACTTTCACTCACTCGGTTGAGTCTGAAATTCCGGAACACACTACGGGCAGTACCCGAGGCCACACAGCGGTTCTTGATCTGTGTTGGGCGGGTGTAGCAGTGCATCTGGGACAGCTGAAGCTGGGCTTGGGCGCGTGTACGTTGAGGAAGGCTGGTGTTGCGGATGATGTAGCGGAGCGCTTGTCTGTTCGTGAACAAGAGTTAGACCTCAATCTGGAGTGCAATTTCGAAGCCTGCCCTCTAGGGACGGCGAATTCGGTGGCCTGCTGGTGTGGGTAGGGCGTACCGTTCAGGTTCCATCTGCGCAAAGGCATTGCGCTTGTTGTGATCGCGGATCAGACGGGTGTTGACGAACCCAGAGAGGTCAAGCCTCTTGGGGTGAAACATTGACGCCACCTTGGACATGTTGACCGGGGGGTTTCGAGGGAAAGACAGGGAGTGTTTCGTGGTCCTAATGGAGGGTCGGGATGGGCTCGGCGGAGTTGAGGAAAGGCGAAAAGATGCGGAACCCAATTGGGTTTAGCGCATATCCGTCAAGATTTGGCCGCCCTTTGGAATCGGTCATCTACGAGGTCTATCAACTACTCAACAATTGAAACAATTACCTCTGAAGATAAAATATAGAACAATTCTCAGGACAGAAACACACATGAGCATCTTGTTCGGGAAACAAAGTTACTGAAAAATGCCCTACTAGAACTCATATATTATGAGGTGTCAACAGTGCTGCTAACCTACGACTCTCCCGCAAGTTACCCGGGTTCATATTACTCGCAGAGCGAACTAGACCTCGCTAGTATAGCTCCTGCAGGGCTTTATACAGGCGTAGCACTCTGCCACCGACATGGGGATCGAGAGGATCTAGAGGGACTCGAGCTTCGAGGTTCAGTAGTGGTACAGCTTGTGAATTGATCCAAGTCACCCTATAAGGTATCTTCTATATGCTTGGACAGAGGGCAAACTGTCCGCGAACGTTAAACACACATGATCGGCGAATCAAAGCCAAGAGCCGGGGCCTTTTTCGTTCATGTCCCCATTGTGACGACTCGATCCGCTCCTCTCTCGTGCTACTTTAAGTAGCACGTACCTCAACAGTCCATCGTGGTCGGTCAAAATTTAGTGAGAGTTGCCGGCCTTAGCGTTGGGGTTGCGGGGGTCGTTCTTGAACTCGGCGGCTAGAGATTCGATTATCAGTTGATGCCGTTCAGAAAATAAGGAGCGTGCGGTCGGGCGATATCGGAGTACGCCAATGGATTCAAATGGTCGCGAACGAGGCAGAACCCGGTCGAGTCGAGCGTGCAAATTTCATGGGGAGTACTCACTGTTGGACAGAACGTTCTGCAGAGAGTTGACGCCGTAGAGGACAATGAGACCTGTAGGGGAGACTGGTTAGAGCGCGAGTTTCCGGGTCGGCGTTCAATCGGGCAACGAGAATCAAAGTCGACATTCAGTCTGATTCGAAGTCTTCTCGGCAAAGGGGGACAGTCGAGTATGCATACCGGCAGCGAAGAAGGGGGTCATGGGGCCAGCTGTTGATCCAAAGCGTTAGTCAATCGAACCCAGCGTAGCGCCTCGCGCGCGATGGAGGGCGGTTTGCGATCACAGGATAACATACCAAGGGCGCCGGGGAACTTCTTTCCGAGGAGAGACATGGTGACAAGAGTAGTGCGAATGCGAGGTGGATTCGATGTTCGCGGGGGAGTCGTTGGTGTAGGAGGAAGAGGAGAAGTGAGGTTTGGAGTTTGCCCGGTCCGAGACGCCATACCGCTTTGGGAAGCGCCGCTGGCCGCTTTAGCCCGAGGGTTCCGATGCCCGCAACTGCTGCTCCAAAGTAAACAATCATTACTTTCCACGGTCGCATCGTCGGAAAAATACGATTTAAACGAACAGATCACCATGAGCTCCTCCTTGGCTTCATCAGTAACATCGCTGCAGTCTTCTCTGCAGCTTCTCGACAACTCAATCAGCACCCTGGACTCTGGCGTCAACGACTTTCCCCGCCTTTGCAAAGTCCTCCAAACAACGCGAGTACGTCACATTGAATCTACGAAATCCTCCAATACTCAACTCTAACCTATATATACAGCACTTTGAACTTCTCCCCGAGCCAACTCTGCGCGAAGCACAACAATCTCTCCTCGATGAGATTACCCCCAGCATTGCACACCTCCTCTCTCTCTCGTCCAACCACGTGGAAAGACTCGCGCGCCGTGAACAGAGCCTGAAAGCGAAATGTGATCTCCAAGAAGGTCGACTCTCATCCAACCCAGAAAGCAGATCTTCGGCATCTCGCGCTCAAGGTCAGGGCAACGCCGCGTTACGAGGCCTGGCAGGATCTAGCAGTGCTCGGTCTAGCAGCGCCGCTGCAAAGGCGCTAGAATTACGGCGACTTGTGCAGAAGAAGGCACGTCTCAAGTATGCTGTGGATCGGCTAGAGCTACAGAGCACCCAGCGGGAGCGCCAGTTGAGGAAGAGCATGGCTGCGCAGTGAGAGGGTGCGCTTAGAAGGCATGATTGAATTGCTTCATCTTTGGACTCGAGCAGCTTTGTTTTGACACGCTACTGTCCAAGTCAAGAAATGCCCGGGAGATTGCCTCTCCGAAATTCCTGCAGTCAGCTATCGGTCAGCTAGTGAACAGGAGCTAGCCATGGTCATTCTCTCAACCATGGACCCTGCTTCAACAACAGTTTCAGCGTCTATCAAGCTCTGTCTGGAACACTTCTCTCGAGTCATTCCCCCGCAATGACCGGACGAACACTCAATTCCGTACCAGCGAATCTGGAACCATTGCAGGTCTTTTCAATGGAGATATGAGAAGGGCTTCCGCGACGTGAATGGCACAGCTTTCCGAGCTTACGGATTCGCCTGTCCGTTGGTGGTTAGCCGATACCTCCAGCGATATCTGGAGCTTTACCGCATGGCCCAAGCAGGACATCCACTTAGTAATGAAAAGAGATACCCAATGCTACGTACAATTAATGATGAAACAAAAGTCAGAGTGAAGAACATATATTACAGTCGTAGCCTAGTGTTGGTATCCTATAGTACAAAACCTCTGACCCTGCTCAAACCCTTCAAGAAATTCACCAGCCTCAGGTAATAGTACAGATCCAAAGAGCCCAATCAAATACGCCGCCTTGCCTAATGCGTAGACTAATTCTCGTCAATGGCCCCAACTTACAGAGCGTCCACTGCTGCATCTCGCCGCTTCACAGCTTGTCTAAGTTTCTTCTTATCCGCATGCTTCTTCCAGCTCGGGATGTTCTGGCCCCTCTTGCGAGCAGGGTTTCGGAGTCCCGAACGATCTCCTTCGTCGTCAATGATCTCATCAGCAGCCTCATCCTCCTCAGGATCAAGTTCGTCGTAAGCGCCCTCTTCGTCAGCCTCGCGCGATTCCGCCTTGGCAGCTGCTCGTCGAGCAAGACGTTCTTTCTTGCCTTCGCCGTGCTTATCACCCAGGTTCAGCTTGCGAGGAATTCGGGTCTTGGCACCCAGAGCCCACAGATCGCCCCAGTTGGACTTGCGCGCATCACGGTAGGCTTGTCGGCTGAAGGAACGAGGGACGGTCCAACGCTCGATCTTGCCAGCCGGGGTGCAGAGGTCGAAAATGACGTGCCCGCGACGCTTGAGCGGTGGGTAGACGGCACGAGGAAGGGAGAGCGGGTCAGGGGCTGAGTGGTCGGACTCGTCAAGATGCTCGAAACCTTCGAATGCGGCATCTGTCGCTTCGGGGCCTTGGCGAATACCCCGTGCTTGACGCATGTCCACGCCCCGCTGCACGGCTAGGTAGCTGAACTTGACATCTTCATGGTTACGGTCCTTGGCACCCATGATGCGCTGCAAGAAGGCCGGACGAATGTACCGCTGCTCGAAATGACAGTAGTCTCTGCGGCCCTTGGTCGGGCCTGCTGGGTTGTGCATCGGGCAGGTGGAGTGATTTGTGCAGGGAGCGATGATCATACCGGGCTCTTTGGAAATCTTTGTGGATTCATGGGAAGAGTCGAAGGTGTTGTCATACTCCGTGGAGCCCGGGCTTGCAATATGGCGCTTAAGAAGCATTTCACGAGCGCCAGCAATGGCTTCGAAGCCCTTTTGACGACCCTTTTCGAGCAGGATAAGGACACCACCGTTGGGATTTAGAAGCGCCCAAAGGTTCTGGACATGCTCCTTCCGCTGATATTCCTCCTCGAATCCGAGAAGAGTGTGCGGTGCGATGATGATATCGTACTGCTTACGCTTCTGTACAGCACGCGTGTCGCTGAGTGTTGGCTTCTCACGAACGTGAATGTAGTCTGGCAATCGGGGAAGGAATGTGGTGTTGTCAAGCATGGCACTTGCGCGCAGTCGTAGCGTCTCCGAGCCTGTCAAGACTGTCGATCGTCCATATGGAATAGGAGCTCCCTCGGGGTGGTCAGGAACCATGATTTCGTATTCGGCACGGACAATATCTCTCCAAGCCAGTATACCAGCACCGCCACCACTTGCATCGAGAACATTGGGGCCGCCTTCTTGAGTTATGAGCTGGCGGATCCAGTCGGTTCCCATACGTTTCCGCACCTCAACCAGAACACTGAGCGTTGAGGCGTAGATTCCGGGGTAAAGGGCCGCAATATAGGCATTGGCTTCCATCTCACCCATATGATGCTGTGACGCATGAAGAGGGATTGGTAACTGTGGCAGCTGCGCCCGTGGAGGTGGTGTTGTTGTAGAATGAGGTAATCCTGGCCCTCCAAATAACCGGCGAGCTGTATCAGCGATATGCTTGTTGGAGAACTCAGACAGGATGATCGAGATGGGGCCAGTCACAGTATTCTTTGGTAGATGAATAGTACTGGGGTTCGTTGTGAATTTGCCCCCCCGAGTCATGGCATGGGCCCGCGGCGCGGAGTCCGGGACGGCTTCATTTTCAAATTGTTCCAGCATGATCTCGCCACCCAGTTGCTCAGCAACTTCACGTGTGCGTCGCATCGCAATGGTCTCGACCTCCTCAGTACCTGCTTCCATGTCGTAGACGACTGGTAAATCATTCTCCGCCTCGGCATCCTGATCGTATTCAATTTCCTCCCACCGGCCTTTTTTGTTCTCTCGGAACAAGCGATCGGGTTCTTTCTCGTCTTCCTCAGCCGAAACTTCTTCAACGAACTCCTGGATGATCGGTTCTCCGTAGAGTCGGGTGAAGAGTTGAAGTTCCTCTTCATTCAAGACGCCGTCAGGAATTGCGTCTCCGAACTGTCGTCGCACCATTTCTACCCACGCCTCTGGCGTATATTCTTGGCCGTCCAGGGGATCCACGAGTTCTTCCATGGCTTCATCGCCTTCCATCATCTCCAGTTCCTCCATCAGCTTCGCCATGTCATCATCGTTCTCATTGATGCGCTCGATCAGGACGTTGATGGCTTCGATGGGGTCGGTGTCTGTAGTTGGATTAGACGCCGCTGCGGCGGTAGACGACTGTCTCTGTCCGGTAATCCATGTTGAAGTCGTATTACTCGGTAGAGATGCACTGTATCTCGGGCGAATCGAAATTGTTGAAATGGAATTTTGAGCCGTATTGCTTTGGTTCCGTTGCGGCGATATTGAGCCCGCAGCTCTCGAAATTGGTCGCCAGCCACTGGCGCGAGACACTGAGGGTCGTAGAAGATGCCGCGCATGTGGGCCAGTAGCCCTCGCAGTAGAAGGCCCCGAGAGCATTTTGCCGCTCCAATCTCACACTTCGAGTTGAGTGAAAAGAGGCAGAAGGGAAAGGCGATAAGACTGAAGCTCCGCAAAATTATTGCCAAGCCCGCCCCATCACAAACTGCGGGCCGTTGATTGGTCGGACGATACCCTGAGGATCACCCTCCTGAACTGCGAATTCAATTTGGTAATGCAAGATGCGACAGCGGATATAGGTGTCTGGTAGGTAAAGAAATATCAAAGTCGTGTCATAATAGCTATGAGCACGTACATTTAGAGCATATCTACCAAAACTTGCGATCAGGTACTACCTGGCAGTGCGTAGATTTAGGTAGAAACGTCGAGCTCCATACTTGGAAATCACAGTATATATGTTTTTTGTAGACCGGCACACGAGTCCGTTAAAAGATTGAGATTCCATGAATATATACAGACAGAACAGAGCTATAGGTATTGGTATCTTATATGACTTTATTGAACGCATAATTTCCTCATTCACTTTCCGTCTCCTCGTTGCCCATAAGAATTTGGAGCGCCATCACCCAGCGCATCACTTCATGCTCCAACGCTGTCAGCTTGGCCATAACGGCCATCAAACTCGGGTCCTGACTCTCAACCCGAACTTTTTCCTTGACGTGGACTTCTTCCCCGCGCCAGGTGAAAACATCACCTACCTCATCATGCGCCCGTTGTCGGGTTCCAAAGATCCGATCTCTAAGGGAAAAACCGGTGAGGGAGATGTCCGAGGCAAATGCCGTCGGTGCCTGGGTAGGCGTGTTGCTCTCCAGAGTGCGTATCAGTAGTACTAGCGCAGAGTCTGCAATGGAAAGATGGAATGAGAGATAAGGAGGAGGTGCAGGATCAAACATCTAAAGGTCACATTAGTTGGGGACACAGTGGGACACTCGCACGATCGGGGTCAAGCATACATTGTCTGAAGCGCTCGTCTCCCACCAGTTGCCTCGCTCATTCCCATCTCCCTTCAGCATCTGCCGGGCCTCGCTAATGGTTTCTTTCAGGAGATGCAGCTGGCTGAAGATAAATCCCGCATTGAGGGGATCGCCCGTGTAGGTGCTCACATCTACAATATCAAGGCTTTGATTCACAAGATTCCGGACCGAGACCAGCTGCTGCAGTACCAAGTCTGGTGCATCAGGGACCTGAGATAGGGTCAAACGGGTGCTAGAAGCACCTCGAGGAGCAGGCAGCGAGGCCAAACGAAGGTGGATATCCTGAAATAACAGAAAGCACGTGTTAGGTCCGTATACAGCCTTCAAGACTCAATCCTAAAGGGGTATTCCGGATTGGGAACATACTCCTTTGACCACCTTGGTGCCGATTCGGGTGACGAACCCCTTTACACTCTCCGATCGCAGTGATGATAGAACCAGAGTCGACCCTGGTTCTTGGGGGGCCAAAAGGGCGGCGCACTCTTGCAGGCCTGCTTTCAAGGAGACTAGCGACTCCTGGAGCGACTGCAAGAGCCACTCTAGCTCCTGAGCCTAAAAATTGAGTGTGAGCAAAATCAAGATCCACTATGACCCCAGGAGGCGATCATGTTTTTGCAGTAGCTAACCACGGAAGGTCCACCAACTGCATCATAACCCCAACTCAGGACCACTTGTGCGAACGTACCAAAGCGGTATCGGCCCGGCGATTCAGTTGCTCTGTGGGCAGTGGAGGATACGCCCAGGTTGCCATAATGGCTAAATGCTAATAGCTAGTGTGCTTAGTGTGGATGTGGGAGAAGGTGCAGCACCGTAGCACGACAACATACTCGAGTTCCCTCGACCAGGACTGAATTAAGGTTCGGT